CGCTACAGTTCGTTGGTTATCTCCATCGCCTCCGTCTTCTCTATGTTCACCCGGGGTCCTGTCTTTGCTGCCTCTTCAGCCGGTTTCTTGGTTTTCGCCCGTAAGTCTTCGAGTTTGTGTGACAGTAGACATTTATTATCCGCAAAAATTCAAATGTTTTAGAGCCTTCTTATCGGTATTCCAGCGTATATCACTGGTGATGATAGGCAGCCTTGTCTTATTCTTTTATGCATTTCGAACGCCTTGTGGATCACCTTACACATGCTATTCTTATATGGCTGTGTTTCCTGGGGTTCATAAAGATTTGGGTGCCTCATGCTGTACTGCTGAAGTGGTCTACAAATTAGTTCTCTGCCAATGCTGTCGAAGGCCTTTTTGAAGTCGATGAATTTGGGGTAGACGGTCGCTAGCAGTGGTAGCATCCTTTTTCTCATAACCTGGAAAATAAACATTCACATTATTAAAGATATGAAGAAGAACTAAGACAGCTCTCTGCCGCAAGGAATCAACATTCAAGTCATGTATATCACTGTACGCATGATGAGAATTTCGTTTTTGTTTAGACTGAGACTAAAGTGTTTCAGAATGCTAAAGGCGTTTTAACATGACAGGAATTTAATATTTAGTTTAATTTGTATTTTTATATGAATGGGCAAGCTTAAGTGAAAAGCATACGAACTTTACAGGCATGATCGAACTTAACACAAATTATGCTTATAATTATCACTAACCTAGTATTTTCTCCAACAGTTTGAATAGTTTGATCATAATATAAGAAGCCAGAACAGGTTCGTATTAAGGTTAAATTGTGAAGATGTCACCAAGATCATTATCAGGTTTGAGTGACGGCCCAAGCCTGGTTTCATTTCCTCCTAATTACTGTAGTTAAAGAGCAACGAATAAAAATAAAAGGAGTATTGACTTCACGAAGAGTTTGAACAGATGAGGTATGACAGAATACGATGGTGTTAAGCTAGAACTTACCATGTAATTTGTAAATGATACTCTGGCCGCAGTCAGCATCAAAGATCAGGAAAAAATAGAACATGCTGACTTATGAGATGTCTCGCTAATCTGCGAAAGATCCACAGGATGGCGTCTTGACAAGAAGGTGAAAAGATCGGTAAATGTTAGCGGCGAGGGCATTACTTTTTATTCAGATCTACGTAGCCAGTGTTAGAACCTGTCTCATACTTCAAATTCGAGCCGTCAAAAATGTTTATTGCCGTCCTAAAGACTGGAGCGACTCGCATCTATGGTTACCATGATACGTACTGAGCGGCATGCGCAGCCCTGCATTAATCCCTTGAATTTCAAACTTTGCCGAGGATTTCATTCTTCTAACATCAACATTATTATGCGATCTTTGTAAGTTGTTTTGTATGATACCATGTTAACATTTGTCATTTACGCATGACATTATTCGCTCAAGTGTTTCAGACGACGCCTAAGGGTGTTGAAATATATGCTTCCATCAGAAACATTAAAACATACACGGCCGGTTGTTGGCTACATTATTATTTGTGGAAGTGGCTGTCTCTTCCCATGCACTTGTTTACAAACTGTCTTTTATGTAGAAATAGTATATATTTGTCTATCGAAGTTATAGTCATGGTCAGCCCACATCTTATCCATTTCTAAGAAAATGTTTCGTCTTACCTTCTACATTAAAAAGTTAAGACAACCAGGTATCAACCAACCTTTAGTTTTGCAATTTTTAAACTCCAGTATTTTCCCTATTGTACTCCACTGCTCTCCGTTAATCTTTCCTGGGCTTCTCAAAAAAGACTATATCATATCACGGAGAGTATTAAATGCTGTGAGTAGGGCTTGTGGTCTTCCACTGCGTGAGCTCGCCAATAATATAGTCGAGAGGCATATAAATTCCTGTACAAAATGGGCAAAAACTATACTGTCAGACCCTCTGCACCCCCTTTATTCACAACTATCCCCTTGTATCTCACTAGGTAGGACGAGAAGTCAATATAAAAAGTTATATGCTCGTACCACTAAGTACAGAAATTCTACAATACCCTATTTAGCTCGTACTTTATGTGATGAAGACTCTGTTAGACGCGAAACACATAAGTTACTATGTAATTAGCAAAGTGAATCGACCCGTTCATTGTTCATCTTTCTGTATTATATGGTGTCACACTTTCTATCGTTTAATTATAACTTTGCTATTTTGTTTTGGTTGTTATTACTATTATTACTACAATTTTGCACTTTATGCATATTTTTCTCTGTATTGCATACAGTATTTTGCTATGTAGCTGCTATAACAATCGTTTTATTATTATTATGTAATATGTATTTTGAATTTTTTGTCGTTTTTGAGTAAATTAGATGCAATATTGTACTGAATACTGAAAATTCCTTGCTGTATCAAACCCAACCTGGCCCTAATATGTCCCTTACCTAACCCTAACCCACACTTTACCCTAGCCTTACCACAATCTCAACCCAAACAGCACTAATCTCCCTGCAAACTAAACTTAATCTGACCCAAATATGTCCTTCACTTAACTCCAACCTTTATTTTCTCTGACATAACTGTTGACTAACTAAACATCCTTTGAGATATTCTTGCACTTCCTCAACCATTTATTTTTGAATATATTGCCTTTTATTTGGCTTACCAACTTGCTGTATTGTGTATTTTGATGGTTGTCATTCCTTAATATAATGAGTGCGGCACAAATTTCAAAGGATGCCAAGCCGAGCGATTATGCTTGTCAAGTTTTAAACACATCACTTTTCACTTCCGAAAGAATTCCCAATGGCCGAACCATAGGTACATCCAAGCTTTATAAGAAATCACTGTATTATTCTAGACTTTTAATGCAGCCGCTGTTAAGCGTTAAAAATGCGAATTATGATACTTGTGAAAACAAAAGGATGGATATACACATATTTATTATGAATTTAGTTCCTTATTCAATTTCTAATTAATCTTTGGATCCTACTTCTCGTGAGAAAATTCGAACAATAGATGACAGCAATAACACTTGTGTTCATCAGGACCAAGAATAATTGGAATTAAAATTGTAGTTAAGCCTGATCCAATAAAAGCAGGTTTTCGGTGTATGATATACATCCTGAAAAGAGGTGTAAAATACATAAGATTATGGAATAAATCGAACACCGCATAGAAAAAGAAACAAGTTTGGTTGAGTATTACTGTTTACTAATAAAGCAATTTAATCACTAGCAATGCTAAGCGAAAAACCCTGCAGCCATCCAAAGTATGGATAATAATGAAAACAATAATAATGATAGCGGTAAGAGTGTCAGAGTTCATAACTGAATCTGTCAAGGTGAAGGAAAGTTATTAAGTTTCTTCATTCTACTCTCTCTTAATATTCTACGCCGAAGGTGATAAGGGAATTTATACACACCCCTTAAAAACACTAAGATCTAACTCTGATTTATGGATAAAAAATTTGTCGGAAATGTAGAAGACGATGCATATTCTTTTGAATTCAGCAAGTAATTTCGAAACCACCATCATGGTTGGGTCAGTGGCGGATATTAATTGAATCTTCGGAGGCAATACTGTACTACCAAGCTTTCTCAACTAAGCAAAGCATGTCCGAGTTCGTGCTCGTTTTCTACAACATTCTGGGCTGTTAGTCGGTAATTTGAATAATGGTATTTACAGCAAAACCCAATTCTGAAGTCGCTCTGCATTCTTGGATGGTTTAAAAAAACATACTGAAGACGCAGAAGTTTATACTTAAGCAAAATAGCTTAATTTATACGAGATAATGGAATACTAAACCTGTCACTTAAAACTGGTTTTAGTCATTTTCCAGGTATTTGGATAATCATGGTAGTCATGTAAACACTGACCACTTCCTTTCTGGACTACATTCTTTTATTACCTGCAGGTCCCAAGACCGTAAAATGAATGCACATACATGACGTGAAGCGTTGCAAATTCATAGTGACTTTGAGTTATAGCCAAAAAGTGGTTATATGTTCTTTTCGAAACAGTCAGTTTGTGGGCTAGTTCACAGATTCGAAGACTCCATCTCTAAGTACACAAATGATCCGGATTCAAAGCTTTGGTAGACTAAGTAAATCGCGATGAGGATAGATATGTGAATGAACAAATACCCTGACAAGGATCTGAGAAGAATGAAAGGAACGAAATCCTTTGAAAGGAAACATTTTTGGTGATGGAAAGGTGCTAATAGGCACTCTTCACATTGTTGTAGAAAGTAGCATCCTGCAAGTAATCATTGTTGATGACTGACGGCATCTGACATGAATTTTGGCTGTCGAAAACCGGATTACGAGTGGACTACAATACAGACATACTAAAACACTTAGTAGCACGCTCCATGAGGACAACATATGTACTGGTTGGAAGTCGCTAACTCGCCTCTATTTATGCTGAATCTCCTATTCGTACGTCGTACGTTGATAAATTGTTTTTTTGTATTTTTGATTATACCTTGATTCCACACAGTATTTTGGTACAAGTATGGAATTTTCAGCATGGATATAGGTAGCACAAATTTTGCAGGCCGACCAGAGATATCAGGTGTGCATCGGCAGGGGATCGAACCTCGGATTATGTGCATGGTCGGCGAAGGGGACCAACTGCTGTGCAACCGACGCACATCTGGTAATCTATGTTCATATACTATATAGTTACACTCATTTGCACGCATGTTGCTGTTGATTGCAGCCATAGACAACTTAATACCACAACAGTTGCACAGCACTGTGATGATAGTAATGTGATTTTGGACTTGACAATCCCGGTGTGCATGGATGGTGAGGCAACATGCCAGATAGCATCAGCTGATAATAATTTCCGAAGGAGTTTATCTGATGAAAAATGAACTGGCTGCATAATTTCGTCTGAGAATCAAATGGAAAAGAGTGGTACCAGAAATTTTGATGTTACTTGGAGTTTGTTTTATGTATTCAATTCCTACGATGAGTGCATATGACCCTGTGTAGATGCTTTAATTTGCACGTTTTCTATGATGTGGGTTTTTCGCGAGTTTATGTGTGGGAGCGAAACTACTGTAAGTTTGGCGAAGATAATATTTTATTACTTTAGGATAAATGGGCGTATCAATGGAATCAAAGTTTACCAATTTTCCCTGAGTGTGAAGTCAATATTGTGTTCCCTATAGCCCTTGCTGGTTTCGCAGTTATCACGTTTCTCCCCTATATTATTTCACTCCTGGTTTCAAAATCTAAATCTAGTCGTTTAGCATCTTGCTTATACTTGTGTAAATTGGTAAGTCGTTTTAATTACTTATTTATTTTCAGGACCTAACTTTTCTTTGTTTGATTTTAAATGCTATTCGCGTCCTTTATATTGTATCTGAAACAAGAGACTACTATATTGGATCATATATTGGTTCCTTGTCCATTTCCGTTTCCTTGGTGAGTCGAAAAGGTCCATTTATTTTTATGTACTTATTGCAATTAATTCTCTAGATGCTTAAATTTTATTGTCAAAATTATTTGGTTACACAAACATCCATTCACTTTCCGTGTCTATCTAGGACTTAACTAAATTATGAGCTTTCAGTGGTAAATACTGCGTTTTTCATTTCATCCATGTTTCCTAGGGAGAACAAAGTGTAATCTTTTTTAATCACCTCTTTGTTCTCTAATGGGATGCACAGTCACCCAAAGATGTGAAGCAATATTCGCGACAATGAAGCCAGATAAAGAGAAAAATGATATAGTCACATAATTTCATGTTCGGTTTAGTTATCACGAATTATCCATTTAAATGTTTTATTCCAGATCAGACCGTGTTAGTAAGTTGTTACTAAGTTGTGTACTCAAGTTTGTTTGCATCAAGTTAAAGCAACAACTTGTAGGGCTTATCATTGTCATCTGGTGTCACAGGCCTATGTTCACAGCACTTGCGCTCATGTATTTTATTTATATGGTTTTCTTCTTTGGGTTTCGCTACTATTCAAGGATGTAAGAGATGAGCCATGATAACTTTGTTAAAGTTGACATTTGTACACGTCTTTTTTCCTAAATATCTCGCCCAAAACTCTTTCATACACAGCAATGTATTTGCTTGAACTGTTGAAACTCTTGGAGTCCAGAATTCAGTATGGTAAACGTATTGTAAATATTAGTAGAAATACAATAATTAATGTGCTTAGAATTTTAATCTCTTTTGGGGTTATGGAGGTACGCTAATGAATGTAGGACATGTGACTGACCGTTTTAGTGTTGAAACGACGATTAAACAGGTAGTTTTTGGACTGACTGTCTGACAAAACGATGCAGAATTTTGTACGAGAGTGCATCTATTTAGCTTATATTTTAGAAAATCTTCAAGATGTGGAGATAAGAAACGTAGTGAAACCATAACGAACGAAGATGTTCGAAGCAAAGTTTTATCGTCGGAGATAAGTAAAGAACTCCGAAATATGGACTCTTAGAAGGGGTGAATACAGCTATGGCATTGTAAGCGATTCTCAAAGTGTTGTTTCTTACTGTCTTGAGAGTACCAATCAAACAGCATGTACCTCAGTAGGCAGTTTGAAAAGATAATGGACGACTTCATTTCATGGTGTCATCGTCTAGCCCGACAAATATTCCCTGGCCTAGTCTTGTCCCAGGCAACGTTACTTGTCTACTTGGCATGCATAACGTGTGTTCTAGACAAAATTGATGAAGTTTTCCATACTATTCATTGATTTTTCCTTTTTATGTAACGCTTCAAGTTCACCTTCGACACTGCATACCTTGTATAACCATCTAACGTAGCCAATAGACATCGGTACGAGCAATCTAGTACAACAATTCTTTTGTTGTCGAGATTTTATCCGTCACCACTGCATTAGGGTTGGTGAGACTTACCGGATGATTGAAGTGTTCAATACAACCAGTTGTCTCTGTCTCTCACCCTTGAATGAGTAGGCATTAGAGACTAATTCTGTACCACTATCTTACGTTTGACAGTAGTAAATAGCAGCCCATACATATTCAGACATTTATTCAAGACGCATGAAAGATGCTGTACTCTGTCAGTTTCTTCACTTTAAAGAATATTATTGTCCAAAAAATTTCTGAGATGAAACCTTCTTATAGTGGGAACCAGTTTGTAACATTCACTAATATGTCCACAATAAAATTAATTAAGAGTTTGGTCTCTGACGGACACAACTGGTTATATTCATTTTAGAAGGGAAGTCAGTCATTGAATAACGTCTTATGTATGTGTCGACTGATTTTACTGATGGGTTTTTTGAGTGAAGCTGTTTGCTCAGGTGTGTTTGTATTCCTGATTTGACAGTAGGGCGAAGTTACAAATATGGACACCCTAAACCATTCGGACTCTCTGCACCATGCTTTGTATACCATGGGTGAGACATCCAACTATCAAATATTGCTGGTACAAGATAGTAGTATTGAAGATAAAAGACGTGGATGGAATAGTTTGTTTCTGATGGTAACATATAGATAATTCTGAGGCCCGTCGTCTTGTGTTCCAACTAAGTGTAGGTTACTAAGGGGTATAGATTTCAGTAACTAGCCTTCAGTTTCGAAGGTAGTTATGAATGACGCTCTAAAGAGTTACATATGGTTCATATTCCTGCAAGTAGGTGGAGAAAGGTAGATATGCTGTTTAACCATGATGTGGGACCGCTGAGCGAAGGTTAGTAGTGTTAGCTTAGCATGTCTTACTGCATCATGGCTCGTCAGAGATCAGTAGACTGATAAAACTATACTTTTAATCGGGGAATTTGTGTCCATTTCGGTGCAGTATTGGGTCTCTCCCTCTGTCAAGTAACAATTCGCCGTGCGTGCAGTTTAATAGAATATATGCTGGTTCATCATAATGTCTTAAGGTTTTTTATCTTGTCATTTATGTATACTATTTGTGTAGAGTATACACTTTACCTAGTCTCCATATAGAAAATTGTGATAAAAGGTGAAATTTATGGAGTTGTAGTGAATATTCTCTCACAACTTACTTATTTGTGGCTTGAACTATCCAGTGGAATACAGATTTCTAGCATCCGTCGGAACGATGAGAAATATCACTCGGTTTTGCTGAAAACTTGGTACTTACTGTATATTTTATGCAACTTGACCACATTGTTTGAGTTAAAAATATTGGTTTAGTATGTGGCCATTATTTAACTCTCGCCTGTTGAGGAAATCTGATATTTTGTCTCATTTCGAGAAATCAAAATCTAGACAATGCAGGGTTGTCCCATATTTTACTAGTAGCGCATACTCAAAGGTCTTCTATAAACGTCATATTTCCAGCTCTTTCAAACTCTAGTCTAATCCAGTAACATATGGTTATTTGCCCCGTTTACCTTCATAGAATTGTTTCTATGATTACAGGGGTTGTATTGATCCTTGTACTGAATTGTGACGTTAGTTGGATTCTGAATTACAAAGATTCATCTTCATTCACTAGTGAATCAAAATAATAGTCGAAATAGTCGATAAGTAAAACATTTTGTGTACGGTAACTTGAACTGTTGCAGTTTTGTGCAGTATCCTACGTTGACAAATCAGTTAGCACCTTGTTAAGCGCTTGTTAGGTTTGTTGATTTGTATAAGAGTGGTTTACCTAGGTTTAAGGGAGATGAACCAATGGCTTTTGGTCACTCATTTCGAAGAAAACGTCAGAAAAATTCAGCGGATTTCATTTAACTAACAGAGTGGTTTGAGATGGAAATAGGGGAGTGTGTGGCGGTGAAGACTACAGAGGTGGAGAAAAGTGGTTTCAAGGGTTTAACTTGTTACGGGAATATGCATGTTTATTCGGGTGCTGAAGCATTCAGCATAAATAATATGTGGTACTAAGAAATACAAACAAGTATTTCAGACTAAACTTTCAGTTAACTATGCACGTGTTTGAGAGCGATAATTTACAGTGCACTGAGGATTATTTAGTGTAGTTGTCGAGAACAAATTGAAGTATTTTGGTTCTCATTTTCAACAATTTTTGGGAGAAGGATTCACATAGAAGTTCATTCAGGTGTGTTTAGTGCAAAGTGTATGAAACATGGAAAATAACATATTATGATATTTGGAACTGCCTAATTTCGCCTCTTCCATGTGTATCTACCAATTTAACTGCTCTTGTGGAGCTAGTTACATAGGCCGTACAATTAGGCGTGTTTCTCGTCGAATTTCCGAACACCACCCTGTAAAGTAAAGGACAAACAAAATCTTTTCGAAGCCCTATTCTATCTCATCTTGTGGATACAGAACACAAGATTGATGTTAACCAGGCTTTCAGGGTCATTTACCGCAAACCAACAAAACTCAATTTCGCCTTAAGAGTTCGACTACTAAATATTGCTGAGGCTGCTGGAATCCACATTGAGAGGCCTAATTTGTGCATCCAAAAGAAGTTAGTTCAGAGATTATCCTTACCTTGGCCATCTAGGTTTGAATAATCCCGAATTTTGTGGAATTTCCCTAATTTTAGTTGATATTCTAATGCTGCTATATCTTTATTATTATTATGACTTAAGCATCTTTAATGAACTGTAATTCCAGTGATCTTACTTTACAAGTCGATATTATTTAAAAAAACACTAATATTGCTATTGAATACTACTCTAGAATATTCTATGTATATAAACGTGTACATAATTGTAGAGCCGGAAGAGGGAATTATCGAAAAGGATATTCTTTACTGGCTCAATCATTTTGTGTTTTATAGATGTCTGAATAAATATTTTCGCTTTATTCGGAATATACAGTATATAGAGTTTTGTCTTGAAACACCAAAATCATGGGCAAATTTAACTGTAATCAGGTGAATTATTTTAGTTTTTGGACTCATCACTCATTTATTTCATAGCTCAATATGTACAGATTGATGTAGTATATTCCACAGAAAACTAATTGATTTAATTTTGAAGGTATAAGTTTATAAACAACAAACGGGTGTTAAAATGGTGCTCAATAAATAGTGTGCCACTTGGTTTTGAGTGTTTGTGTAGCTGTTGTCAGCTGGTGATAAAATCTACCCAGAAGTTGAATTATCCTTACTGTGTACAGATGTCAACCGTGTATGTTTGGCATAGCGTCATCAGTATTGTAAAACCTCTTAGACTCACTGTCTTATACACTGTTGTCGTTAGGCTAGTTCCTAGGGTTGATATACCCAGGTATCTACAATTTAGAGGTATCAACTTGGATTCAAGATGGACCGTAACTGGAGATTTACTCAACCTACTGCTTCTTAGTTCTAAATTCTTGAAGATTGTTAAAGATGTTACTGGTAGTCTAGTAACAGTGGACAGTTGTTTCATCTGGACGGTTATGGTGAGTGCATATTTCCTTGGGTCTGTACAATATGGCACAAAATGGATCTCTGTGGCAAAGATAAGCTCAAAATTAATCTTTATTTCCCCCGTATTCGTCTTATTACTTACTACTGACGTATAGGTTGTTGGTTCATTGTTTAATTTGAAGTGTTTTTGATCAGTCCTACTGTCTTATAAAGTCTTGTAACGTTTACTACTGATACAAGTTTGGTTTAGATTCTGGTTTGTTCTGTCATAATACTAAACTGGTGTTCTGTGGGCCCAAATAATCAGATAGTGTATACATATGACCCAGTAGTATGATGTGATGTTCAAACCTAATGAGAAGCACAGTGATAAGTCACTCCACTGAATCGAAGTTATTGGAGTGTCCAAAGGTTTATTTACTGAACAAATACCATCAAATCAACAGTATTTTAAATTTTTTTCCTTTGCCACTCTCCTACTATATTTTAGCTTTTATACATCGCTGTGCTGCATTATGAGCGCAAACGGAATTCTTTAAATTCAGCGGTTTGCTTCTTCTACCTAATGTTACTGAATTTTGTGTGGATATGCAGATGTTGGAACCATACTGTGTTTTATATAAAGGTAAGAGTTTATGTATCTTGTAAGACCATGGTATGGTTTTAACTCATTATTCCGTTAATGTAGGTATCGTTCCAATTAATAACAACTTAGATTAGACACTGTATCAGTGCAGATATTGTTGTTTTTCTTGTATAATTTGAGTGTTTTTTTCTTTCAAGTATGAGAAATTTTTCGTACTCATCTGTGTTTCCACCTTTCACAAACTAAACGGATAAATCCGCGATATTTAGTAGGTATGTTTGAAGTAGAATTTTCAAGTAGCATAAATTGCAGCGTCAAAACACTTGAGTTTCGGTTGGCTGCATCAGAAGTGCCTCAGTGAAATTATTCACCTACCAGGAAATTGAACGGGACTTTCTGCAGTTGTCCTTCAAAACGAATATTATACTTTAAAAACTATGTTTTCCTACAATTTACAAGTTGCTGAACAAATGTTTATTGGATTTAATATAGTTTTGGAAATGCTCAGGCGATGTTTGATGTGGAATATATTTCAATTACGAACCTTTTAATATCAGATAAGTTTCTGTCTTTTAGTGTTAGTTAAGTGCTATACATAGGAGACAGAATCGAATATATTTAAAGTTGACAGATCCACTTAATGAGTAATTTAGACACTGTTCAAGATTTCACTTCTACCTATTTTAATGACTGTTACGGTGCGTACTGAGATTGAGGTTTTGTTTCTTTGCCTAGTACCTCTTTTATGAATGTCAATATCAAAGCATTGAAGACTAATAGGTGGGAGTTTATTTATCCCAATAAGTGAGGCAACATTTGTATGCCTTGTCCGCTTCATAATTTAAAGAGACAACTGGGTATGGAGAAAGAAAACCGAAGGAATGTAAAAAGGTTAATGGAGTCGTTCATGTGAATACCTTTCATACACGGAAATATTTATACTCTTTATGGAATATGAGAATACAAGAAAACGTTTTTGAACAGGTACACTGAAGTCAAAGGAGAAAGAACAACTCATTCATTATCTAGGAGTTGGTGAATATCAGACTCATTCAAAGGAAATGGCATACACTAATATTTGGGCGACGAGGATAAATCAGTCGAAACAATTTATGGGGACTGGGTTCGAGCCTCGGTGGGAACATCATCACTCACTGAGAAATGCAGGTACATCCAGATGACGAGTCTCAAATAGGACGAAATGCGCATCCTGGATTCCACTGCTAGTCACCATCCACCAGTTAAATACTAAATATCAATGTGTTCAAAACAGTATTGTGCCAATTCTAAAAGAAGTGGTGTTATATTGCTGCCTTGATATGAATTTGGATAATTAATCATTTATGGACAGTTATACAGTCATATCGCCATTGATGTGGAACTAAACATTATCTTGATGTTCGTGTCGTCCTTTGATATAAACACATACATATATATGTTGTTGCCACAGTTCGGTTTGTATCCAGCTATACTTGTTATTAACTCATGAACTTAGTGTTAATACTGCTCTTATTAAGTCAATCCTGCTATGATTGGTTTTGAGGCAGTTTCTATCACAGATTGCCATAAGCTAGAAGGTAGAGAAAACTAGAGATCACCAGACAGCTGTTTGTTCATTTAAATTTTTTTAGTTCTAATGTTGATGCCTGATGAAAGCTGTTTCGAAGTCGATCAGTTTAACACATTTCTGTCAACTGAATAAGTCTCATGTTTGCTTACACTTCTTTTGTTACCTTGCTTCTTATTTCATGACTAACTATTGTATTCACGGTTAAATAGTATATAGTTCACGTTTCTTTTGAAACATCTCCCTCAGTTTGCTACTTTGCATTGTGTATGCGTCTACCGTGTATTGCATCCTAGTTTATGTAACCTAGTGTCTACAGCATACGGCTAAAATTTATGAATTCATTAAATCCTGTTTTCTCCGTTTCCGTTGCTTATTTGTCTCGGGAAAGAAATGCCTTCAATACTATTTTGATCCAAATTTAAGTATCATGCATAATACTATGTAAGCTTAATTTTGACAGGCACTAACTAAGCACTATAAGGTGTAGTATACATGAAGAATGTCTATTCTTTTCTGGACAAAGACTTGTTCAGCAAATTATGCTAAACAAATGTAGTTCTGATTATACTGTTTATGAATTCATGTAGTAAAATAGTCCTTCCCACCTCAAAGAAGCAAGAAAATGATGGAATTTACAGGCATTTTATGTTAATTGAAGTTTGGAAGGCGGTTTCTGGTCAACGTTTGTTTCTGGATTTTACTATACAGAAATAAAAGCTGTGGATCTTAAGCTTCTATCTAGGTGGTCATCAGGTGGTGCGAATCTTAGATTCAGAGCTGATAAACCTTTATAACAAAGCAAACATTGTAGTCTTTTGAATGTAACTTTTCCTGGACAGTAACTGGTGAAAGTCAGTATTCTGGCAATCATATTGTTTGTTTTAGCTTAAAACATAAAACTTCTAATGTGTCTGTATTATGCACTGTTTTCATACTAATATGAACCAGATAATGGAAGAAAGTAATAATATATACAATAGCTGGTAGAAAATGCTTAACGTTTGCATGATAATGAATTGGGATAAAGCAAGAAGAACAGTTTTTCCAGAATAAAATGGTACCATCATTTATCTCGTTGGCTTCTCATCAGGTGCTTACAGGCCAAAGACATTATTAAATATATTTACAAAAACAATTTTAACATACTAGGACATTAAGGGGAATAAATATATGGAATTTCTGATAATGCGTTTGTTTAACATTTTGTATTAGTAGAAGTTTGTCGAAAAACAGATGCTGTCTAAGCAAGTGTATTTATTGGATTGCATTGCATTCCATTTACATAGAATATCTTATATCCTTTTTCTATAAATGAATAACCATACTGTATCAAATGTTATTGTACAGATCAGGCTAACTGCATTTGGATGGAATTGATCATCTTATCACTAAGTGACAAGTTGGAATCTCTGTGGCCTGCAGATGAGTTCCAACAAATGTGAAAACTAAACTTTTAAGAATTAAATAAAGTATAATTATATTTTAATAGTTGACACACAATATTGTGTGTAAACTATTAAAATATAATTATACTTTATTTGATCTAATCCACAATGCTCAAACTTTTTACTAATATTAATTTTAAGAATTACGTTTTGATGAACATTTTTCACTTTGTCTAGTATATTTAAGACGTCAGCATATGCTTAAACACTGATTTATAGCGCACTTCTGTAGTCATCGTAAATAAGTTTATCAAATATATTTTTGCTTGTATTTAGGAAAGTTTTAAGTTAATATTGAAAAATTATCTACATGACATATATTATAATTATACTATGTTAAGACGATTCTGTATAAAATTTTTGGAGTGTTATTCAAAGTGAAGCCCCTATTTCAGGGATATCTGCTGTAACTGTTTTGATTACAAATGTACCAATTAAGCTGAATTTGGTCAACTAAAATCTTTCAGAGGTTGAGCTTACCTGAAATGGGGTCATTTAACCCCACTACTAAATTCAGATCACTGTATCATAAGAATATTGCCCAAAGTATATGGAAAGCAGCACAAAAGGGTCTTCTCATACCTTGGAAAGAAAACACAACACAGATGTTATTCCCATGACAACATACTGAACCTAAGGTCCATGTTAAAAGACACAAACTGGGATCTATTTACTGAACAAGCTCTTGATAACACAATTGCCAACATAACACATTATCTTAATTTCTGTCTTGATGTTTGTTGTCCAAAAGAGACAATCTTCTTAAAATTCGATCGCTTCTCCTCTTCTCAACTCAAAAAGCTCCGCCGTGAAAAAGAAAGGTTGTTCAAAATGAAAAACAAATCTGGTGTTAAGAGAATGAACACTTTGATTAAGCTTGAATTACAAAGATTGAATGCTCTCTATAACCAGAAGTTTCTTTCATGTAAATCCCCATCAAATATGTGGAAGTTATTAAAGGAAATCACAGGTGGTAAGCAAATGTTGAATGATATTTCTGTAGATGTTAACATGCTTAATGAATCCTTCATATGTATCCCAGCAAATGTTATGATTCCTAACTCAAATAGTGTAAACAATGACTGCTTCTCATGCTTTAACACGAATGATGTCCTCAAGTGTCTTCAATCTCTCAAGCCTACTCAGTCCCTCGGTCCTGATGGTGTTCCTGCTGTTATCCTTAAGAAGTGTGCCGACATCTTGTGTTCCCCGCTAACTGACATTTTCAACGAATCGTTTTCCAAAAGTATTATACCTGAATCATGGAAAAACATCAAGATCGTTCCAGTGCCTAAATCTACAAGTGGACCTAATGTTAAGTTTAGACCCATTTCAATTACCTCACCCTTTTTGAAAGTTATGGAAAGACTTATTTTACTTAATCTTGATCCCTCTTTAAAACCTTTCAACGACCCCAACCAGTTTGCTTATAAACATAGTAGGAGTACGTTAGATGCCGCTGTCGTCCTCCACCATAGCATAGTCTCTAGTTTAGATAAAGGAGCTAAATACGTTCGCTGTGCCTTCCTTGATTACACATCTGCATTTGACTCTGTTCCCAGGTCTCTCTTGCTAAGTAAGCTTGCTGCAACACAGGCTGAAAGCTGGACAAATAAGTGGTTGCATTCCTATTTTTCTGAAAGGAAGCAGTACACCGTCTACAATGGAAAATCCTCCACTACCTCACTTACTTTAGCTGGTGTTCCTCAAGGTGCTGTTCTTTCTCCCTTTCTGTTTTCGTTTTTCTTACATGACTTGCCTCATTCTGATGTAGCCACTTTTGTTAAGTATGCCGATGACCTCTCGGTTTCTATGCCTGTCAACTCTCAGTCAGATTGTTCCAAATTAAATAGCTTTCTGTCGGAAATTAGTCAGTGGTCCTCTTCAAACGGACTTAAGCTTAATCCGTCTAAATGTCAGGTAGTCAATTTCACTTTCAGACGTAAATGTGACCTACAGCAACTAGTTAGCTCACATGGCCCCACTCTCATTGACGGCACAGAGGTTGAAAATACATCTTATGTCAAGTACCTTGGGCTGAGTTTTTCCACCGATCTTTCCTGGTCTTCCCACATCTTGCTAGTTACTAGAAAGATGTTTCGCTTAACGTTCTACATTAGGAAATTTAGGCAGTCTGGCATAAAGCAGTCTTTACTTTCTCAGTTTGTAAATTCTTGTATTCTACCCATCCTCCTTTACTGCTCCCCATTAGTCTTTCCTGGACTACTTAAGAAAGACTTTGCTTCGCTGAGAAGGGCACTAAAAGCTGTTAGTAGGGCAAGTGGGATATCGTTAAACCAACTGGTGAACACTATTGTAGATAGACATATTATGTCATGTAAGAAACTAGCGAATACAATATTGTCGGACCCCGAGCATCCTCTCTATACGCATCTATCTCCTTGCATTTCATCTGGAAGAACTAGAAGCAGCTATAGGAGGCTATATGCTAGGACTACCAAATACAAAAACTCCACAATACCATATCTGGCACAGCTGTTATGTGATGAGAAATCCGTTAGGTATGACACGATAAACTTACTGCGGCACTCTAACAAATAGTCCCATTAGTTTTTGTTTTCCTTTCCTCGTTACTATTACACTGTTGTTCTCATCTTCTACCACACATCAACTTTATATTTCAAATCCTGTGGTGCATTGTTTGAAATGAAATACTCTACGCTGTTTTTTCTTAATTTTTATTTATTTTATTTATTTATAACTTATTTATTTTATTTTTATTTATTTTTGATTTTTAAAAATCTTATATAATTTATGAGGTAATTAGATGCAATATACTGTAATGCACGCTGAAAATTCCATACCTGTACCACAAATACTGTTTGGAATAAAGCTGTTATTATTATTATTTTGATGTTAGCGTTACGCAGATGATTGAGTCCTACTAGTTGAACAAGCTGACAAAATATGGCTCTCTGGATACCTTCAGTAATAATCAGTATATGCTCACATGAAAGTTACCATGGTTAAATTTAAGATGGTCTGCACCATCTCATAGTAGTTTAAGGATTGTGAGTGGTGAGAATTCAGGCTCCCTATACCGGGCTATAAGTCAAATCCATCTTGACCTGGCTGAAGTAGGCGGGTTAATGTTGTGAAATAGTTAAATGTGATGACCACTTTACTTGTCTAGGGATTCGCATTAGACCCAATGAAGAACATGGGTTCACAAGACTAGTCTGCAATATGCCGACCTGCATCATCTTCAGCATTATACATCAAAGTGGATGTGTATTGTGCAGCGTTTCGCATCGTTCTACTCGACAGCTGAGGTATTGTTGTAGAGAATTGAAGATATGAATAAACAAACGTTTCGTGATCATATTTGCTTCCGTCCGATCTCTTATGTTACGTGAAGCGGCAGTGTTAGTAATAAAAAGGTTAAGTGTTTGAAAGAAGTTAGCGCTGGTCGGACCAATACATGTTACTAACTGTGTGTCAGTGGCACAGTGGTTAGGACTCTCGCCGACTATGCACATGGTCTGAGGTTCGATCCCTGCCGACGCACATCTGATGTCTCTGGCCGGCCTGCAAAATTTGGGCTACCGATATCCATGCTGAAAATTCCATACTTGTACCGAAAATACAGTGTGGAATCAAGCTGTAATAAAAAAAATCAAGGCTGTGACTTTTAATTTCAGCCAAAGAGAGAGGTGTAGGCTGCCTTTGTGGAATCTCCATGACACTAAGGCCGTTTTAAACATTACTTAAAGTTGTTTTCAGTGGTGTGAATGTTATCATCCAGAGTCTGAAGATATCCACTAATTTTCGTCTAATCATTCTTTCTCTTGTACATTTTTGTCCTTTGTGGTTCCAGTGCATTCCTTTTTCGTTTTCATGTGTACATCGAAGTGTGGAAACGTGAAGTGTTTCATCTTTTGCAAAGTTGAACGCTGATTAATCAGTAATTCAGGTAGACATCTCCCTGATAATTCGTCCAGCCACTACGCTTATTTCATATTGTACAGGCAGAATATTCACTAAGAGACAATGTTATTATTTTTATTAATACCACCACATTATTAATCTCTGTCAACTGGAGAATTTTCATTTCCATGTTTATCGAGTAGTCCTGTTATATATTCATTAAAAAATGATATATTGTACAGCCTAACCTTAAAACTTTAGAACATCCTTAATTGGGGAATTCGACTATTTCTTACAAGCATCAGCAATGCTTGTTAATATTTGAAAACATTTTGACATGAATATATTTAGACTGGAAATCACTAGTTGAAATTCGTATTCCCAGTGATTTAAATGTAAATTCAGTCGCAATAATCCATCAAATATTGAGTCATTTTTAGATTTAAGATAGGTTTACACATAAATGACAATATTTAGCATGCAATTAAAACGCTTCCCAATCTCAAATCGTGTCTATTGTATGCTGTACTTTGTACATGTACGACGAAATTCTCACCTCCATGCATTTACTATCGTTTTTTAAATTTATGGCTCAATAGTCATTGGTCGACTAGGTCATCATAAGATTCAGAGATTATTGTTCATTGTTGTTAGTTGGGTAGATATCAAATAATTCATTGTTTTTATTTGTTTTTTTTATTAAACTTATTCCCTTTGGTGAAGTGCTTGCATTTCGCAGAACTGGTACTGTGTATAAGTGAGTAAGTTGTTCCACCTGCTTACAGCTTCATAAGTGACTAGCGATTCTACTTTTCAAAGATATATATTCGGACAGTTTAGTAGAAGGTGCTTTCAACTTTAAAAAAAACTACTACTTAGATTCCTGTCCATTAATTTGACAAATTTAAATGGTCACCAGCTGGAAACTTACTCTTTGTTTATTTCAGTTCTAATTACCATCTACATGCGTTGACTGTTGACAAAAAGTACTTTATATGGTTAATGGAAACATTTCTTTCCATGCATTATGCGAAATATACCAGTGTCAGTAAACCCTTAAGTTTGATTTTTTTTAATGTATGTGAAAAGCATGACTGAGAGCGACCGGCATGCTGCTGAGTTATTCAAAAGACCTAGAATTATGAGTGAACTAGTATTTCGATACATTTATTCTAATGCTTTTAAATAGCCAAGCAATATGTCGTTTACGTTAAATCAAAGAGCATGAAACAACAGAAGAAATAATGAAAAAATGACTGTTTTCCCAGACACTTAAATCGCTTACTTGTGAGTTGGTTAAGGTAAAACACCGTGAAAGGACTCGGGTCCGTTACACAGTTGCAATGACCTGTCTTTGAATGAAATATCTATTACTAATAACTCTAAGTCATGAAATTTGTGTAAAAACATTTCCATCTTGTTTATAAGAATGTGGAAGTAATCCTACTAAAAGTCTTTAAAAATATTATTATGGCTATTTCTTTCAAAAATTTCAAACCCTTAGCACTATTCCACGATTACACCTATATCATCAACGAATATTACAACAACTGATTATAACACATCTACTACTCTCCCCGCTGAAAATTCTTCGAATCCAGTTACTTGGAGTGAGGAAAGTTTTGTCACATTTTGGACTATACAAATTTGCTTGTTTCATTGGTCATTTTCATATTGAATTGTAACTCAGAACGTCACCAATGCTTGAAAAAGAATAAAGTTATCCTAATTGATAAACATTATCCAATATTCAGTGTAAATTATGAAAGCGCTGAGATTCATGAAAAAGATATTTTGAAACAATCAACCGATAATCAGGAAGAAACGTTCAAAGATGAGAATTTAGAGTTACAAAAGCTACAGGTAAGTCGCACTTAGCAGTTGATGTATGCCTGTATGTTTTTCTGTTATTTGTTTATTTATTTCTGTGTGAATAAAGCTGACAGAGGTTGTATTTGGTCCTATCGAGCATCAAATATGCATAAATAATGTTATTTATTTCAAGGTAAATTTTACCACTTACTGGAACAAGTAAGAGTAATACTCAAAATCAAGGAGTATGGGATAGCTGTTGAGCCGTGATTTGTAATTCTCTAGTAGTAGGAACCCATGGCTCTACCAATCATGTGTTCATCATCACCTACATATTTACCCGTCTTTTGGGCAGTCTTCACTGTCTCTTTCTACAATTTCTAATGTCTTCATACAGTTCCTTCATCTCATCTTTACCTTGCAACTGTTTCGAACAGTTCATGATAACAAAATATTATTGCTAGTCACTTCAAACTATATTGTTAACTTCCCATTGGAGGTTTCAGTTTTTGGATTTGACGTAAAACCATACTATGAATATCACCAGCCAAAACGCTGACGTCTTAATGCACGTACGAACACTGATTAATAACCAGAAACCGGTTACTAGCTTAAACTGAAAATTTCTCAGGCTCAAATGTTTCAAAAGAAGACACCCGTATAGTAAGAAGATGACAGACAACAGAATTTAACTAAACATAAACTAATTCAGTGTCTTCATAATGACTGCCTGGAAAATTGAGTGGTAAAATCTAAATAAATAGAATAGGCATTAGTACTAAGCAATACTATTTTATTTAGTAAAAATCATACAGTGATATACTAATATTTACTGATGACGTTTCGAGTATACTTAATTGCTCATTGTCACATTAAGGCACTGAGATGATTTTCAAACTTTCTTTATATAATTCCTTGAGGAAGTTAGAGCACTCATTCCCTTTGATAAATTTAAATAAGATATTAAAAAGGCAAATATCTTAAGACTAAATCATTTTGTAGTTTCATTACGATCGCTTGATAACTAACATGGTCCACAATTACTCAGATATATAAAACAAAAGTACATACTAATAACCAGTCATATTTTAGCAGGTCAAGTAGTCCATATTAGGCTAAGTTTGAAGTGTATTGTTTTCTGTACACATTGTTTGGGATGCATGTGATTAATCCAAAGAGCTTCCATCACCTGTAATGACCTTGAACTAAAGTTATGTGAAATAATCGAGCAGTCGTTAATATTGATTTTGTGACCTGACATTAATAAGTGTTTTCCTATGGATGATGTTGGATTTCTATTCAGATTAAGTGCATTTGAGTTTTCTATGTATCTTAATAGCCATTTAGGAATATGTTCTTTCCGACGACATTAGAAAATTCCTATGTCTGTACTAATATATATATATATATATCGCCGCAACTGCAGACGAACTTGCAGATACAGTATGAAGTAAAGTCCTTGAAACTGCGTCCTTGAACAGTAGGCATATGGATTGAAAATGTTCGTGATATAAGAAAAATAGATTCAGCATAAACTATATGCTTGTTGGCTGACCGTATCCTTTGAGCTGTCAATTGCATAGTTTAATCACCCTTAAACGATAGTTTAATAAAGATGGATTTTTTAGTACGGAAGCTGTCTTTTCAAGAAGCAGTCTGTCTTAACAGTGACGTGCAATGAAGTTTTCCGGATATCCACTAGCCACATCGTATCCGGTCCACTAAAGTGTCGCTCGTGCAAGTTTTATGGGCCTCTGAGAACAGGTATCTCACTAAGGTACGCTTATCCTGGAATGAATATACTGTCCACTTCATGTCTGCTTGAGAGATAGGTGTCACATAGTTGTTCCGTCATCCTGTCTAGTCACTGAAATATCCAGGAAACTCAGTGTGTTATTCAATTTGATTTCTGAGGTCACTCGAATATTTATATGAGTATCATCAAATAAAGTAATGAAGTTGTCAACTGATTCATTAGTCACCAATAATAAGGGTGTCATTCACTAAACGTAGCATATTTCCACTTCTTTCTCCATTTTCGACATAAATACATTTGCAATCAGGGACCCATCCGAGTGTCCCATTCCAACACTATCAATTTTTCTGTGTTTTTTCCTCGAAAATCAAATCATATATTTTCTGTACGTATCAACCTTTGCCTACCCACTAAAATATGATTGGTTATTAGTATGTACTTTTGTTTTATATAACTGAGTAATTGTCAAACGTTTTGTGAACCATGTTAGCTATCAAGCCATCGTAAAGAAACTATGAAATGATTCAGTCTTAAGATATTTGTCTTTCTAATGCCTTATCTAAAACTGAAAAATCCTATTATTCCTTATCCCTTTATTTTATTTTCCATATCTGTGGTATCGGCATTGCCTATGTGTAGATTCTATGGACATAGATTTGGTAATCAATTTCTCGATCCACCTACCTATATTACTCTTTAGGACTGTAGCTCTACTCCACCCTCTCGTGAGATTGTGTTAGTTCATGCATTGTGATTACTGAGTTTTTTCCAAGTTACCTTCCTAGGTTCAGTTATTCCACACTTTCAATAATCCGACTGTTTCCGGTTTTGCTGGCCCAATTTATACAGTGAAAACATCAGTATTAGATAGCTGGAGGACTAGACACATTACACTAGATACTGACTAGTGTCCAATCAAAAATATACATCATCAGTAAATAATACTGTATCACTGAGTGTTTTATATCAAATAGAATTATTGTATGACGAAATTACTCTCTAACATGGTGCCCAAATTATGTTTCTATATTAACCAATACTGTTAATCATCTAGAATTTGGGTAAGAATGATAATTAAATAGCTCCTCATAACAGACTTCTATAACCTCAACTCGCTTACAGATGTACTAAGGTTTCCCATCACTCAACCTCATCTTAAATTGGATGTGAATACCAGTTTCTCAAATATGGCGGATGTTGCAGATGGTGTCTGTAGTATTAAACAAAGCGAATCCATTTGACTCGAGAGGTCTCTGAGAATGTCAATGGCACCTAGGATAATGGCTAGTGTATGAAAATCTGACGTAGTCCCAGTGGATCAGCGTACATCGTTGATTAAATAAATCAAAGTAACAAGAAAAGACTTGACTACTGGAAGTTAAGGACAGCAAAAGACCATAAGTCTGTTCATTGAGTTGCTCGCGTTAGGTGGAGTAACATAACGGATAGTTTTGAGACTATACGTGGAGAGGATAAGGAAGGTGAGTAAAATAACGGGCTTGTAAATCTTCATTAATCGAATTGGATAAGACATATGTTACGCGTTCCAAGCTACTTCTTTTTTCGACGCGCACTGCTAGCTCACATATGATCATTTCGGAAGAATGAAAGCAAAATAGAATTGATCAGTGGTGAAGTCTGTGACTGTTGGTTTGAATCATGTGGAGTATCGTAAATTGTTTAGTTGAGGCTCCCGGGATGGTGAGAGTAATAATTCTTATTCAACGAATCTTGGTGACGCGGCTGAAAGTCATTTAAATCACTGCTCGCATTAAACTATTTGGTCTTTTACATTTATACCTGTTCATTGTAAAAATTTGCATTCATCTTTTATTCTTCTATGTATGCTTTTGAATTGATACTTTCCTGTGTAACGTCCTACAGCAATTTTTCAACCAGTTACATCTGTATAGAAGTGGAATGTTTTTGAGGTCTTCACGTTTAATGGGAAAGGCCATCAGTATGTTAATAATAAGCGTAATGTAAAGTGATCTGGAGAACAATTATTTTCTAGGATAAATTTACAGACCTAATGTATAATAATAATCTGCAGATTGAAGATAAGGTTAACGTATGAAATGCATGTAAAGTTCTCTGTTGAAACTCTCTATTTGGTATTCTACTTAGATGGAGTTATTTACATTACGCGCCTGCAAATAAAAAGAATATACATGGAAAGCGTGACAAAGAAGTGATCTACTAGTTCGTTTAGTTGAATGAATTATGCAAAAATATGCATAGTTCTGAAAGGAACTATGAATTAAAATGTTAATTATAGTTGTCATGGTAGGTGTGAAAAAGTCCAAACTTCCAGTTACCTGGCTACTGAAAAGAATAAACAGAAAAAAACCAGTGTTCTTAAAGTTAACTAATGAGTCCTAACTGTCACATATGATGTAACCAGTGTGTACTGAGTAACTCTTTCCTAGTTCAACTCAATTTCGACTAGTCTTAAATGAGGCGGATATGCAGGTTATGTAACTGGATTGTTGTAAACAGTCATTCGAATGATATCAGGGAAAAAAGTTCTGTGGATGAAACTAGTTAAGATTTGCTTTTTCTCGTCTGGTTTAGTTTCAGTCTTTCCATTTATAGTCGTTTGTTTACCTTCAATCTTCGACGGCGTTTTTTCTGAAGCTCTTTCATGAATTAGGACCATGCTTAAGTGTGTGCGTTTTTTATCTCGTTTTTCGGAGGTTATCAGAAGCGTCGTCCCATACACGTTAACGTAAGAAAACTGATTGCGCCTACTGCTGCAGCTAAATACTGAACCATGCTGGATTCAAGTATAGCTATTAATCCACCAGAAAATATAAACAAATTCTCTATATGCTTCCAAAGCGCCATTAAACCGGCGAATAAACGCAGGTGTGCGTAGGAGGTTTAGAGTGTGAAAATATCAATTAGCCTGTCTTCATAATGCAATCAGTACAAACTACTACATACTTTTCCTCAAAATGACTCATTTACTGTTTCAGATTTCAGCATTTTTCAAAATGAGTTTGGTCAATTATCTCTGTTTAAGAGTTTATCTGTTTTGGTGGTGAAATGTATGGGAGTACCATGATGCTAATTGGAGAATATCATGCTGAGTGTTCATCGCTGTGGCTGATAAAGCTGATGGGTAATTCAAAAAGCAGTTCAATGCTGTCATGTGTTGTAGATAAGTGTCGCAGTAGGCAGGAACAAGATATTTGAAAGCAACTGTTGCGTACTATCGAATATTCTGATGGATAGTACATATCGAAAATTCGACATACGACTATGTTGGAGTTATCTAAGACGTCATTAATTGAATAAAATGAATCATTATTCCTTGGAGTTTTTATGCAACTACCGGAAAATGTATACATTGAAGCATACTATGAGAAAGATCAGATTCTTCAATGGTGCTTTTTGTTGTTCTTTGAAGTAACCAGTTAAAATTTAAATTCTCCTTATTATCTATTATCTTGCACTTTTTTCAGTGTAAAATCTAAATCATCTAACCAGCATTGTTTATCTCACAATATTTTAATTTAGGCAAAATCTCCTGAAAAGGATTGTTCATTCTTATCACGGATAACCTACGCTTGGTTTACAAGGTGAGGTGATTCTTTTAAAATTCTGTTTGGTTAATCATTAGTAATTGTTATTCATGATCAGTATCTTTATTATTTACCCATTCAAAGTTTCAATGGATAATAGGTATCATAGTCATTCTTTGAAGTATCAAAAAATTAAATTTCTCTTTTCAAAAGAGTACTAAACATGTAATTATTACTAGACAAATGAATAAAGTAAAAACGAAATAGTCTGTAGAATACTACAGATTCTTTGTACTCTGTGATCTATTCCTTGACTAACTACCTTGAGTAGATGAAAAATACTGGAATTCGATATTGAGAACTAGTTCGTCGATGGAGAATACCTGTCATATATGGGTGAACATAAATTTGTTATTTAATTATGGTTGCATTTATTGTTTCATGTTTGATGTCACACAAAATCGAAGACTTACAAGCGAAAACCGACAAACTGGTCGAAGAAACAGCAAAGACAGAACTCCAGTTGAACATAAACAAGACGGAGGTTATGAAAATAACCAGCCAACAACAACAACAGCAGCAACATCCAGCGCCAATCACCATCAACGGGAGGGATTTGAAAGAGGTCACTTCATTCACTCACTTATCTAGGGAGCATTGTCTCGATTTCAGACAGTCGGAACGGACGAGAATCGGGAATCGGGAAGGCGAGAAACACATCATTCATCAAACTGAAACCAATCTGGAAATCTTCGTCACTCAGCCACCATCAACAACTAAATTCGGTCGGATTTTCAATACAGTCACGTCAAGTCAGTCACTTCTTCTCTACGGATCAGAAACTTGGTGGGCGGGTCACAAAGAATATTTCCAACAGCCTGTTGCAGACCTTTATCAACTGCAACTGTCTTCGCTCTATACTGAAGATCAGATGGCCGGGCCGGAAAGAATCACCAACAAGAAACTATGGGAACAAACAAAAAAAGCAAGAACCAATCGCCCAACAAATGTGCAGGAGAATGTGGAGATGGATTGGACACTCGCTGAGGAGGCCGGTTGGTGACATCACGCGCGCGTCAGGCCATTGCTCGAGTGGAACCAGGCCAAAAGGGAAGCGGCGAGTGGGACGTCAGTGCAAGGGTGACATGGAGGAGATCGTCTGAAGAGGAGTTGAAAGAGTATGGACTGTGATGGATGCAGGTGAAAAGTACAGCAGAAGACAGAAGCAAATGGAGGCGTGCATTTGAAGCCCTATGTTCCACTAGGAACCCAATGGAACAAGAATAATAATATTGTTTCATGTCGCCCATTGTGTAAGGTGTGGAAACAATTGTTTTGGCTTTTTTAAATCATTATAAACTAGATATGCCTTTCCGTCCATAATATTCTACAGAATTTCATTATTCATCCTAACAAATTTAAGTGTAGTTATTTTTCGCGTTTGTATCTAGTAGAAGTAATGCAATGATACTAAATACATGCAGTTTATTTTTCTGTATATTTTGATACAACATGTGTTATCCTTTTAGAATTTGCGTAAAGTATTTTTGCATTACATATTTTCAAAATTACACTTTGAAACAGTGTACTCGGGGTTCTGTCTTTAGCTATATCATTTATTGGCAGGTTGGTGGTTTTAACAAAAGAATATTGTTAACTCAAAAAGTCATAATTAGGAAAATTTCGAAAATGACGTCCTATTACTGCTGAAGCAAGCAGTCTTTAAGATGTAACCTTGCCCGCAGATATCGTTCGGTATGATTTCTTATCCAAGAGTTCCTAATGGTTGTCACTGATGTCTGATCAACTTTTCCGTACACTGTCCTGGTGGAATTATTATTTCCAACTTTTTGAAGGTATTTCAGTGGTTAACTGATTCAATCCAACTAATTGCTTACCTACTTACTAGGAGTTGGTAGATAAGACACCTGTGATTCTCCATGAGTATATCAAATACTTTAAAACTTATCCACTCTCTAAAAACTTATCAATGGATTTATTGTTCTGTAAACAACACTGATGGATCTTGGTATACGTATTTCCTGATTAGGATTAATTTGTATAAATATTCAGTCGTGTAACTACTCACATTGAAATATACTTCCAAATGCGCTTTATCTTCCCTGAAGTTCTGTTTAAATTTTTATGCAGAAAAAGTTTTTTTTGGCAAATTCACTTTTTTTTATTTAAAAAAGTCTGATAATAAAAATTGGCTTGTTTTATATTAGAATAAGCATGTCCGAATTCCATTTCAAATTTATATTGCCAGTATTTCTCTAAACTAGCAGTCCCTTGGCTAACCAAACGTTAAATCAGATTAATTGGTTTAATAATTAATGCCTACACTACTCTCTTTGAAGGACAACATTTGTTCAAAAATACTTAATCAAACATAATAAACATGTTTTTGTGTAAGTCCATATGCTCTATGCTGTGGATTTTGAAGAAATAGGCACCTGGACAACAAATATACTATCTTTTTTTTCTTCAAAATTTTCAGGTTGATTGTTAAAGGATTTCGTAAACCACTGGAATTCAAAGATTTATGGCGACTGGATTCAGAACATCGTTCAGCTAACCTTTCAAAAATATTCTTAGCCAATTTAGACAGACATATAGTACCTAAAAAGACAGCTAATTCCTATCTGTAAGTCACCGTTTATTTTTACCGGTCGATTGTGTATTCATGTTTCTTTGTCTGCTCTCGTATATCATATTTTTTCTACGGGTATTATCATTTACTTTAATTTATAGTAAATTTCTCTTTTATTACAAAAATATTATAGAAGTAATCGGTTTAAAAAGTACTATTTAATTGCAGATTATTCATTTTCAAAGTATCCGAGATATTCATATTGAAATTAAACACTGAATGTGTAATTATGCTCAGCATTTCTGTATAGTTGCAGATGTTCACATCCCATTATTTTTTGTCTTCAAACGAATCTAAGCTGATGTAGGTTAAAAACCCTAACTGTCGCTTGACTAGACCTGTTCATTGCAACGCCAATACACCCTTGTTTCTGTGTTGTGCGTGTGTTCATCACTCTACACAGTGTTGTTGTCACTTTGTCTTTTGATTAAGAGTGCCGTAATGAACCTCTTACAGCAAATACTCGTATAAACTAGGTAATTTAACGTCATACATAAACAGATTCGGGTTGCGCGTGTTAGCCAGTGGTTAACGGTCCAGTCTTAGGTGTTTTTTATTTAACTGGTATCAACTGGATAATGCCAATGGGAAGGATTGATTCACTTCTATAAATTCACAGTACTAAAAACTAAAAGTCCTAAGAAACAAGTGATTAGCGTTGGATATGATACTGTTATTGTAGGGTAAAAGTCTCAATGAAGCTACCAATGCAATTAGATGAATGTCCATCTGTTTAGTGAATCTGAAAAAGGAGGAACCACACACCATTTCCAGTAAATGTTATAGTTTACCTGGTTATATAATTGTTTGTTAGCTCCCCGTTGTAAAGAATCTTTGATCTGAACGAAATGTCAATGGATATTTTAGATTTTCAGTCTGTCATTCATGGCGTAAAGCGCCTGACAGCAACCATTGATAGGAATTCCTCATTACTGGAAACCCGAATGTTAAATTTCTATATTTCGGAAAACAGTTGGTGTAGCAGGCCGTCTATACGTTAGCTGCTACTATCTCAATCTCACTTCAGTCATCTAATAAGCTTCCCTATGTTACGCGTGAGTGTCCCTTGATCTTCATTTCGGCTGTATCTTTTTATTCCAGTTGAAATTAAAGAAGAGATACCGTGTAGTATTTCAAATCCAGTAGATGGGTAAATAAAATGGCCAAACGTTAATGTGAGAACATTTTGCTATTTTACTTCTTTGCCGTCTTTTAATCCATCATGTTTTCTTCTTCAATGTTTCAGTGAAAGACGTCGTACATCCATGGGGAACAGTGTTTGTGATCATAATTTAGAATCATCAGAGAATGAATTACGGCGCAAGTCGGCACAGAGTATTCTAGGCATTGGTCTTCCCCAATATAACAAACATTTATACAAGTCTGGATTAACAAATAACTATGTAGATGAGACAACAACTGTTCGAAGAGCTAGTGAGGGCTTTTATTTACTTAATAAAGGATCACTTGACAAATCTTCATCATCTCTGCTTAACAGTAATAACTGTGATGTTAGTAATCCAGATCTACTTACACTGAATAACCGTTTGGACCACAAGGTTGGATCTACGCATTTAACTGATATTGAAGTTCACTCAGAGTGTGAAGATCCCCCAGTTAATGCAATTAAAGGTAAGGTATTCGGTAAGTTTCTATTCTTCTGGTTTCGGAATGATGTATATATATATTTTTTTTCTGGCATAATTACTTTATGTTGGCATATTGACATGACTTATGAACAACTTTATATTAAAAATAAAATGTTTTCAAAAAAGTTAAAATGACTGAATGAAAGTGTCATTGAATAAATGAAGCTTAACTTGACATTTATTCATGTACTTATCACGCCTTACAGTAAATCCTTATGCTATCTAGATCTCCATGTGGCACTCATATGCGGTCTTTCCAAAATGTTAATTTCTCATGACTGTGCTTTTTGTCCTTAGTTTTTTGGTCGTTAGTTTGTTGCTGTCAGCAGTAGAGTCGTCTAATTAATCCTCAGATCTCGTAACACTTGTTCGAATACTATAAAGTATCATTCTTGAATAAATAAAGTTATCTCCAAACATCAGAATCAGTGCTCATAGTCCAGTCCTAACGACATTATCCTTGCCGAATTCATAATATAAATGATTGTTGCTTCTAGAACTCGTTGACAGAACCACAGAAGTGGACAATCGATAAAGTATTGGTGTATAAAAGGGGCACCTGTTCTAGCTTAGTACTCATAACTTTTTTCAAATTAATGACATCTAAAATAACCTATTTCGAAAGTAAATCTATGCTTACTTTATTTCGTTTAAACTGTCCTTCATTATCTTATTTATATAATCAGGTCATGAAAAAGATGCATCTTCAAGACGATCTGTACGCATACGTGTTGGTCCAAAGCCGGAATATATTCCAGAATTGTCAGAGAGTCATAGCGATTCAATGATTTTTACTCCAGCAAATGAAAACGTTAGTTGATTTACTTTGAAACCATCCGTATATCCAAATTTACAGTTTGAATAATACCATAAATATTTTTTTAATGTATATTTTACTAAGACAAACAACAAAGGTTGATAAGGGAGGATTTAATGAATTCATCGAATTTCGACAGAACTCTTCAGCTGAATACTCCACTTGATGGGATATATGTAGTATTAGAATTACATTGAATTATTCATGAAAAATGACACGTGTGAATGTTTTTCAGGTCATTTTCGAGTAGATAAAGGGAAGGAGTATGAACGATTAAAATTAAGATAAAATGCATTACGGTTCAGTTGCATTACACTACTGTATGCGGATGATTCCTAAAATTTTATAACTTTGATTGCTATATTGGAATTACTTGAGAGTCAAATACAGTTCAATGCCATGAGACATACTCTTCAAATTATCGAAAACAAACTCAGTCCAACTGTTTGTTTTTCATGCAAACTCTATTTGCGCACAGTTTTGTCCACATAGTTTCGCAATATTCCTTTTATCAAGGTGTTTCCGTAACTTTTCTTTCTTGTAACTTAATGTTTTCAGTCAGAGTTTTGCATGAAGAAAGTCGGGAATGAAACAGCACCGACTAACAATAATACTGTTTTAAAGAATGACAATCAGTCAGTTGATCAGAAAATCTCACCGTCTGAATTCAAAACAAAGAGTGTAAGAAGTTCAGTTGAATTCGATGTATCTGTGAAACCTCAGTCGAAATTCAAACGTTTCCATTTTGGTTTTGTAAATAAAAGAAGATTTGGTCTTATAGGTGCATTATTCGCCACTTATGGAAGAAGATTACTGTGGTCAGCATTTCTGAAGTTGTTGTACGATATTCTAGTGTTTGTAAATCCTATATTATTAAAGTGAGTTTCTTTGACGGTTATTTCTTATCCACCTGTTTTCATTTATGCTATGCGCTTATTCTGTCTTTCTATATACACTATCACTGAATAATATTCACATAATATAGACACAAAGGCTTGTGTGACATGTACTAATAAAATACTGAGGATAAGAGGGGAAAGAGAAAAAATACAGAATCATCATAGAACAGACAGTTATCATATGTTTTACTGATAATAGATTTTAATTTGCCTGAAAACCATAATAACTGCTCTCCAGCGTAAGGTGATTTATTGTGAACATTTTTCCTCTGAAAAAATTAAAGTTTGCCATCCTCTACACCACTTCAACATCTTCAACACATATTAGTTTCTCAAGATTTTTTCAGTCAATATTTACTTTCTCTCACTTATTCTTACAACTTGTGGGGACCTTAGTAGGTCTTCTGTAGATCAATCCTTTCATTGAATCATTTCTTCGATTTAAAAGCAAGAGTAGAAATACTGTTTGATTGCCATTTTCTTCTAAACAGTCTGGAAAGATTCAATCTTGTGCCGGACTTGGTCTCTTCAGTAGAGGTGTCACGCTGCGATGCTTATTACCCAATAAAATGATAGCATTCATAGATCTCATGTTGAAGTGGAATTACGCTATCAAATCAAGAGTCAAATTTTCTACATATGAAGTGCACATATCATTTAGTAATGTTCTTAACTAACACTTGTTGAAAGTGCTGACCTTCAAAAGTGAGGTCAATTTTGTCAGTATGTAACAGCATTCTTTTCATGTACGATAAGACAATAGGGAAGGAACGATTAGCTGAGAATATGTAATCCCCAGGAATTCCAATGCAATACATTATAAGATGTGTTTACATTTAAGGAGTACATTTCATTGTCAATAATATTCACATTAGTAAGAAAAGAAACAGGTCGAAATAAGAGAGAGAGCCATATCATATGTATTGAGGAAGTAAACTTTCCTCTTATCAGTTCTGCCCATTTACGTATTGCTTTTACTTCTAATTTGCCACTACTCTATGATGTCCATCCATCATAAATCTGGTTTCTCTGAAAGAAATGAATAACTCTAAGTTTTATAATAACCACATCCATTCATCATCAACGTTACGAATAAGTGTATCAGATCTAACAAGCTACTTTTATTGAGTTTTGGAGTACTATAAAATCAAAATGTTTTTCTATTTTGTACTTGAATTTATCCTACGATGAGCTGTCTGAAGAGGCAAGAACAGTTTTTCAGTATTCTGATCGTATTACTTAGCCTATAAAGGGTGAGAGTACTGTCTATTCACCTTAATTTGGAATGAAGAACTCAGGTTTATTTTATCTTACAATCAAGCGTCTGAAAAGTTTTATATCTGACGTTGGTTATTTTGCACGTGTTATAATATTTCTTCAAAGTACTTCCGTAGACACTACTTTCTTGTGAATGTGTATTTTAGCCAATGAAGCGAATCTTATTTTGAATCTATAGGCAGTGGGGTATGGAATACTGAATGATACAGTTTTAATTGAAAAGTATTCTGTTGTCAGAGTAATCACGATTTCACATGGAAGCCTCTAACATCATATTCACATAATATTTTCTTGGGAATATTTCATACTTATGTTTTAGGACAATTAAAACTAGGACCTTTTTGATTTATTGAATGTAAAGTCGATAACTTAGTGAATATGCAAGCACTAACAGTTACTCATTTCTGAAATTTTCTTAAATAGGTTATTATTAAAATTCCTACAGAATGTTCAGTCAGAACCAATATGGCATGGATATTTATATGCTATAGCCATATTCATTGATACAAGTGTACAATCACTTATACTACAATGTTATTTTCATGTTGTCTTCAGTCTTGGAATGAATATAAAAACAGTGATTACTGCATCTGTCTACAGGAAAGTAAGTCTTTATTGTATGTGTACATGTTGATGCGTAAATCACCTTTAGTCGTTTGAAGATTCCAGCTTTTGGCATTAGAGAAATAAATTGGCTGATCGAATAAGGAAATACCTCCTTTTAATTAACTTCTCACTCATATCTCTATACTAATGCATAAATTTGACGAGTAATGTCAAAATACCAGTGTGTTGGTTGTAAGTTAGTTTACAATAATTATCCTTGAAGATAATAATTAGCAGCATTCAAATTTGAGATAATGAATAGATTGAATCCATACTTATAAGTATGGATGCATGACGGCTAAGAAGCTGTAAAAAGGTTGATATTAACAGTTCTTTCGGCTTGACCTTTTCTTAATCCTAACCTTCACACCACCTAACAGTATATATTTATGCAGCCTTGCCGGAGTTAATTTGCCAGATCCACAAAGGCAGGCATGATATGATGTGGAATAACCTTTCGTAGCGTTTCCTAAATTCGACTAGTCTATGAAAGTCAACACTGGAAACACCTTGACTTTGGCTACGACAGTTTGACTTCACCGTAATGACCTTCATTTATACTACTGTTCACTTGCTCTTATCGGTGTCCTAAGGCCTCAAGGAATGAAAATGTTTCTCAATGGGATGTTCAAAGTAGCGAATAGTGATGATTATGCCAGAATTAAACAATATTATGATTAAAGGTAAACTGAGATAATCTTCATCATCCACTGTAGTCTGTCATCCCAACAGCTTTCCTATCACCATTAATCTATTTCAGTATAGTGAATAATTATTCCAGCCATTTATTATTGATCATTTCCTTATCTATTTAAATTTGTTTGCTACTGATTTGGTGTGTTAGAATTTTTAATACTCTTCTCATGCAACTGTATCGCTGCTTTCTTCATTCTTGTCAACTAACTTTTCTGATCTGTTTTATTTTCTATACTTAGAGTCTGAGATTGAGTAATAAAGCCCGATACAAGTCGACCACTGGACAGGTCATGAATTTAATGTCATCCGACGCCCAACAGTTTGTTCAACTAATGCCATTTATAAACATTTTGTGGTCAGGACCATTTCAAATAACAATTTCCATGGTATTGCTTTGGAGAGAATTAGGCCCTGCTGTTCTTGCGGGTGTTGCCGTTTTGTTACTCCTGTTGCCTATTAATGTTCTGGTTGCGCGTCGATCTAAATTCTTTCAAGTGAGTTGTAAATAAGTAGTTCCGATTCCTATTTAGTGACGAAAGAGTTAAAAACCACCTTCAGAATTATGGAAGCAGTTTAAGATACTGAGTGTGCAGTATGTTTTATTTACCTAATTTGTTTAATTTTTTAAAATTGTTATTCCTTTGTCACTTGCTGTATATAAAAAGAATACTTATTTTTAGTCTGACCATACGGAATTAGGTGTCTGACATAGTTTGACAAATATGCATACTATAATTTCCATATTCGGTTGTCTAATAGTTTTTTTTAACCCAAAAGAGACACTTTCCTTCAGTGTGTAACTGTTTTTCTCTGCGGGAATCTCCTGTATCAAATTCTTCTCAAATTACTGTGTTTTGATTCTAGGTTGTGTCATCTTAAGGTATTATTTTGATGGGTGTTAAGAAAATGTCGATAATTTTGATACGCTTATGACAGCTGGACTTTTTAGGATACTTGTCATACATGTCATGTTATTTTCCACTTTGTGATATGCGATATTGCATGTGACTAGAAGTGAACTAAAGATGTTTTAGCTTGGTCAGATTGTGATTGAGTTGTATCAGATGCTGGTACAGAATGATGAGTAGCGTAATCAGGATGCTTTAGATAGGGACAATGTATGTTACGTATATCAGATCAAGTATTTAAAAGTTACACTATTTAATATGAAGCCAAAGTGCTCAGATTATGGTGTATCATTTGGCACCAAGACTAAAGTGTCTGTTTGTATGCATAGTGAAATTGCTGAATGTAGAATTCTGTGATGTGCCTTAGTTGTTAGTCGTCGTGCTTTCACAGTCCCCTTTTCCTCTGGTCTCATATTTTCTCTCCCTATTTCACTGTGCTTACTTTGCAGTGATAATTTTTTTGTAGTACTTCAAACCATTTCCTCTGCAGTATCTAGAAAAATAGTTCATACTGTTTCCTTGTTTGTTGTGCAGATTTAGAGTGATACTAATTATTTAAAATAATCCCGGCGTGTTTTGAAAACTGAAATAAGATTTTTCTGAACGTTTTGTTGTGTTTGACACAGCTTCTTCAACAGAAGTTAAATAATGATTCAGTCGAACTCGGTGCTCAACTTGCATAAAGATATTCAGTAAAGCAAAATAAAGTATCTTGGATACTTCCCACGTTTTAATTCCTACTCTCCATTTTACATTGATAGAGTCAGCCAGCCTTGTAACTTTACGATCAGATACCAAAACTCATCTTAAGCAACAGTTCTTATGTGCTACTGAAAAGTATAATTAGCTTTGTATTTATGTAACAAGTCTATTATTCATTGGTAAAGGAAACTAGAATAATGGCGATAGTAGAAACAATAGATCTGGGGTTACGGACTTAGGTAATTATTCATCTCAGTTGTTAGAATAGTACTTCGGCAATCCAATTACTACTCACTACTATGTGAGTTGCATGCATCTATCTCTTTAACGACCGTGTTAACTCAGTGACACTATTCTTCAGTTATACGATATTTCAGTAATATGTAAGTGGTCTTTATATGTGACATTCTGACAGCAGTGCTTAGATTTTCACAAAATCTAATAACTTTTTCCTTATTGTTGAGGTGACAGAACTTATATCTTGTCTGCTTCTCGGGTTATATGGTCAATAAACTATTTAATTGATGAGTAAAATATTAAAGGCGAAGCTAATTACTAGTCCAACGAACTGTCAGCTGAACTACCAGACGCACTTGCTAACCACGTGATGATTACACTTCAGTACCCAGTTTTTGTGTTAATGGTTGATACACAACCTTTCGTTTATACTCACCCTAGATGCTTAGGTAGTAGTAGTAGTCTTTGAACTCAAGATTATCTCAATTAGTCTCATTATCAATAAACTATGTGATTTTATTTTCTAGAATGAATTTCCTAAAGTTGCTCTTTTGCTTCTCGATATGGTTTTGCAGACAAAATGAAACATATTCATATTCGGGTATTGTATTTGATTGACGGTCTTCAGTTTTAATTAAGACATAGTATGATAATTACTCACTAGAATTTTCAGTGTATTTGCTGAGCAAAAAGCAAATGTTTGGAGTGGATAAAACAATAGACAACTGCAATTTAAAATTAGTTTTTCAGTTATATAGTAAAACAGTACTGTTATTCACTGGGTGACGTTTCAAGTACAGTTTATAGTTCATAATCATATAGACCGCATCTCCGAAAATTTGAAACTGTTTTTATGGTCTTAGTTCATTTGAATTTTTTCCTATTTTCTAGATATCTGGAACAGCTGTTGAGTTGTTTCTACTGAATATTGATTCAACAAAGAAATTTTATGCAATCAATCTCTGTCTCCATTCTGCTATCGTTTTATTTCATCCTAATGTATTGTTATACGTCAGTGGTTCAGGGGTAGAATGCCCGTCCGAGGTTCGATCTTCAGTGGACGCACTCCTAAACCTCACTAAGCTGGTAGTATGCCCAATAAAGAGGGGAGATTAGGTGTGGGCTTAGCAACTTCAAAGCTCAAGCTTGAAGTCCTATATCCACTAGAAATGTAAAGACATAAAATTTTTAAGAAATTTTGTTGTGGTATAAGACCTCATGTAGTGCTACAAGTAAACTTATTTCCACAACTACTCATCCCAGTATGATCTACAAGTAATTGTGTTGGAAACATCTTTCGGTGGGTACTACTGTCTCATTGTGTTCTGTACATAAAAAATGAACTTATAGGGAATCACAAACTACCACAATGTCCAAGTTTCAACACATGTTGATTGGAAGTTGTATTTCAAAAAGAGTTGGTAAGAAAAATCAGCTGAAACAAATTTTAAAGAAATATGAATGCATAACCTGAAATCAGTTGAGAGGATGTTCAGTATTTCATTAAATCCTCTTGAAAATGTTTTTTGATTGAATGAATCATAGTCAATCAGATAAAGAATATTTGATGATTTCTTCGTGTTATATAGTTTTCTGTACTTTATTTGTTATCTTTTACCACTGAACTGTAATATATAGCAAGTCATAAGATGGTTTAATATATTTAGTACTGTTGGATATGGCCTCTAAAAAATCAAATCCAGATTTGCTGGTTATCTGTAAAGTAAACGAACTGCTGGCCTACCAGTAAATATCATCATCACCTGTCTATGTTATGTTAAAAAACAGTTAATTTCTTCACAATTTGTGACTTCATTAGTTATTCCTAGCAGTCTATTTCTGTGTAATGACAATTACTTGTATGATCATTTAACTAATGCAATAATATTATCACCATATTGATGTGAGAGTAGTGTTTACAGTGAAAGGTTCAATCTGTTAATAAAACAAAAGGTAATCGGTACAGGGTCTTTCATCTACACCTATTGTTTGATAGCTCATGATGCTCAGTTACTTACAGTCTGCATTAACTGAAGTATGTTTCGACCCTTGGACTTATTTGTCGGTTGGAAATAGTTAGCTTCTTATAACTGCTGAGATTATCGGATGTCTTATTTCTGTTGCCTCTATTACCATTGCAGCGAGAAGCGATGGCCAAAATCAGTGTACTTGCGTTTCTGTTCAGTCGACTAAAACAGATATTGAATGACAAATACTTTGTCCTATATTTAACTTCTGGCTGAAAAAGTCTTAATTAAGCATATGCGAAGCTAAAATTCTACTTTATTAGACATATTTTAGCCGTTGCTGACCTAGTTCCATGTGAAATGAACAAAAGTTTACCACTGCCATAAATTCCTATTAAATCTGGTTGTTAAACTTTTGGTTGATTTTATATACAAACTATCAACTTCATATACATATTTTTTTTCTAACAATTTAAATAGGGTTTTTAAATTTATGTAATTTCCGAGAAATGTTCTGTCTACATATGCCATCTAAATGCGTCTGTTAAACACAAGCACAGAATAAGCTAGCCAATTGATTGGTTAATTGCAAGCTTACAGCATGAGGTTATTTTAGTGGTAGAAACGGACTGTACCAATAGCTGTGGGTACACATTCGTTGTGCATATGCATTTCACTACATTTCCTGCTTTTTTACTCAGTTATCTTATTTTTCTTTTTCCAATCGTTGTGTGTTGGGTTTCACTTATCTAAGGGTATTTTTTGCCATTATTTTGAATTTCTATCAATCTCAATTTTTTTCTTTTGATCTCATTAAGTCTACGTGTGTTAGCAAGAAGCTAACAACAGACTGTTCATACTCAAACTTACTTAAAAAGTCAATATAAGTAGTATTATTACATGAAAATAAACATTGCAGCATTGTATTTTAATAAATTCACTAAAACAAAAATAATCCAATTTAAATCAATGAAAATTTAAAAAGTCTGCTAACTGAAATTTTTACGTCTGAATAGTTAACAATTTGTTATCTGCTTATATCTATGTATTTTGTTCATGTTTTCGCTGCAAAACTGTTTCGTGATCCACATTTCCTTCCTTCACACTTTAAATTGTAATAATTTTCTTGTAGTCTGTTGCATGTTTGGCAATTTTCTTAGATTTGTATATGTATGCGTGTTTGTTACATCTTTGAATGATAAAGATCCTAAGTTCGATAACACATATAGGATGATATATATATATATGCAAAACAGATGTACCTTATTCATCACTCTATGTGACGCATTACAGAATGAAATTAATTTCCTGTAGTTATTCGTCTTTTATATGCCTATTGTATACATTTATGCCTACGGGCCAATATTATTGCAGAAAGCCTACCTTTAACCACCCACCCACCCGCACGACTGAATATATATACAACCATATGTGAATGTACAACAAAATGTTGGGTTTTGTTCCCATTTAATAAATGCATAAAGTTTGAGAAGATGAAATGAGAACGGTACGCTTGTTTTTATCGTTCAAATGTTTTTTCAGCCGTCAGAATTTATTTCTTCTAGGAAATGATGTTTTTGTATAATCTCAACCATCTCTTTTCTTTTTTCCGAAAATTGTTTGCATGAATTGTTGGTTGATAATTCGCATGTGTATAGCAAATTTAAACAGAGATATTTCAGTATTTCTATGTTCTTGTGATGACTGACATGCTCCCAAGCGAGTAATGCCTGTCATACACATTAGACCATTTCTGCGTTAACCCACTATACCAGATAAGAGAGTGTTACTGATAATCGCATTTGACTCTTTTGATTGAAAATGTAGCTATAATTAAATTGCACTGATAAATACAACAGAATTTCCAAGCTGTTGCGTGTAGATATCTCACAACTAATGCATGGTAGTGTACTATTATTATTTACTTCGGTTCCTAGTGGAACATAAGGATTCAACAGCATATCGCCACTTCACTTTATTCCCTGCAGTCTTTTTTACTTGGCCTCATGATTGTCCATAAGCTCTCATCTCCTCCATGCCACCTTCGGACTCCTAGTTCGCTTGCCATTCGAGTTCCACCAGAAGGCTTGGCGTTTGATGTTACTCAATTGTTTCTTCGGTGTATACACAATCCATTGTCATTTCCTCCTGCACATTTGTTGGTCATTAGGTTCTTCGTTGGTTCCTTGCCAGAGTTGTTCGTTGCTAATTCTTTTTGGCCAGCCGTCTGATGTTCAAAATCGAGAGTAGGCATGATAGAGTACAGTAGTATTATTTACTTATTACCTTCTGTTTTTCCACTGCAGCCTAATAGTGTCACGAAATTCTTCTACTAATCTTAGTACACAATCCTGTATTTGGTGTCTATCGAAATATAGAGTGATACTCCTCCAACTTCTGTTTCTTAACGCATTCAGTAACTGCAGGTCAGTTGCAGTTAATGATGAACTTCATCAAAAGCAGATTGATTCACTGAGAAAGTGGTGAATTCTAACACTTAAAGGAAAACCCCACCCAGCTGTAAAATTTTATTAGGAGTGTTGATGCAGTCTCATGTTGACGAAGCAGTGGTAAAACCTTAATATGCACAAAAAGGAAAAGAGAATAAGTCGAATGAATGAAAAGTTATGAAATAATTGGTTGTTCAGTCTTAGCAAAGTAACTAGTAGATAGTGAATAAAATATTGCCTAAGTGTCACCAATATTATTTTATTCAGTTATCCTGTCTTAGTTTTATGTTACTCATATATGTTTACACACATTTTGTATAATCCAACATTCAGCACCTTTGTAATATCATGAATCTCCATCTGGTGTCTTTTCAATCATGGGAATAATTAAAGGGAGTCTATTAGGTTACTTACCCAGTAAAGTCGTTCTCATTGAATTCCATGTCCACATGTCTGACATTTTTCCAAGTTCTGTTTTTAGACGAAATACGGCGTATTTTTGTTGTTGTTTGGAAACAGATGGAGGTTTCTTGATGAATATTAATTAAAATCGTTTTCTTGTGTCTAAATTATGTTAACTGCTTTTTTTTTCTTACTACTTTCTTTTCAAACAATTACTTCAATTAGGAGAGAAAATCTGCAAATGCAGATAGCCGAATCAAGCTAATAAATGAACTGATGAGTGGTATACGAGTGAGTTCTCTGTGTTTTTAATGCATCTATTTTGTTATTATAATGAAAATTTCATTTGTCCACATTAAAATACATATGGCAACACACCGTTGTACCAGTGCACATTGTACCTCATATATTAATTATCCTCACGACTAAAGATTTAGCCTTCTGTCTATTTGCTTTCCATTCCACTTTTCAATAAATAAGTTGATCTGTTTCCGTTAAGTGGGAATGTTTCTTGAATTTTTTAAGCTGTTTATTTCTAGATTTCACCACATATAATTGGCTAGTTTGTATACTCTCAGATTTTCACGTTGTGCATGCCAAATAGCATTTTATGATTGAAAGTAGAGCTAGAATTTAGATAACTTGTATAGGTGCACTGCAGCTATACAGAAATTTGTAATCACATTCACCTGACTATATCAATTTCACTAGCGATTTTCCCAGTCAAGTGCAAACACTTGCAAACTTTCCAAATGTATGAATTTGTGTCCCCATTCTTCATCTCACTAAACTGTGCGTCGGTGGCACAGTGGTTAGGACTCTCGCCGACCATGCACATGGTCCGAGGTTCGATCCCCTGCCGACTCACACCTGATATCTATGGTCGGCCTGCTAAATTTGGGCTACCGATATCCATGCTGAAAATTCCATACTTGTACCAAAAATACAGTGTGGAATCAAGCTGTAAATCAAAAAAAATAAAACCGTTTTAAATTCTGTGACAATAGTGGAAAAAATATACTCATCTTATTGGTGGGTAGACGGAACTCTAAACAGTGCTTATAATTGGGTTGATCAGAGGAGTCCAAATATATGCGAACTAAACATTCTCTCACCTTTTAAGCACTTATAGTGTAGGGTTTTAGGGTGTTAACTTTAATCCTAGTGGTATTTCATGTCTTATCTTCGAAGATTTTTAAGACAAAATTGAAAAACAACATTCTGCTTTCCTTCGGCTGTTTAGCTGATAACTGCATGTCAATCAATTTGATGATAAGTGTAAAGTATCATATTTTGGATTAAAGTCTATGCAGATATATATCCAACTTGTTAATCATACCTCACTCGCTGTTTGCCTTTTGGGATAGTTTTTCAGCTTATTTGTGTCTTCCATATAGTAGTGAAATTGGCTGATTGATTTATTTTCACTTTTGATCTTAAAACTTAGGCTGCATCACTATCAAAATTTTTAAGGAATTAGAACTAGGTTCTTATGACATAAATAGGTGGTTTAAGCAAGTGTTCAATAAAAAGGATAATAATGCAGATAGTAACAACGACCAAACCATCCATTGGGTTGTTCCGAATGTTTGTGTTTAGTCCTAGGTGGTATTACTGTAAGAGTGGAATTTGGGTAGCATGCCGCAGTCTAATCGCATATTAGTTAAGCTTATTGAATATAACAACACACAACGATGCAGTATTAATAACTGGATGGTGCTTTAAGTACAACTTATCGCTTATAGTCATATTAGTGTATTCCGAATCTATTCAAAAACATTACTATTACTAGTATTATTCATGATAGAATGAATGTTAGGGTTTGCTTTATTGTAATTCGAAAATTTATTTGTCTGACAAGGGTTAGGCTTACTAAAAATATTTTACTGTTTTAGGACTAATTGTCCTATAACTAATTTCACTAGTTTTCATTTTACTGTTAACATGGGTGTATTTAGTTAAAATATACTACTGTGAATAATGTCAGCCATATTTATATTATTGGTATTTGTTTTATTCAGTTTTGGTTTTTACGTTGGTCAGTTACATCGAAATGTTTGGCCTGTGGTAACATGTCGATTCCTAGTAAGCATGTTTTAACGATGTCTGTGGATTAACTTAAAGTAATTTAGTGAATGGTAACCATCGGTGGAATCCAGGATGTGTGCCGTTGCACACGAGGTGGGTCTCTTGGCCTAAGTGGTCTAGTGGATAACGCTTTGGTATCTGAAACAACAGATAGTGGTTTCGAGTCTCATTAAGAGTACAGCACTCATTTGGAAATGCAGGTACATCCAGAAGATGAGTCTTGAATGGACGAAATGCGCCTCCTAGATCCTACTGTTAGTAAATATTCACAAAATTATATTTATATTGCTTCTTTCTGTAAAACAAGCGTTACAATTCACACACTTGCTTAACTTAAGAGTTTGTTTCTTTTCAGCAAAACATGTTTGATAAATAGTTATTTTTGAGTGAAGTAAGATTTCTATAAAAATTAAAATGTTTATAAGGAAATCTGTTTCTCAATCCACATTATAGAACTAGTCTTTTTCCTTATCTGCACTTCTGCCTGAGAGAAATGGAAAATGAATCTTGAGTTTTTGATTTATTCAGAAAAAATTGAATACTCTCAGTTTAGGGCTAGTGATTCCTTTTTTCGTCCTATTTTCCTTCAGGTGAACATATATGTATACAGTAAAATGATTATTTTCTACAGGTTTTAAAACTCTATGCCTGGGAACCATCATTCATGAAGGAGATTAGTCGTATCAGAAATCTGGAAGTTAAATATTTACGCAAATTCACATATTTACAGTCTATTTCATTTTTATGGCACTGTTCGCCATTCCTGGTAAGTGACTGACCTTAACTTTTCATACTTGTATTGATTTATAAGAATTCTGAAAGTACTATGTAGTTTTTCTATGTAACCTATTTCCACTGCAAATTAATGAAGTCTATTAATTATTGGGAATTTACGTAGCTCCATTCCTATGTTTATTAATTTTGTGTTTTTTTGACATTTCACAGGATCTGTTCTTTTTTACTCCTTGCTTTCAAGCTTTGGAGTTTCAGTAGAAATAGTGTTGGTTTTCGCAGGTTTGTAAGGCTCACAACCAACGTGCCGTCTCTCCCTGGCATACTATCGACTAGTAGACTAGGCGAGATCAATTAATTAATCCCGCAAACTGTGTCAACCAATGTGGGCCAAGTTAAACTTTAACCACCACTAACTACAAATCAGCGAATGCCCTAGAATGGTCCAATGAGGTTCATGCACATGAATTCAAGGTTGTATAGCGCTTGATTAGTATCAGATGTCTGCTCTGACGAAGTTACGCTTGCAGTTCGATGAGGATAACGTTTTGCAGTATTGCCTGGATTCGCTGTTGCTTAGGAAGGAGGGGATTTGTTCATGTAGTGGTGTCATGAGTTTAAAAAGTCTTAGCAGGTCGATTGATGAATATGTCCATAGTTGTGCAATTTTCTTGAGACGAGTTAGTATTAGGGAAGGTAAGCTAATAATTTTAATATTTCGTAGGAACATTTTTTGCTAAGACACATCTCTCCTTAACTCAGATTTTGTATATTTGTAATTACTGGGTTTTAAAACAGCCTGCGAGAGGCTCAGCTGCTGAAACCGAAAATAGCCTCGTGTCAACAGTTCAGTGGTACCAGCACTGCAGAGACATCGCCTCATAGAAAATGGAGAGAATTACTTCGTTATTAGCCGGAGAAGGTATCGTCGTATACGTGGAAGAAACTGTGTTATTGAAGAAAAAATACAACCGTGGTCGTGAGCGAGCCAACAATGTTTGGGGGATTGGTTTATGTGATACCTCCCTGGAGAGAATGCCAGATAGAAAGTCTACTACCTTAGTACCTATTATCACTCGACCGGTAAAACACGGATCTATAGTACATACTGGTGAATGGAAAGATTATAACTCGTTGTCATCTCATGGATGTATTCATCACAGAGTGAACCATTCTAGTCATTTTGTGGGTCTGGGGACACACACAAATTCTATAGGAGAAGTTTGGGGAAGATTAAAAAATAGGATTAGGGCTATAAATGGATCTCAAAAAGATGTCATTTGTAGTCATTTGGATGAATATATATACAGAATGTGGTGTAACTTTTCTTTTGAAACTTCTATGCTAAACTGGGAAATGTTTCTGTCACATGTTAGAGAAAGATACCCTGTGTAACAGTTTTATGCAGTTTTTATGTTTTTTTTTTCCATAAATATACTTTTTCCTTAATCAAAAATCCCTATTTCATGTGACTGGTCTGTTGAAGGTCGTTCGCTGATTGGCAGTTAATGGTGCTTAAAGTTTAACTTTGCCCCAATGTGATATGCTGGATTTTAATTATAAATTATTCAATTAGTTCAACGAGATTCGTTGTTTCATTACGGTGGAAATGTGCTTGACTTTTTAACGATTCTGCCATATTATAAATCTCTAAAAGATGAGAAACACGTTTAAATTTTGCTGAAATTGTTGACTTTTCTTATCTGAAGGTAATTCTAGTGATAACAGCCATGATTCGGTGAAACTATTCTGCTAATTAATTAAATGCTGTTGCATTCATCATTCGAATTACACAACCAGTCACGCCTTATTTTATGACTCATCGGTGTTTGTTAAGAAGTGGAATGTATGAATTTCGGGAGTATGAAGGGCTGGAAATATTATTCCTCGATCGACATCCAATAGCATTGCACTAAGGGGTTTTAAAATTTGGAATTAGCTGCTCACTCTGAGTTATTTTGAAAGGTGAAACTGTAGCTGAAAAATTGCCTATTTTCATTGTCAGTAATGCGCCTTGATTGTGGATTCATAGAACGGTTTTATTTATTCTTTTTCTATAAAGCCTTTATTAATTGATTATGATAACCTCAATAAAATGTCATCTTATCCATCTTAATATGCCTTTCGACTTCCTTTTATTTGTTGACTATTTCGAGGTAATGAAGAATATCGGATGGGTTCTTTTATCTTGTAGGCTTTTGTATTATAACGTCTTAAAAATATTTGCTCAGTAATATCAGTGTGTAATTCTCATTTCAACGAAAATCTTTGTCAACTTATAACTGTCAGGTGGCGATTTCCAGTTTCGGGGTGTATATATTAACTTCGGAGAAAAATATTCTGGATGCACAGAAAGCATTTGTCTCTTTATCTTTATTTAATATCCTTCGATTTCCGCTATTCATGTTCCCGATGATCATAAGCAGCTTAGCACAGGTGAGTTGATTCCCTCTTACAAGTGTATATTTGCATCTTTTATTTATCACTTTGTCGTGCGCATAATTTGTCAAAACATTTTTATTTTATGCATTTATTACTGGTCAAAATTAGCCCTTTTTCTGTTTTTTACTATGTACTTCAATTTTTTTTTCTTGATAATAGTTGACAGACTTATGGAGGCAATGTTGGTTAAGTACGAAGTGCAAGTGGGGGCACTCTGTTCGCATACACTGAAGTTTTATAATAATTTACGGATGGCAACTAGCTGTGTTGTACAAAAGTATCTAATATAAACATCCCGATTTATTACAGACGCACTGCTTAGCCTTGATGTCTCAAAAATGAAGAGATTACAATGAAGCGATTTAGTATATATCATTCTACGTCAAACTATATGTTTAAGAAGTATGTATCCGCCTATTCAAGCAGCATATACATAGTATTACAATCTCTCTCGTTTTCTGCAGCCACGAAACAGTGGAAGGTGCAACGATATCACTGGTTTTTGAAAAATTTTCTTTTTGTTATCACTTGCATTTAGTATAGAAATTAAAGTTACAGTGTTAGGTGGAAAGCACTTTCCAGTCGTTGAGATTATTATTGTTTCATTAACCCAAGTGTCTGTGACAAAATTAAGGCATACCAGCCAATCAGCTCCCTTCAATCTATGGTTTTGGTAGGTTGGGGAGGGAGTTGCAGATGTGATTCTTCACCTGGATGTTAAGAATCGATAACTGCAATATTTTCACTAATCTTTGTGTAATTATGGCCACTTGTAATACTTATATTAGTCCACCTTGCTATTATTCCCTTTATGCTTCATTTGTGAGTGTAATAAATCCCACAGATAAACTTCTTTTGAGTGCCTACACAGTGATCTGTGTTTATCTGTATTATTCTAATTACTGCTTACCAAGTTCAAAGCCTTGGATACCGACAAGTTACCAGAATGTTCAAAACCTCGGCTTAAAATATGCATCGCTGTATGAAACAATATACATTCTAATAATAGATCTTGATTATTACTTTGAATAAACTGCCCACCTTGATTGTCGTATGATAACTAGTTTTTGTATTACATATAAGCATAAACAATATGCAGTGTTTTTCCTGTTTTTTTCCTTCCACATTAATGAAGTTCATCGTCTTTTACATTATTCTATTAATTTAAATTGAATCTGAACTTTTGGGTAGGCAGTACATTATTCTTGTCAGTCATTTATATTTTTCACAAGAATATGGAATCCACTCGATTATTTTAAAAATTATATTTTCTTTTAAAAAAATGCTCTTATCTCCGAATTGAATCTTTGTTAGATGCATAGTAAAAGTACTATCCCGCCCCTCTTAAACTATATCATCTTCGAAAACGTCATGTTCTGTGTGCTTCAGTGGCACAGTGGTTAGAACTCTCGCCGACCATGCACATGGTCCGAGGTTCGATCCCCTGCCGACTCACACCTGATATCTATGGTTGGCCTGCTAAATTTGGGGGCTACCGATATCCATGCTGAAAATTCCATACTTGTACCAAAAATACAGTGTGGAATCAAGCTGTAATCAAAAATAAAAAATAAAATAAATTAATATATGAAAGTACCTTGCTTTAATAACTCTTCACAGTTAATGTATGCTGAAAATTGCATTTCGAACAGTAGTACGCATAGTATCTAAGTTTAAATGTTTGATATTTGACTCTATCAATGAATTAGGCTGTATCTTTCGTAATGTTCTAAACTCACTACTGATTTGTTTGTCTCTTAACTACGCGATACTTTATCAGGGAAGAACACTAATCGAAAACAACAACAGCAAAAAGCCATTTAAACGGTTTGTTGTTTAATTGTGAAAATCTAATGCATTGCATACTGTGGTCATTTTAAAGTTTTCTTTACTCAGCAAAATTAACTAGAGTTAGCATACGGAACTGCTTTGTGGTAAAAGATAAAATAATAGTTGGGTCAAATTATAGCGACCCAACCGAACCACCTAGTAGTTATTTCGATAGGAAATATTATAGAAAATAGATTAAGTAGAACAAAACAGTTATTGAAGATTGCAGTCTCTTTGATCTTCTCTGGGTGTCTCCAAGTTTGTCATTGGGGTCCTTAGTGTTATTTCAAACCACTTCTGTGCATAAATTTATCAAGATGGATTTATGCTGTCATTTCATGACCCATTTATCGCTTGAATCGTGTTTTTCAAACGCCTCAAGAATCGTTTTATGAAACTGATGTACATGGAATGCAACGGATCAACAGAATCAGAAGAATAATTTACAGCATTGTGAATACACCAGAATTGTAACAGGTGTTTGTAAACCTCCATTCATCTGAGTGGACAGTTTATATATGGGTGTCACCAGAAGTCGGATGACTGTCTCTTCCTAAAAACCTATTATCCAAACAGTATTTGTACCATGAGGCTCATCTCATCATTTGTTCAAAGTGATTTTAGGGGTTGTTCGCTTGGCCTGCTACACAATAGTCTTGTCAAAATAATACCAGTCAGTTTCGATTGTTGTCTAAATGCAGAAAGAATGTGTAAACAATAAGAACGTGACAGAAAATGAGATGTTTGTATTTAACCAATAAAGGGGTTGTTTGATGGGTAAAGTTGTGTTCGGTGGAATGAGAAAGGAGAATACTAAAGAGAAAAATGGAATATAGCTCCACTATGGATAAGATTTTATTTTGATGAATCACACAATGTTGTACAGTAATATTTACTGATCACGTTTCCAGCGCTAATTATTGATCACAATTATATCAAGTCACTCACACAACGTTTTGCTTCATTTATATACATGAGTAAAATTGATGACTAGACATTTGAATAAAATCAATATAAGATAAAATAAATTCAGAAATAATATTAGCGTTATCAGTCAAATACAATAAGATGGGAAATAAGATGTTTTTTACAGTAAAAATAATTAACTTCTTAAAATGTTATGATGTAAATTAAATACATTTTAACACTATTTATTATTCTGTGATTTGACTGGTAATAATATCTTCCATATTTCTGCTATTTGCATTGAGTCATTCCTATTGCATGTATTGGGTGTAGCTCGATGAACCAGGATTCAGTAATCAATCTGTCTCTCCACTTACCTATACTACTTTTTAGAATTTTAACCCTCTCCCTTCCTATTGCATGCGGTGGTGTAGCTGAGTTTTTTCTAAATTACTTATGTCCGTGGGATCACTACTCCTGATCTACTAGTTTGACCTATGCAGTTGACCTGACAGTCATATTGCGAGGTATTTTGTAAATTATATTAATTTGTCCAATTGGGTCAACCTACAGGGTCCTCTAACCTACCGAGCTTACCCCTGAGTGAGTTTGTAGGTTTAAATGCCACTCTAATTCCTGCTTCACTACGAATCCTACTTAGGGTCTCAGATGTCCCCTCCTTATATAGTAGAACTGTAGATGCCTTATATTCTCTCTTATTTATGTTAGTTATCATTATTAGTTTCCCCATTATTTTTATTTTGTTTTCAACCTTTTCTGATCTTCCTAATGAATATTATAGGATAGTTATTTAACACCAACGCCTCTTCTGTCTGTTTCACTTCATCGTTCAGGTCTTTTTTGTGCTACTTAGTGCTATCGCTCGGTTTGTTAGACACTTAACTAAGCCAGTCTTTCCAGATAACGGATGATATGAATTAAAGTCCAAATATCTATTAGAATGCGTTGGCTTTTATAAACGCTAGTGTTCAGTTTACCTGCTCCTGTTCGTTTTATTTTACAATCTAACGTAGCTAATTCTCCTTGTTTATTCTCCGACTCAAATGTGAATTTTATTCCATTTACTAGTGAGTTTATATGCGTCAAGAAGCTAAAGATACGTTCTCTAAATTCCAGGGTAAATATATGGACAGACAGAACGTGTAGCTATGGGATCACCAGTATCCTTGCTCTTAATACATTTAATACTACTCCAAAAATATGGTAGAGATATGTGGATGACACTTTCACAGTGTTAAAAACAGAACATATCTACAAATACCAATGCTACTCTGATGTGGTGTTCACTTTCCATCGGATGGGATATGATGGTAAGGTTTATTGGTCTGATTAGTTCTTTGCAAAGCCCGAATGGCAGATGTTCACGAGTTGGGAATAATGGATGCATGCCTGTGTAACGTGCTCCATAGGAGTGGCTAAATTTAGATACACACACTGTAACTTGCTGTTTTTTGCAATGTGTTAGTTAGATTCGGTGAAAGACGGACAAATGTAATATGGACTTAAGAAAAAATCCCTTAATATATGTCGCCTTAGAATAACACGGTTAGATAGGGCTTTTTATTACTCATTGTATCATGCTTTTTGGTATCGAATTTTCTACGTGTAGACTTTTCTACAGAACTTGTGGGATGACTATATTTAACGGGAAACTCTACAGTCCCTCTGATTCTTCATCGATGCAATCAGTGGAACATACGAGTCTTATCTTACGACTAAGACCATGAAGTAAATTATGTTTTTTTTATTACAGCTTGATTCCACACTGTATTTTTGGTACAAGTATGGAATTTTCAGCATGGATATCGGTAGCCCCCAAATTTAGCAGGCCAACCATAGATATCAGGTGTGAGTCGGCAGGGGATCGAACCTCGGACCATGTGCATGGTCGGCGAGAGTTCCAACCACTATGCCACCGACGCATATAGATGATACAAAGGTGCAGAAATTCTTGTTTTGTCCTTTTCATGTTATTTTTGCAAGATGCTTATCTCTGTAGGTCAATGTTCCCTTTTAGTATGGAGAAACAAAAATGAAGTGTTACTTTGATATTCTTCTTGCTCTGAAGTGAATTTAACAGGCAGATGAATATTACTGTAAATATAGATTAGATACTTTCGTATCACAGTTCCTAACCAAAACGTATTATCTATATAATGCCTACAATATTCAAACTTGTTCAGCGTCTTTTTCAGCGGATTGTTCTCCAGTTTTGCTGAGTGAACTGTTTGTTGAACATTATGTGAACTTTCATCGTACACCTTAGATATAGTTGTTTCATTTTTGCAGGTGTAGTCTCGGTGGTTATATTTCATAACTTGCTCACGTATGTAGCTAACTGTTTCTACAATAGGAATTATAGTGTAATGTGTAGAGATAACATAATTCGGTTTGTTAAGTTTACTTGATCAATATTGTATTGAATTTCTGTTTCTCTAACTTCCAGTGTCATGTTTCAGTTGGCCGTTTAAGTAAATTTCTAGCCAATGAAGAACTTGGTTCAGAATCCTATTCAAAAGAAGATACACCTGGTGTAGCTGCAGTAATTGAACGAGGAGTATTTGGTTGGGATCCGGAAGATGAGCCCACGTTAACTAAGTAATTGACTATTGTTTAGCATTTTTACATACTTATATTTTGTTGCTAATGTCGCTTGCATTTAATTTAGGATTAATTCAACAAATCAAGCGTTTTGATGCAACAGTTTGTTTGTGTGTATAATAGTAATAATAATAATGGCCATATGTCATCGCATTTTGTTTTATTCTGAATATTTAGAAGAAAAATTGGTTTCTCCTTTTAGATATTTTCAAAATCTTCCTTTTTTCCAATGGTTATTTGCTGAAAATAATAATTGGACATATTGATTCAAGAATATTCTTATTTTTATTTAAATAATTTCAATCGGATTCATTTTGCATTCATTCATATATCTGAGTGCACATTATTTCCTTGTTTCAGTCAGTTTATTTTTTCATTTCAAATAGTATAGAAGTATCTTTACTCATACCTTAAAACAATTTCTTATAAATGTGAATTTTAACGGCTATTTCTATCTGTCACAGAGCTGTTGTGAACAAGAGACCATTGATTTTCGTGTACACATGCATTCAAATTCACTCAACACTCTGTTGCCCATGGACTCCCTTACTGTTTGTTTTATGAGCATAGTGAAAGCTTTTAAGACATGCCAAACCGATATATGAGAAGCTGACACATAAGTTAACCTTTTTTTACTTCCTTGTGTACCAAAAGACTTTTTCTGTACATACAATATTTAGATGTGGGGTTATACGTATCACACCTTTAATATGTTCTTCCTCTTCATTATTATATTCTAAATGGTTATCCTTTCGTTGAGATTTTACTAAATGTCAACAAGGTGTTTGTTTACATGTTATAGCCGGTGTTCGTTTATCAATTTATCCATCATCTTTCTTTTTGTCTTAGTTTATTTTTAGTTTTTGATAATTGTCGATTCCGAATAATTAATGGCTCAAGTGAAGGTAGAACACCGAAAGGTAAAACTAGAGGGGGAGCACAATCAGATCAAGAGATAAAACGACTACTAGTATAATAGATATATTTGTTTTAGGGAAGTGCGCAATTTAAATTACTATAGTATAAATACTGTGATAGGAACATGAACTATACTACACAGTAATAAGTGATAAACTTCGAAACACATAGAATACAACAATAGAAACATACTATTAGCTGATTAACTGAATAATCAACATCTTTATTGTTTTCTTCACAAAGACTACACATTTAGTTACTGAGTACTTTACCTGTCTTTTTGTTTGAGCAAACACTTTGTCGTTATTATCGGCACTTCTTATTGGGATTAGAAGATAGTGAGGCTAAGTACAAAACTAGGCTTCTTTCTCAATCCTATTATTAGGTGAAGTACAGTGCTACTCATACAGAAGAACGGATCTGCATGAATTGCTTGTATTCTGCTTCTTAGTTTATTTTTATTCGGCTTTATACTATTCATCCCCGTGCTTTTCATATTGATAACCCACTTCCTTCACCTCTTTTGTCTGAACCTTTGTCATCATTCATTTAATTCTGCTGAAGAAATCATTGGTAGCAAAATTTTACTGTACCAATCACTCTATGGTTGATAACCATTGAAGTTATCTGGTTGTATGTGTCGTTGATGGAAGTCAGTATTTATAATTAATTCACTTACTCTGTTTATAGAGGTCAACCACAGTTTTACAGAATGTTCCCATTTGCATAATTTGCATTGTTTATTCTCATTGTGTTTTCGTGTTTTGTTTAGCAGTGTTGTATCTCGAGCGACTATATTAGTTTCCATTCGTTTTACCCACTATTTAATGAATAGATATGAGATGTGGGACAGCTTCAACCACTACTCATTGAGGCTACATTGTGTAATAACAACAACAACAACAGTGTTTGTCCACTTGTTTACATCATTAACAAATTTTATGCATGAAATTACTGGTGTGTCTAAATTCTGTTTCAAATGTTTTTAATGCCTTTATAGTAATGATCTCTTTCTTCTTCATCTGTGGCATGTAGTAAATTGCGTTTAAGTATTATGCAGATATTATTCTTTTAGAATTATTCTTTCATTCACAGAATGGTCTTAATTTTAAACTGCCTTCCTAAGTTCACTGCCTTGCTATTCTTACGCACAGAACGCAGCGTTATGTTTTGACTAGTTTTCGTTGTCCTTTTAATTATTCGGGTCCAAAATTAGAAGTTGGGAGTAGTATTTCATTTAAACCAATATTAAAAGGCCCTGATACTGTAAGTTACTGCACTTAAGGACTCTTAGCCTTAGCTCTTCTTATAAATAATGACTAAGTTAAATCATAGAATCCAGTCACCTTCAAAGTGATGGATCTGGATTTAGCAACTTTCTACTGTTAATAACTCTTGAATTTGAATTTTGTATGGGCAAGAAGTGTTGCCCTGTTTGAAAGAACAGAGTTCAGTGCTATTGTAAGGTAGATATACTGTATCCTATTAAAACACCTAAAGATATGTAATCCAACTAACCAAGTAGGAACCAAAGGGATAGTCCTGATGTTTTACCTAAAGTGAGACTTAACCACGGGCATTTTTTATTTTCTCTGACATCATGTGAACAGTTTAGGTTATTTGTAAACTGTTTAAGGACTGAACGATTCCATAGTCTTATCGCATTATAGTTTTACTGACTTTCTCATAAAATCTTGTTTTTATCACAAAATCTGGACGCTCTGATAAAAACTATGTCTATATTAGAATTGTTTATTTATTGGTGACAAAGATAAGCGTATCATCTTATTTGATTATGGACGGTGAATTGTGCAAAAGACTATCCAATAAAAATTGTATCACTACTCGAAAAAGTAATCAAAGATGGGATTTTTAAAAATTTCACAGCTGGTTAGTACAAAATCCGGTAAAATTAAATGTACACAGCGCAGTATTATTTCCTGTCATATCACTTTGTAATTGTTCTATAACTTCGGGACGATACATTTCATTTGAATCGTCAGCATATCGTTGACTTTATTATCATCAGTTAACAAGTACTTCTGTGAGTTTTGATGTTACCGTTTTGTGTAATGACCTTATTACTTGCATAGGTCTAATAATGACGTTATAACCGCCTGACGCATGAAACTGAACAGTCTTTATCCATTCCTTTGTGCTTCGAGGATAACATAGGGCTTCAAGCTTGCGCTTTGAAATTTCAGTAGCGGTTTAAATTTCACGAAGTGGGGTTGCTAGCTGCATACCCAGGCTTCCATCTTTATCGGGCTTACTACGGGCTAAGAGAGTTTCAGAAGTGCGTTGACTGGGAACCCAATCATGTGCGTGGTTGGCGAGCATTATACCACTGAACCACCAATACGAATTAAACAACGGAATGTAATAATTCAGCAGCCTCCGTTACGTAACATTGTTCTTCTATCAGACCACACGTGATTGACTTCATTTCACATAATTCTCCACATATTTTTGTAATATTGGCTTAGTGATGGGTCAATCATATTCATCATGGGAACAAAATGGAATAATACTACCGTTTTCAGTGTTCTACTCACTAAGTTTAATTTATTGAGTGATTAACTTCTTTTTATCATCCAATATGTCTCTTGGGTTGAAATGTGATGATCTGCGGTTTTTGTTAACTCCGCTTGAAATTCCTGCCAATTTGAAAAATTTATCTGCCATTGTTTGTGGGTTTTATAGTGGCTTTGCAACATGCTTTCAAAAAACACCCTTTTATTTAGTTATTATGAGAGCTTTTACGAGTGGAAATGCTTTCTGTCTGTTTTCGACATAGGACTTTGCATATATGTGCGGGAGTTCAAGTGGCCACACTCTATGTAGCACACAAAGCAAGAGAAGAAAGTAGAAGAAATGCATAATAGAGACGTTAAACAGAAGTGTGAGACAAAGGAATAGTAATAACGAAGAACAAAACAGTTTCATTGGAAATCACGAGTCACAGGGAGTGGATGCATCTGCACCAGCCAGTCACTGAGAACGATGAGTTTGAGCCATGTGACCAATTGTTTCCAACCATTGGTTTTTATCGTCCCGAGGACCCAAACCAGTTAGGAAGTCTACACCTTCCTACTGGCTTAAACTAACTGTTGTGAATTTCATTGACTGGTGCCATGTTTTGGTTTGACCACCACCGCCACTAGCTCTTTTCCAGCCTGACCCTATGTTAGTTAACATTGCCTGTCGGTCGAAGAAGGTGATGACTATGAATACGTAACACATGTCCTAACCATCTCAGTCGATGTCATTTCGCAACTTCATCGATTGATTTCCCCTCCTTACCTAGCACCCGACTCGCGCCTAACCTCAATATTGCTCACTTTATTATACCACTTCACACGGGAGATAGAGCGCAGGCACCTATGTCAAAGATAGCTAATCTTTTCAATGGTCAGGTCTCAAAGCCATAAAGGAGGACGGAGCAGACTGATGAGCAGTACACCCGCCCTTTGGTCGATAGCCGGATGTCACATCTACGCCAAAGACGGCGTAAAGTGGAATATGCGAAACTACCCCTCTGATATTTCGTCCTGAGATTTCGTCAGAGATCAACCCGTTGGGGCTGATGGTACTTCCCAAATAAGTGAAGTGGTCAATGTGCTCTACCACTTCACTCCCTATTTCTAAACTAGGAGTCAGAGAATGCTCTTCAAGGAAAGTATTTTTATTAAGAAATATTAGTTGTGTGATATCTTGAGTGGCTGTAGAATCTCAACCAGTGTTGGACTGGATTCACTAGTTGCATACATGGTCTAGTACCGTGCAGTATTGCAGATGGAATTTGAAGTCACTCGTTAGTTTGACATTTTGACAGACGCGATTACTTCTTGTATAACCTCTTTATTTGTCAGTGTTATACTATGAGAATGTACTTTCTGTTGCAACAGTTTTGCTGCAGGAAGTAGGTTAAAGTAAATCATATGATGAAACTCTTCGAAATTTCCATCCTAAATGCCATATATTTTTAGCTGTTTACTGGGCTGCAGAGTCGCACTTACGGATTTTATGTAGACTGTAATATCAAGTAATTACAAATCGAGGAAGTTTCAGTTTTGATTATCCCGTTGACTCATTGGACCTAAGTGTTTGGCCTCTTTTGAGTTGTTGGCACGCTTTGATGATATCTGAGAATTTAACTTGAAACCTTTTGGTGAATAGGGACTAGTAGTGGAATCCAGGATGCACATTTCGTCCCATTTTGGACCCATCAACCGAATTTGCTTGGATTAAATTTTTAAGTCAGTGATGCTCTTTCCACAAAGACCCAATTGAATCCAGTACCCATCGTTCCAAATGCAAGAACCTAACTCATTAGGCCACTTGGGCCACGAGAACCAGTCAGTCAACGGGGAATTCAAATTGAATTAAATAATAACTGATATCCGTTTCATAAGATGTGGCTGTCTTAGCTTAAGTGGTCTAGTGGATAATTCTTTGGCGTTTGGAACGATGGGTAATTGGTTCGAGTTTCAGTGGGAATACTACCACTCACTGATGAGCGTATGTACGAGTCTTACATAGGACGAAATTTGCATCCCGGATTCCACCGCTAGTCAGCATTACTTCGAGGTCGTAGTTTACAGTTTAATTCTAGGTTGAACCTATACAATGTTCATTTTGATAAATTTTATTTGGCTCTCCTCATATATATATATATATATATATATATATATATATATATAAAATGCTTTTTTGGCAATACTGAGTGGTGTTGGGCATTAGCTAAATTGGATTAGTACTTTTTTACAAGCACGGTTTCTCCTCGTGCTCTCTACTGGCTTTTAATCACTTAATGAGTTAGTAAACCCATGTATATCTTCTAGTGGAAATAATTTCTGATTTTTGAATAATTATCATTTTTGTATCATTACAAATTGGACTTCTGTTTCTGAATCACTGATCCAAAATTTGTTTTGATTGGATTTATTTTGACTGTCTACCATTCAATATGTTTTAATGAAAACAGGTTTCAGTCATATGTAGATATTCTGTCTTTAAAAGCATAAATCTAATGTGATGTTAGTGGAAAGTAGTATGCTATGGACATAAACATGCTAATAACAATGGGTCGAATGAACTGTCTGCACGAATTTGTATTAACTTGATATGATTTTTATTGGTGATAAAAATGTTTTATGGATGGTTGAATGGGTTGATGGAACAAAGCTTTGTCTCGTCGATTCTAGTTTTTCACATTGTCTGTATTTCTTTTATGAATGTTAAGTGTAAATGGACTGGTCAATTATACACACTTTCAAAACTGGTAAATTAAAAAACTTAGTATCATTCTTAGCAAAATTCTCAATGCAATCACTAAATAAATGCTCCTTTCAACAGTTTCTCTTTGTACGGGTTTGATTTGTTTAAAGTTTCGATTACGGGTTGATATAAGTTAAAGGACCATTGAAAACCAGGGAGTACTGGACAGCTGTTTTTTCAAGTTTGATCCATGAATTCTAACTTCTACCAACTCTCGATTTAAGCGCGACCACCAGGGCGACTGAGTCGGGTGCCAGTGGCTGGATGGTATACGAGCTTGCCTTGTAACTGGGCCCAAACCCCGGAGGGAGCGTACCACCGATGAGTACCAGACTAGCACAAAACGTCTGTCCAGTACTTCCTGGTTTTCAATGGTCCTCTTACTGTTACCAACCTGTGATCAAAAATCGAAAAAAAAATGCTCTTTTGTCTTGGTCTAGTTTCAAGTAATTCTGAGATCGACGGGACGCATTTCTATGTATCTAATACAACTTATTACTTGAATGTCCTTGCTTGTTAGTAATGCTTTGATACCATCCATCTAAGAGTAGAGCGTTGCAAAATGTTTTCAGTTATCATGGTATTATCCTCCAGGTCTCTAGAGCTGATAGAGTTCAGTACTTTAATAGAAGTCATCTTTAAACTTATTCACTTACTCTATTTGCAAAGGTCAACCACAGTTTTTATGGAATGTAGAACTTGAATAATTTTCATTCTTTATGTTCGTTATCTTTTCTTGAAGGTAACTTTACCCATTTAGAAGCAAAAGTATGCGTAATGCGAAAAAAAACGGATTTTCCTCCGGCTTTTCTTGTTTTAAAATGTTTAATATTAAGACATATGAGATTCTTTCAATGTTTTTAATTTCAATATAGTTGTTCGATATATTAGTGACTAACACAGTTGTGTTAGGATAACGTTTTGATTAGCAATTTACCTAAAAAATGTCATATCCCATCAGTCTTAATTTAGAATTGAATTCGTTTATCTGAATCACGTTTTGTGATTGTTGTTCTCTAATATATGAAAATTTCTGTGCTAGGTAACTAGTGTATTATTACGATGCCCTTATTTATCCGACTTTGCCTAAATAATATCACGGATATGTTTTATTCGTGATATATTCCAAAATCGGTCTCACCAGTTCATGACAAACCGACATGTATGACCAAACAATATCCTTAGTTCTTTCAACGGTACTTTAGTTTACATCGGATTATGCAAGACCTGTTTGTTGTTTACCCATAGAACCATTGGAATCTATCGCCAGTTATGACTAATTTTTCAGATAGTTGTAGGCTAGACCCTTTTTCTGGCGTCTGTCAATTATTGTTAGTCTTCATCAGCATCTGACTACGGTACTAAAGAAACTGATGTCTCCATAAAGTTTCAAATATAAGACATCTATTGAAAACAACAGTCTGCGTGCCTTATGCAAAAAATTTACGCAGTTTGATCAGATGATATTTAGAATAGGATGAAAATGTCTGGCCTACTTTGACTTGAATCTTTCAACAATCTGTTTGCATTAAGGGGAGTCCACCAAATGAAGCAGAGCACAACAGTTACTCACGATTGTGGCTATTAAAAGTAGTGGTGTTGGTTTTGTTTTTATTATGCTTAAACGATATAGAATTATACCCTGAATTGTCATTTCTTTTATATTTATTTATTTATTCCAGCATATCCATTCAGTTTCCTGAAGGCCAGCTAACTACAATCATGGGTAGTGTTGGTTCTGGAAAATCGAGTTTATTGCATGCCTTACTGGGTGATATGGAAAATTTCAATGGGCGAGTTAATGTTAAGGTACGCTGATTGAGTTCTATTTGATTTTCTTTTGTTTTCATTGTTTTATGTTGTTGTTTTTTAAATGGAGAACGTATTCATCTTTCTCATTAAGAGTTTGGCTTGTTTTCTATTTTAAAAGGCTTATCTAACCAAGCTCCTTTGAGGTGTTAAAAAAGAATAGTATTGACATTCATAGTAATCACAATAACTGATCACTTATCTATTTATTCCACCCAAAATAACTCTGTGTTTGTCGCCTGGTTTTATCAATTTTCTAATCTGCGAATCCATTATGATTCTAGAATACATTTGTGTCTACTACAAAATTTCCTCATATTAGGCATAATTAACACTAGTAAATTTTAAGAAGAGACAACCTTAGGCACCAGTTTAAGGTTTTAAGCTCTACTACATAGATTTCGAGTTGTACACTCTGCTATTTAGATGTTTTAAAACAGTGTTAATCTGCTAACAAAAGGCTTCCTGCCGATTGCCTCCAACCATCTAAAAACATCAAAAGTGCCAGAGAATTCCTAGAAGCCTGATACTCAAGTGAATCGGCGATTAACATATTAATGTTGACCAAATTTACCAGCTAATTAATATAAAGTAAACCATGTGACAAGAAAGTTCAAATTCCAAGTCAATAAAAAATGATCAGTACAGATGTAAATCGACTACCAGTTACGAAGATGGTTGCCAAGACATACAATTCTATCATTCATGGAGAATTTAAATCAGTTCATTTTATGGTAAAACTTGTGGTGAAGATGTTTTCCAGAAGGACGATGAAAACTTCACAATTAAACCAACCAACCAGCTCAGCAAACACAACTAATTCCAAATCATTCACCTAAGCTACAAATCTTTTCTACGGTTAGCTTTTATTGATATAGTGATATATAAGGATAAGGCTAATTTACATTGTGATAAAAATATTGTGCCAGGGTTTGTCAGAAGTTGACATGAATGTTTAGCTATAAACTAACTGCTAGAAATCTTACTGTCAAGCAAAGTTTGTCTTAAACGTTTTGTTTTTATACATAAAAGTGACACCCTACTTGCCCCTTGCCATTTAAGGACATGACGTGTGATGTCACTTGATAGTATCCTCAGTATATGTCCAATTCATCCCTATTTTCGTCTGCATATTTTTTTGGGCAACTGGTTCTTTTCTGGTTCGTTGTCCACCAAATCTCTCTATTACCTATCCTTTCTGGTCAGTTGGTCTTCAGTGTCTATCAAAGGCGGGTGTTAATGAAAATATGCCGTCTATTGTACATTTGTATAAGTCTCAGTGATATTGAAATCAGTGGTTCGGACCAACTTTCCGAATTATTGGAATTATTTGTCTGATTAGAGATGAGATTTCTACGCGCATAATTCTTGTGACTATTCACTTTCCAATTGGAAATATTAAAGATCTGTCTGAAGCAATCAAGACCAGTAGTCTTGTACTTTATTTAAAGTGAATTATATTATGTGATGTACCAGAAAATATGCATTGTTTACCGCAATAAACAATACTTTTATACATTTATCTAAACATTCGGGGCGAAATTCAATTTATTTTTTGAATTGTATTAATGGCTAATTGTTGAATCATGGTAACTTGGATTAGTTTACCATAATAGCATTTAGCGTGCGATGTTTTTTTTTCGCATATTACATAAATATTTTTGGCATAGGTAAACATGTGCTTGACTGATTTATGACTTTACTTTTGCATTATATAAAGCTTTTAATATTGTGTTTACTTGTATTTTGCTTGGATATATTAACATATTAATGTCCATACATACATACATAAAAATACACAAACAAAAAGGGTACAGTGGCCTTTGTCCCTCAGCAACCATGGATATTTAATTCCACCCTTCGGGATAATATTCTTTTTCATCGTCATTATGAGCCAGCTCGATATCAAAAAGTGTTACATGCTTGCAATTTGATCCCAGATCTGGAAATGCTGCCTAATGGAGATTTGACTGAAATTGGAGATAAAGGAATTAATTTGTCCGGTGGACAAAAACAACGTGTAAGGTACGTCGATATTTGATGCCAAATATACACACTCATGTACATATATATATATATATACCCACTTATTTAGAAAATATTTTGTTGCATGTTTCCCTTTGTTATTATTATTGTCGCTGCAAGCATATGTTTTCAATTGACAATGTAAATGCATATTGTCCTTCTCAATATTATTACTTGATTCAAGGATATAATTATGATGCATTTTTCATAGATTATTACTAGTCTTTGTATTCTGCACTGCTGAACAATGTCTGAATGCAGTTTGATTTAAGCTTATGTTGTCATAATTAATAGTTCTGTACCAAAAAAATGCATACAAACAAATAAGCACAATCAGACTAACGTAGTGGATTATCAGTTATATATATATATATATATATATATATATATATATATATATATATATATATATATATATATATATATATATATATATATAATATGCATCAGTTGGCTTACCACAGTAAGCCAACGAAGTCTGATCCCTGGGTCACGAATTCTAACAGTATTTCGCTTGTCGAAGATTGTGCAGCTAATTATTATAGGTATGACTGTACAACCAACCACTGGTGTCCAACAAGGATGTAGGTATTACTGTTTTCATTGAATATTTTTTACTGATATATATATATATATATACTTATTCCCCCTATTAGCTTAGCTAGAGCGTGCTACGCCGATGCAGATGTATATCTTCTGGACGATCCATTATCAGCTGTTGATGCACATGTGGGATTACACATACTTACCCATGTATTAAGCCGTTCTGCTGGTTTGCTGGCCTCCAAAACATGCATCCTGACCACCCATAGTCCTAAAGCTCTTCCATTCTCCGATCGTGTTGGCCTTCTTGTTGATGGACAGTTAGTTGAACTGGGTAATTACAGGCAGTTAATGCATTCACAAACAAGTCGTTTATCTGCATTTTTGGTGACAGCTATACGTGCTGAGTCCGAGAATCGACCAGATTCACCGAAAGACATAGTAGATGGCTCATCAGTTGGACAGACGGAAGATGTACAGAAAGCAAGTAATATATTCCTTAATACTGGTAAGTCAAATAATTAAAATACATACATTCAAAAATATTTAAAAAGTGAATGTTTGTCATTTCTGTGTAGCACACTGCCGGGAAATAATTTTTGCCTTATCTGATATCATTTATATTTGTGTATTTCATGACTAGCTTTCGTTGGTACCCTAATCAGTGAAGTATATTATTTATTCAGACACAAGTCAGTAACACTAGTTACACAGTAAAATGCATCGCGGAATGCCTGAATAACAGTATGAAAAATAATAGGTAAAACATTTGTGAAACGTTAGGATTAAACAAGTAAATATACCTTTCATGTTCATTCCAGAGAGATTTCATTACTTCATATGACTTTCAATGGCAGCAGCAAGAGGGAAATTCCATGATTTTATCTATTGATTTCGATTCTTAGTTGTCTCCGAAAACATCCCGAGCTTACTTTTCTTACTATGGAGACTAGTATTTCCGTTTACACTATCATGTTCTATCGATAATTACGGAGACTTGCTTATTGTAACACTACTTGTTATTTAACCATAAATGAACTATGAACTATTTTTTTCTTCTCAAGACTCACAAGAGCCACTTTCATACCTGTCTGTACATTCAAATCCAACATCTCAGCTTCGTCATAGAACTCAATCGGAAACTCACAGTATAGATCGTAACAGTAATATACGATTTTCAAACTTAACTTCAACAACAATGTCTCAAAAATCAGTAAGTAATTATATCCTATCTAATTTTTTGTAAGTTAATATGTTGTATCTTTTTTGAACAATAGTCATTATTTTTTAAAGAAAAGTTGATTCATCGAGAGAGTACTCATATTGTTTAGCAGTTAAGTGAAGATTAGCACCGAGTGTTTTAATTGAAAGATTCCACTGTACATTGTTTAACACGATCAATCATTCCATTTTACTACTTCACTCTCCAATACGCTTTATTCTTGGTAGGCAAAGACATTATTCAAATATGTCGTTGCTCTATACTGTCACAAAAAACGTCACTCAGCTGTACCTTCACAATAATTTATTTATGGTATTCAACTTTTTGAAACGGAAAGGCAATCTATCTTATAACCCATCTAAAAATAGAGCAAAACCAATCTGAAATTGTGTTCATCTAGCATACAGGCTTTCATAATAATTTTAAAGCTGTGGATAAGCAGACAAAGTCAAGCGATTCAGTTTTTCAACCAAAAAAGTAGCATCTAATAGAACTAATTTACTTCTTAAACGTTGTCACCTCACTTCTGTACAGTAAGTAGGAATTAATATAATCCTTATAAGGTGTGAAGGCAGATCTACAGAACATGATTTAAAATTGAACTGTTATAATTCACATAGTAAACTCTGTTTAAGTGATAATTAGTTTGAGACAGAAAAATGAATGTGAACATCTACTTTCTCCTAGAACGGCCTTATTAACCAAGCATTGTAAGTCTGGGGTATTAGAATTATATTTAGGACATAAGCGCTAACCTGTAATGTTGTTTATTGGCAAACTGGATTAGTTTATGGTAGTTCTATATAAAATTATCAAAAGATTGCGATATTTTTCAATGAAATAAATACAGAGAATTGAAAAATACCTGAGTGAAATATAAAGAAATGATAAAAAGAATACAGAAAGTTATGTAATAACTAAAATAAATTCTATACGAGTCCTCAAAGTCTTTGACTATTTAGATAAATACTCTCTACTTTACTGCGAATCTGAATTCCCTCAAATCTTCTTAGCAGTGTGGCAAAATGTATCTCATGTTTGTTCTTTTATTAAATATATCACATGTAGTAAGGTTAGAGACGATAAACTGTATGTGGAATGTCATCAAGTATATAAATATGTTTAGATCTGTGCTATATCTATTGAGCCAACTAATAAATAATCTTCTATTAGTTTAACTGGAGGTTCTGTCTGTGCTATAAGTTGTACATTCTAGATTTCCATCATGAGCTGACATCGGTTAGAGAACTATTACAAAACCTGGGAGTACTGGACAGCTGTTTCGGCCTAGTTTGGGGCCCTTCATCAGAACACACCAAATCAGTCTGATGCTCTCCAGCGACTGACCGTATTCAGGCGGGTCCTAGTGAGAAGTCGAAAGGCCTTGAATAGCATTCACCGAGAAGTAATTTGGAAACTACTTCAACACTATGGCGTGCATTGCCCAAATCTTCATCAACCTCATTCAACAGCTATAGGACACTGCCACGTGTCAGGTTGCCCACAACGGGAAACTCAGTGAGGCCTTTGAAGTGAATAAACAAGTAGGACAAGGCTGCTGCCTATTATCACCCACGATAATATTCCTAATTGTAGTGGACTAGATTATGCGTCAGACTTTGGAGAGTGGGAAGACTGAGATACACAGGACTCTATAAGATCTGGATTTCGCAGATATATGTCTAATGTCACACAAACTTGAAGACTCACAGGAGGAAAGCAACAAACTGATAGAAGAAGTAGGCAGAGAAGACAGGACTGCAGGTGAACATCGAGAAGACAGAGATGACGGAGTTAACCAACGAACCATAACAAAAACAACAAACAGCACCAATCACTATCAACGGGAAAGATTTTAAAGAGGTTACTTCCCTCACTTCTGGCTAGGAAGCATTGTTTCAACCACGGACGGAACAAATGAAGATGTCCAAGTCAGAATCGGAAAGACGAGACACGCCTTCATCAATCTGAGACTAGTTTAAAAATCTTTTGCACTCCTCAGCATAAGGAACAAGATTTGAATTCTCAACATAAATGTCAAATCGGCCCTTCTATACGGATCAGAAACTTGGCATGTCTCGAAAAGCATTTCCAACAGGTTGCAGACTTTCGTCAATGTCTGACTTCTCTGGCTCCATTCTGAAGATCAAATGACTAGAAAGAATCAGTAACAAGAAACTGCGGGAACAAACCAACCAAGAACCTATGACTCAACAAATATGCAGGAAAAAATGGAAATGGATAAGACCGTTGGTTGACATCTCGCACCAGGCCATTACTCGAGTAGAATCTAAATTAGAAGCGACTAGTGGGTCGTCAGTGTGTGGGTCACATGGAGGATATCGTGAGAAAAGGAGGTGGGAGATTATGGTCAATCGTGGACCCAGCTGAAGAGAACGGCAGAGAATAGAACAAAGTGGAGATGTGTTGTTGAGGCCCTATGCTCCACTCGGAGCCCAAGGGAATGAAAATGAATAATAATATAAATAAGAAGTCGTGACCGTGGGTTACAGCAGGCCAGGTGTGAAGACAAATACTCACCGATGACATCGCCTAGTAGTCGCTCTATATCGTGAATTGGAAGAAGTTGGAATTCATGGGTCATTGAATCTGGTCCAGTGGCTGAATGGTTTATGTGCTCGCCCTGCAACCAGAAGGTCCCGGGTGGGTGCATGCTCTGAAGAGTCCCAAACTAGTCTGAAACAGCTGTCCAGTACTCCCAGGTTTTCCGATGGTTCTCTAACCGATGTCAGTTCATGATGAAATCCTGTCACCAACCGAATCTTTACAAACCAGCAATTGAACAGTCTAGATTTTAATGTTCCATTTAGAAATTTATTATCATTGCCACATTTTATGACCAAATGTCTCTGTGTAAAAGGGGTGGGCTGCATTTGACTTTGCTTTGTTTCTGTGAGCATGTAAATCTTAGCTTGCTCATAAATCACCTGTCACAAATGTAGTTGTCTTATCCTAGTTATAGTGAAAGCAATCCTAATTTCACAACCTTGTAAGGATGGTCATCAAAGTTCAGTTGGTCTTTGGACAATACTGTGTTTCTTTTACTTCAGTAAACAATAAATCTACTATATTCGTTTCATATGATTAGCTAGAGATACACTGAACTGTAAAATTCTCTTTGACACGATCAGTCATTCTGAAAACCTGACCTGACATGATATTGATTTTTCGGTAGTTATCATACCGAATAATTAGCATATGTCACATCAACAGATTATTTGACATCATGAGTACTCATTCTGAAGAAAAAAAAATACTAGCTTTGATTTAGATAGAATGTTTTTAGTATTCAGAGTGTGATTAATGTAATTAGAAAGAATTGTTCAGAATCATTCATTTTTAAGTTTACCTACTTCTTTTGTTTAGTAGTGTATTCCACACTATCTAATCACTTATATCTTGTAAGTGCCTTTCATAAAAAAGAATTTACGTGTGCATAATATGATGGATTTTGTTTATCGCATTTATTTATGGACAGCAATAAATCATTTTCCTACAGATTATAATCAGGTTTTAATGATAAACGTGTTTGTAAACACGTATGTGCTTACTACACCCTCAAACGAAAAATCATCAGCAGTAGTGACCTCTGCCTAATCATATTTACAAATATTTTATTTTGTCCACTAGAAACACAATACTTGTTTGTATGTGCCTGTGTTACAAAGTGCTTTGTTTATGTGTTTTAATCAGTCACTCCACTGAAATCTCTGATTTTTCCCCACTCATTTCAATAAGGAATTTGTTGGAAATATAACCAATCAGTCATTCGAACAGTCACTTTTAACTTATTTCAATTGAAATTATAATAAGGTGTGAGTGATGTGGTGAATAGTGGATGGAGTTAGATAGGTATCATTCATATGACGGCTAATATAATGTACATATATTTATAATATATATATAGCTGTTGCAATTCTAGGCGAGCAGGGCAGATATGGTTCTGATCTAAGGTTTATTATAACTTCGATAACCGGTACTGTGTTCGTAAACACGATTCGTTGAACTCTAGACTTAATCGTAAAGTAATATGCAGATTAGAATCTCTAAATATGAAAGCAGGGAGTAGATAGTAAATTCATATAAATTCTGCTCAGATATCAATTGCCAGATAAATGTGACACTAAATACAAACTTATGGTTGATTCAGGCTCATTTTCTAGTTCTAACGATCATTGTGTACACTGTTAGTTTGGATTTTTGAGTGACCTCATGAATTATAAAGTCCATCAACCTGGGTTATGGTTAGGGTTCATTCTGCACGAAGAAATGTTCAAAAGTACAAATATTTTTATATCTGTAGCTGAAATGATATGTAAGTTGATCGTGACTGTACTCAGTGTATTTTCCGGAAAGGATAAAAGTAAAATGAATAACTCTACCCTGAACTCCTCTTCTTTTATACGAGTAATTCTCACCCAAATTCATGTATCCATGTCAGTCAGTATGTTTCCTTCAACAATCAACCTTCGAGATTGAATTTGTTGCAAGTGACAATTGCTTTTGTCAAAACCCTCCTTGCTAATATGTTGCTTAATAATTGTTTGAGATTATAAACGTCAGTTATTGCAAATAACCTGTACTCTTCAGATTGGTGAACTTTGAGAACTGATCGTTTCAGTTAAAAATTGTTTATAACTTTGGGGTGTTGTTTCTTCAACAATGCTAACTAATATAGCTTACTGTTTCTAGATTGTAAGTTCATAATTTTTTTAAAGAAAAAATCACAAACGTACTGAAACATACTTGTTTCAGAAATTGAATCTATCGATTAAAGACTGCTATTCATTCACTGTCGAATCATGAAGTTTTGATAATTGATTGTTTATAACCACATAGTACATACCCAAGTGAAAATTTAGTCTCAGTAAACGTTATGTCAAAACTGTTTTATATGTGGAGTCTGTTTTATGCATAACAGAAGTAAGATAGTTGTACTTTTAAATAAGTAATATTGACTTTTGTTTTCTTTTGCTGGAAACCTTTCTATCCTATTTCGCCTTTTTTCGTCTCATCAGGAAAGATCATCTATAGCAGTTACTGAAAAGAAACATGTGTCTGAAGAAGAGCAAAAACCTGAACCACATACAGGTCAACTAGAGAAAGCTCTAACTGGTCGAGTAAGTGAATGTTTCATTTCTAATGGACTATAGATATATATATCTCCGATCCAAAAATTAGCCTGCTTATTATTCTTCAAATATTTTCATACTATACTTTTAAAACACTATATCATAAAGAAATGGACAGTTGAAATTATATATATATATAATATATACCTAAGAATTGGATTGATGTCATTATAGTTTCTAATTTCTATCTGAAACAGCGGCGAGTACTCAACTGCTGTTTTAATCTACTTCGAGACTCCTCAGAATTTTACATACCTTTTTTCATATTGAACTAACTGCAGGATTGTCAAGTCTAAATCAGTTTTCATTAAGCAATACATTCTTTCATATACATCGGTAACTGATATTTTATAAGTTTGAAGTAATAGTATTGGTTAATATATATGAAATCCTGAATCATTACATTCCAGTAATTTGAAAACACTTGATTCAGACTGTATTGTCGCTACAGGCAACAGAATAATATTTCGTCGACTCGGTTGCAATCGTTCACGAACAGAAACAATTTCACCATCGAAATTCTCAATAACTTCATATTTTCTTAATTAATCAATATAAAAAGCTAAAGAGATGTCAATGCCATGTAAAATCCAAAGAATTATTCTGTTAGAAGCGTTGAACTTAAATTCCCCTTGGTAAATCAAAAATTATTTTTACACTTTGAATGGGAATTGTTAAAGGGTTTGAATTAGATGAAAGACACGATGTGTGAGACTGTATAATCCGGACCAAACATCGTCAAAAAACAACGAAAAATTACTGTGTTAGGAAATGGTGTAAAATCTATTCCTTCTTAAGTACATCAATGCATATATGTCAGCGTACAGTCCATTTTGTTTTCAATAGACACTGAATTACATGTCACATTAATTAATAATCACTTTATGTACAATGAATACTATTTGAACATGATAAAAACCTGTTGCTTTCATGTGATAAACTTTGTCTACTGTCAGCCCATTATTCTAATCAATCTGATGACTACACTGAAATTTTGTGTATATCACTGAATCATTTAATTCATTATCAGCAGGTTGATAGGCATACAATTGTTCGAACTTCACTAAATGAATAAAAAAACAACAAATAACCACTTTTACGCATGTCTGTAAATGCAGCTTTTCCCATATATAATCGAATGGCTAACAAGGAATGATTACTTGTCAAAGGCGAACAAGTAAAGCTCATAAAATACGTTTCAAATTTTCCGAGAAAAGCAAAACTTTAATTCAGCTGGTGAAAGGAGTAAACTTACTTTCTTTTGACAATGCATAATAATTTTCTATTTCAATCTCTATTTTCTTTCTTTTTCTTTTTACTTTCGTGCAGATTAAATTTCAGGTGTTTTTAACATATTTCAAAAATATTGGTCTCTTTTATGGTTTATTAATGCTAATATTTTACCCGGCTAATCATGTTACATCACTGGGAGGGAATTTGTGGTTAGCTGATTGGTCGAATGATGCTATCAACTATCGAAAACTAACTGATCGTCTGCTGAATGCATCCAGTTGGATAGGACCAATAAACGACTCACAATATGACAGTGATATACAACAGTTTTATGCTCAACGTAATTATCGACTTTCGATTTATGCACTACTTGGATTTGTTCAAGGTAAAAATCTATTCACAGATGAATAACTTATTCACATAACGCCCTTTCATGATTGAATGTTGAATAGAAAACACTTTGGTTCATTCGAATAGCGATTCAACTTGTGATCAGTACATAACGGGTTTGAAATACATTCTACCTTAATAAGGTGTGAGTAGCTAGATCGTATCTACTTGCTCGTACACAGTTGGTGTGGTACACGGAGGAGTGTATCTGATTGTGGAGTAACGTTTTATTTCAGAAGCTTCCTTGTTAATTTTCCTATTACGTTTTCTTATCTTGTATTGAATTTACATTCAGCTATGCTGGTGATGCTTGTAGCTAATTACTTCTACTTTGTTTGTGCAGATCAAGATGTTAACATTATTTATTTTGTGGGCTTCTCATCAGCTGCATATAGCCTAAAGAAATTATTAAGCTTATGTACAGAACAATTTTAACATACTTGCAGATGTTACATGATGTCAGTTGACAGGCGGTTCTAAATGTAGCAAACAGTCCTCAGAAGACTACACTTTTTCCCAGAGAGTTGAAGTTTTGTAAGCTGTCCAAAATTAAGATCATACAGCTGTTTACTAGTTAAGTTTTCTTTGTAACTAGATGACCCTATTATAAACTGGTGAGCAACTCTCCCCAACTGAGTTTACTTAGAATCTCACTTGGACTTCGAACAGCTTTCAACCAAAATAAGTTCTTTTGATAATGCTGATCACTAAGCTTTGTCATATCTCATGAAATTTCAAGTAAAATTAGGGATAAATAACGTGTTGACGTTTTGTTTTTGGGTTCCAGGAGTTTACTATCGTCGACAATTGAAGAAAGGTTCCTCATACAACACAGCCTTTTCGACATGCTAAATAAAATGCGTTATGAATACTGAGTTCATTTCAACCCACTGTCTTTCCGTTATAATATTTAAGTGTGTCCTTATACTTCTTAACTAATTTCTCTCTTTCCATCTGAAAGTATTTCTAGTGTTAGAATTTGCTTATGGAGAAGCAGATTAGAGCTATTCGAGCGATTGTCTAATATCAAGTCGTTTGTTTCATGGTACTGTTTTGTCTGACGATTAAAATCTTGTCATTAAGCTAAGTAAGGATGTATCTGTATGACGCCTGTGTGTCGCTACTGTTAATACTCACTTAACTAAACAAAACATCGTCTATATATTTTGGTTCAGAAAATTTTTGACTGGACACAATATTCTTAACTGTTCTGTACATGTGTTGTACCTTTGTACTAGTATTTTTTGTATCTAACGGTTTTTCTTCTTTTTGAAATATTCAATTGGTTGTCCAACTTTCAATCTGAAGGTATGTTAAAAGCAGTCGCTGATATTGTTGGTTTCATTGGAATACTGGATGCTAACACAAAATTCTACACACATTCTCTGCTTATGATTATGAAATCAAAAGAGTTGGCGCTAGGTTTCTTAAAACGGCGTCTTCTTCAGATAAAAAAGAACCCACCAATTTACAGCATTATGAAGTGTGACAATAATATGAAAGATGGTATAGCCCACAGTGCTTCTGGCATACAAAGTTGTCATTACAACGAAACTCCTGTTTCTTGTGTTGTCAGCTGCCTGACAGCAGATTTTTCAAATATTGAAAGTGTCTTACCATTTACCATTACTGGTCTCATCAATTTATTCCTGGACATGGTGATCACTTTCGGACAAGTGTTTTGGATACTTGGGTCAGTATATTCACTGACGGGGATTCTTGTCAGTCTAACATTACTCGCTGTTTTTGGGACATGGTTGTATCATTTAAAGGCAGGTTGTATGGAAACACTAATATAGAAATATGGCATGCACGTAAACCCGTTATTTTTTTGTCTGTGTGTAATATATCTGTGTATTTGCGCACATGATTAATCCAATTCGGGCGTAGATCGATTGATGCAATTTTCTGATCCCATCATTATTTTTCGTCTCTGATTTATTTGTGTTCACATATGTGTTTTAATAATGATCAAAAAGCCTTGTCACCTTTTGATTTTCACTTGGCGTATCCAACTATCCTACTGAGCTTTATTAATCCTGCCTATTTTTGTTTCTTCATTTCCGCATCTTCTTAGTTTTGTTTGCAATGTGTTCCTTGTATACTTTGGCTATTGGTCATTTGGGATGTGTTGTTCGACTGCATAGTCGACTATTGAGCTATGTGCTACATGCGCCAGCGACATTCTTTGACTTAGTACCTCATGTAAGTGTTCTAAGATAACCATTTATGTTCATTTTCAAAATAATTGGGTGCATTTTATAAATAAAATGATTGCTATTCGGGGCTCTGGTGTTAAATAGTGTGTATTGCTGAAAAACTAAATTGTGTTTAAAAATTTTTTTCGGATGTTAATAACCAATTAAGTCGTGTGTATATGTTAAGATCTGTCGCCGAATCTCAGACAGATATGTCTAGGTGTCTGTAGACATCACGACTTATAATCCTGAAAATCACTGAGACCTAATAGTATTTTAATTTGATTGTTTAAGTGAGCTTGATACAATTTTAATTTTAATCAGTGTTGTATATTGTCTGCATAAATGAAAACTGTGTCGAACAAGTAATTCTTTCTAAGAGCGAACTAAATGGATTCTATCGACCATTTTTGAGAAGCGGAGATCGAGAATTGTCATAAGTATAAAACTTGGACAGTGTGGTAAAGTGTGAATGACTTGATATGATTATAAGCAGTAATATTTTGTGCTCGAAACGTAATCAGTAAATACTACTGTATGACACTGTGTGCGTCGGTGGTACAGTGGTTAGGACTCTCGTCGACCATCCACATGGTCCGAGGTTCGATCCCTTGCCGACGCACACTTGATATCTATGGTCGGCCTGCGAAATTCGGGCTACCGATATCCATGCTGAAAATTCCATACTTGTACCAAAAATACAGTGTGGAATCAAGCTGTAATCAAAAATTTAAAAAAATTTATGAAAATAAAATCTTATCCATAATGGAATCAAGCACTGCCGTTCATTTTGATCAGTGCTGAGTAGTTGAGTGCAGTTAGTAGGACATCTTTAGCCAAATTTCTTACTTGTTGGTATGCATCAACAATACGTATGTGGCACCCCAGATATTCAGACTGACCTCACCTAATATTGCATGACTATCAGTTGTATAGCTTTAAAGATTACTAAAAGTATGCGATGAATAATGTGAAATACAATACAATAAAATAAGTGGAATGCGAACAACAAAGAATTGTCAGTCACTGGTAAAGCCTTCCTACTAGAACTATTCAAGTCCTAACTTTTGGCACCATAGTTATTTGATAGTGTGAAATATTCCCATATTAGGAGTTAAAAGTCAATCTGAACGAAGAATATTCTTTTCAATAATTTCTCTTCAGGTGCATACAATTATAAAATATAATATTTGTTATTTTTTTGATTTACAGCTTGATTCCACACTGTATTTTTGGTATAAGTATGGAATTTTCAGCATGGATATCGATAGCCCAAATTTTGCAGGCCGACCATAGATATCAGGTGTGCGCCGGCGTGGGCTCGAACCCCGGACCATGTGCATGGTCGGCGAGAGTCCTAACCACTGTGCCACCGACGCATTACAATGTAGGCCAGTTATGCGGCGGATACATTTTTAACGTCGAAAATAAATAGTCGTATTTGTGTGACAACACAGCTTTCAGGGTAATATACCGAATTCCGAAGTCGTTATCACGTACAGTTCGCTTACGTCTCCTACACACAGCTGAAGCTGTTGGAATAAGATCGACTAAACCGGAACTTGTATCCAAAAAGAACACGTCCAGATGCTGTTTCTACCATGGCCAAACTTGGATTGATGATTCTTCTTCTCACCAAGAGTGATCCTTCCCCTCAACCCTTTTGGTTTTTTTTCTTTTGCTTATTATTACAAATATTATTATTACAATTATTATTATTCGTCATAATTTATGCCCTTTATGCAAACATTCCCTCAATACTATCGAATTTTTCATTTATACTATCCGGACTTATTATTAGTGATATTATCTCTTTTCTCAATATATGCCTCCACCTGTTTCATTTCATATATTCGTTATTTTATTATGAACCTCTCATTGCAGTCTTACTATCTCCTGTTTAATGTATACATCTTTGTACTAGCCACTCACTCACCTGACACGTTTTATAACCTTGAACTGACTTGTCAATTTTCCTACCCCACATTCCACGAAACAATCTGTTATGACTAATCACCACCACTGTCTCCCGTTTTACAATATTTTCTAATCGATTTCAGACAACTAGCACGTTTGTCACACAAATACGACTATTTATTTTGAAACCCCATAACTAATCAGTTATTCGACGTTAAAAATGTATCCGCCGCATAACTGGCCTACATTGTAATGATAACAAATATTATATTTTATAATTGTATGCACCTGAAGAGAAATTATTGAAAAGAATATTCTTCTTTCAGATTGACCATAGTTATTGTTAAAGATGAAGTGCATGCTCCTGTATACAGCTGAACGATTTTGATGCATAGACATAACTGTTTATTATGGTTTTTCTGCATACTTCACTCCTTATTTCTCATGAAACAACTATACACTGTTGACAAAAGAACTGGTTGATTTAGGGCACACAGATACATTTAACACCCCACAATAGAAATTTACATTGAATAATGTGGAGTGAAATTGTTTTTTCTGTCCTGAAAAAAAAAACGTTTGAAGGATCACAGAATAAAGAAGAGAAGCTTCACTATTCCAAACGTTCCTTGTGCAGATTTTCATTGTCACTTCCTAGGGAATGTTTCTATAAGGTGTACCTGCTTTCTCTGGCTTGCTGCTTAAACACAGAGTATTATTATGTCCCATTATATAACTGTTGTCATCGCTTATTTCTTGATCACAGTTAACTGTGGTTAAGAATTAAAAAAATTGAACTAATACTTTTAGAATAAATTTAAGTTTTTATTTAAAAAAGAACTTTTACCTATTGAAATTTCTTACCAATTTTTTATCATTCTGCTTTTTCTGTGCTGTTTATAGGGTCGTATTGTCAACAAATTTTCGCAAGATATTGCAACACTGGATAATCCTTTAATGGTAACACTCAACAGTACACTGAACTGTGCACTGACTTGCTTTCTGACACTGTGTATTGCTTGTACACTCAATGCATTCATGATCATCCCAATTTGTCTACTTACAATAATCTACCTTTTAATTCAGGTAAGAAAGAATTTCAGTAAAACTATGTGAGACAGTCTAATTCCTCTAGTAAATAAAGCGATGACTGAAGTTGAAACAGAAGCCTAGATTACAACAGACATAGAACTAAATGCTTTTGTAGCTCAGTTGACAAAACAATATGAGAGCAATTGAAAGGATCACAGTTTTGAATTCTGTTGCCCTTCAGGCTTTGTTTTTTACATCAGTCTTTATGCTAATAAACAAGGAAATCTATGTTATCTTTAATATTGAATAAGTGTGTTTGCAGGTACTCATTTGTATGTATGCGGATGCATGAATTTCGTGTAATTAATTATCTACGCCCAAATAAATGATCTACTAGAATTTGCATGTCGTCTAGCTTTTGCATCCTTTTGGCATGAATTATATTTACATCATTCTCTAATGTATTTTTGGATGAAATGCATGTCAATGTTTCTAATTATTTTTTGTTAAATTTCACATAGTGCATGTATAATTTAGTATAGAGATATTTTTAGTTGGTTTCTCCTCTACTGTACATATCTATATATACCTCATAATGTCGGTATTTGTTTCCATTTTGGTGTCTAGTGATATCATCAATCTTGAATCTAGGAGAAAACAGGAATAAACAATGAATAAACATTCATTTTTCGTAAATACTCTTCTACTACTGAACAGTTGGAATCCCAGTTCATTGTTGAATAACTTAGTTGTAGGCGAATGAAGTGCTCCTTTGTGTAGTAACTTCTTAAAAAATCACTTAGTAGTCAGTTTCAACTTAAAAATGAACACATGAGTTCAGGGCAAAGCTAAGACAGTTGTTTAACTGTCACTAATGCCTTAGTTTCAATTATGAGAGCTGTTGTGTTTAACTATATGCAGTTAAATATTTTGGTTTGATCAAACTATTCACATCGGTTAGTCGTACTGACATAGTGTAAGGAGTGTCACTGTTTAGCCGGTGTATATGACTCTGAACACGTGAACACAGCATTATTGCTGTTACATCGTTTGAGCTCAATTTTCTTAATCATTTCCTTTCCACCTATTTTTGAATGACATTTTGAGGACAACTCTGAAGGATGTGCTTTGAGATTGATTGTGTGGATCTTCTGTCTGAAAGATTTTTACGATCTTCAATATACAGATTACATCGTCCTAGAGTGTGATAACATACAGGATAACAAAATCTCACCTTAAGAGCTGACGATTATTTTCTAAAAGTACAGTATGTACTTTTTTCGTCTAAGCGAAGATAACTATTTTGAAATCAGCTACAGTCTGTCATGAGTGAACCATTTCCTCATATTACTGAAAACACAAACTTGGTATAATATAGATGTAAGCATAAAACTTGGGCACTGTGGTAGAGTATAACTCCATTATGGATAAGATTTTGTTTTGATAAATCACACGGTGTTGTACAGTTATATTAATATAATTGGTATAATATAGGCATCAAAAGATGTGTCACACAAAAATAAATCAACGATATGAGAAAAGAAGAGAAACAAGACAGCTGAGCAAAAAACACTTTATGAAATCAGAAAGCATGTGCATTAAGTGTACTAAGAGACGTTTTCATTACTTCCTATTACTTTTAATGCAACAATAGAGATGGTATTCACTGGATTCTCCCCATTGATTTCTATTCTGAACTATATCTGATAGCGTGTGGCAGGAATGCATCGTAGAGGTTATTTACCAGCCGAGAGACTGAAAGGAAAAAGCGGAGACACCATCAGCCTGCAATCTGTTGCCTTTTGAGGGTGTGCGTAACGCCTAATTTTCGCTCCATGCCTCCCTAGGTGGGGATCCGAGAGTCATTATCAGATACTGCCCAGGATCCAAACCAATCTCCAGTGTTCGTTTATACTCTTTGAATAGTTAGTGACTGGCCTTGAGTCTATACAGGATTAAGATTTTGCTATAGAATCACCACAGGAATCCAGACAGTTGCTTCAAACGGAGCTGTATCTTTTATACACCTACGCTATCAATTGCTAGCAGCAATGTGATTTACTTGAGTGACAAAAAGATGTGTGGTGATGCAACGGCTATGTCTGTTTCGAAAGTTGGAGGGGGCTAGAAACAAGTTCTGTTCTGTGCAAACTTGCTACTGTCTAGTTAACAGTGACCATAAAGACTACTCTGTTCTAAAGCTAAACATCTGGTTTGAACATTTAACCCCCCACTAACGCTTCAGTGTTTTCCCATCATCTTGGTTCAAAAGGTCACTCAGTGGGTTGTAGGTCACATCTTTAATTGCTCTTTGGTGAAATATTTTTAGAGAAAATGCACCATCATAATCAAGCTTCTGAGATGTTCACAAGGTTTAGCCTTAAGCTTAGGTTAATGCTTCACACTCTATTTGTTAGAAACCACTATTACCATGTCAGCACTACCTAAACAGATACAATTTGAACGTTTATTTTTATTTTCTTAATAGCAGAAGTATGGAACTTCGTTCATCACTTTATCTACCATTATTTAACAAAGTGGCACTAAAGTCATAATATAACTCAAACGGTTACTTCACTGAAAGATGATTTCTATCATCTTTTACGCCAACGATAATGGATCCATATTATATTGGTTCATTGTTCACTGTGATATACTGAAACTGCTTTTAATGCATTAATTTCTAGTTATTTATAAATACACACAGTGCTATTTTGGCTGATGGTGACTAGCAGTGAAATCCAGACTGCTATCAACACTTTTTTCAGGAAATTATTTTTACTAAAATGATGTACATTTCACGCCAAATTTTTATTTAAAATATACGTCATGATTTTTTAAATATTATTTTTAAACTAACTAAAAAGAAAACTGGTATTTCAGTCTAATTGTCTGTAAGTTGGTATGTTTTTAACTTCATCCAGCTTTGTTTCTTTCACCGATGACCTTTTTTTATTGAATTAAATTTGTTATTCAGTTTATCCGGTCGTCTCATAAAAATAATAGCCAATTGTGTACATAACATTCGGTGATAAGCAGTGCATAACCATACCGTTAGGTTTATCAGTTCAAATGAATTAGCTAACGTGTTCCTGTTTTTCTTATTATTTCATTGTAGTATTTTTATTTAGTTATTTTAATGAATCCTTACGGTGTCACTATGATTGTAGCAATTGTTCTGATATTGTTCCATGATAAAATATATATGAAGACATATAGAAGGCAGCTATTTCCACAGTAAAGAGACAATAGGTTTTTAAAAAATAGTGGATAATTGCACGGAAGGTTATCACGCATTCAATGCAGTCATTTTCATAGCCTTTTACTGGTGAATATTCATGTGATCTGATTGAAAAGATTGTTTGACGTGTTTCGTCCAGCAAGAGGTAGTAATAATGCTTCGAGAAAGTGAATTGTGAAATAGTACAAGATGTAGCGAACAGTCTAGAAGAGTTATGAAGGTTGCCAGACGAGAAATATGAATATTTTTCTCGTAAGAAATAAAAACGCGTAGTAACACATGGAGTTTCGGGCGAGAGAAGTTGATGTATCATAGATGCAGTCAGAAGCTGTAAGTTGACAATGTGTTTACAGTGAGTAAATGTCTTGTCGCTACTGCATTTAGCTCATAAAATTTTACATAAAAAATGCATTGGTTGCTTTGTAACGGATTTGTAGATCATTTTATGTTGAGGTATCAATGACCGATTCAGGAGACATGTGGATGGCGCTTCAACAGAATATATATATATATATATATGATATTGTATACTACTAAGAAAGCCTAGTTCCTCTGCTAAGTAATCTCTTAATTTGTAGGATTACTCTAGTGCGTCAGGAATGACGAAAGAACTGGAATATCTGATTCATTATTGCTTGTCATAATCTCTTCCTATTCTGTCTACCTAATGAAGCTTAAAGTCGAATGTAAATATCTGCCGACATACGAAATCAGCAATAAGTAGTCAAAAAGAATGCATATTGTAGCTTGAGGCTACATTGAATGATCCAAGCAAATAACATGAAGGTCTGGTCGTCGAGAATGATTTCCATTTTGTCTAACAGAGTGTTGAGCTAATGATCAGTTAGTCGTTGACACTTTGTTTTATGACACTAAGATTTCTTGATTTCTTCTAAGGCGGCCTGTTTGACATCTGGGCTACCTTTTTCCTGCATCTACATATTGCGAAATTGTTATATTACTTAACACATCTTGAGTGCGGTAAAACTTACCATTTTTAACCTTTATATATGCATCCGCATCTATTTTCAAAGTGTTAACTTTTTTATTATCGTCCATAACCTTTTTGTGTTTTGATCACCGGAATGATTTTATTAATCAACACTTTGTTTTTTCAAAGACAAATTAGTGATGCTCACTGGTATCTTCCCTTATCTCTTTATATTTATTATTTATATTTACAGAATTTATATGTAACCAGTTCAAGGCAACTGAAGCGTCTAGAATCAATCAGTTTATCGCCGATATTTTCACACTTTTCTGAAACACTTTCTGGTGTTGACAGTATCCGGGCATATAAACTAACTGAGACGTATAAAACAATCAGTTCTACTCGACAAGATTTAAACAATTCAGCAGTTTATGCTTCAATGGTATCTCAGAGGTTAGTAAAACTATTCAGCTGTTCTGCTTTTCGTTAATACAATTCAGACATTTTTAATTTCTGATTATAACTAACAAATTTCATTCACATTTAGTTACTGGTAGGCATTCTGAACAGTCAACCTGGTGTCACCTGGGCTACTTAGCTATTCATTGTCTTCATATTTGTCGTCGCGTATTTTTTGTTATGTAAATGAGAAATGAACGATTCTTTAATCTTCATTTGTTCTAATTTCACACGCTAAATTTGAAATTAATGCGATTAAGTTCCTAGACTAAATTAAAAATATGTTTAACTTTTGCCTATGGCTAAGGAATTTTGGAAAACTTTTTTAAAACTCTGAACAACTTAAACTTTTAAATTTTTGCATTTGTTGGGTTTTATTGATACCAGAATAGGTTTCACTTCGGAGGAGGTTCGAAAAAATAAAAGTGGTCTGAACAGTTACTTCCCTCTAGTTTGGGATAGCAAGATTAAAAAGCAAGTATTATTCCCCTTCAGTCAATACTTCATGATTGAATATCGCGTCATTTTTGACTTTTAGTAGTAAATGATATAGAACTAGACAGACCCAATAATACCAGTAAATTACAATCTGTTAATGAAATACACTAAGTAGCTACGGAGCTATTTAATACGAGTTTGTATTTTAAAGTAGTCCAGTGTAGATACCATGAACCACTACTTAAAATACTTCCAGTTGACATTACTCATAAAATGTTGAAAATACTTTGGCCTATGAATTCCTCACATAAACTGTCAAAATCTTTCCAAGATTATTCATTATAATAAAGGTTTTTTGTATTTCCCAATGAATGAAAAACAAAACGATATTGTTTTTACTGACGTCTCGCTATTTAATGCTAATAGCTTTCTCAAAGTATTATTAAACCTGAATTTACAAAATCTCAGCATATATATAACAAAGAGTTAGGGGGTGAGAAAAAAATATAGACTTAGTTCAACTTAAAAGGACACATTGAAAGTCAAAATAATAATGAAGATCGTTCAAACCAAATATCAAAGGTAATAGTATATCTGTTATTATACCAAAACAAAGTTTGCTAACTTGATCATCGTTCGTCAGTCTAGGTCTTTTTTGTTGTCAAGTTGGCGAATTGGTAAAGATAACAAAACCAAGTGTAGATTGTTGGATTTGATCAGTGTGTAGAATTATGAAAGTAGTGTGTGTTTACATAGTGAACTTGCTTATCACATTTGTGTTTATTTTGCTACTTCATAGGGAAGGGGGGTGTTGTAGCCAGCCATAGGTCTACATGCTATAGAATCAGGCCACAAAATTGATTTTGACAATATTGAAATAATCCAGAAAAACTTCAGAAACCACAAAGAACGTCTAATATCAGAAGCACTTCATATCAAGTGGAATCCGAATTGCCTAAATAGGAATGATGGACTAAAACAGAATCTGACCTGGTTTGGACATATATATCCAAGATTATATTCTGAATTGCACATTTGGTAGTCGCATTTCCTGAGGGAGATGGGGGTATAAACGGAAGCCTATAGTGCCAGTACTACCTAAGTATTTACCCATTTCATGCCATATTTGCACACGTAATATTTTATAGTTTAACAAGTGTGAATTTTCTTCATGGTTTCTCATCAAATAACATTCATAATAATAACAGCTATCATTAAAATTGTAATCATAACTATCGCCATGTTTTAGTAGTTAGTGCTGTCAGTCACCTCTTTTTTTGACTACTAACACGATGAATGTGACGACTTGTTATCATTTATAGAAAGTAGTTTAACAACTTACGAAACTCTAAAAACTGAATTGTGTCGCTCTGTGTTATGAATACATTGTTATTTTCCAGCTGGTTCACTGAATTTAGGAAACATTCAGTAAAACAACAGGGTGGGATTTTTCTTTATTTGGTCGAGATATTCGACTTTCAATCAATCAGTGATAAATTCGGAAACTACCTCACTGACTACGCTTTTTGGATGACACATTATTAATAATTCCCAATCAATGAGTTAAGTCCATCGAGTAAAAATTGAATAACTCATGGTTTGTAAAGTGTAACTACCCTTCATTGTCACTGGTGAATTCGTGGGTTCTGATCTCAAGCCTTACTAATCCTTGTGAGGTGTACAAGAGATCCATTTTGAAAACTTTCTCGCAACTCACCAGAAGCCTCAAATCTATCAAACCACACAAATTTTCTGACGACCCTACAAAATTCGTATTTAACTACTCTTCATCAGTCTTATCCGATTTGCAATTAGAAACTTGATCCATGGGGCCAAACTTTTGTGACATGCTCATGTACAATTTGAAAATCTAATTACCCAAAACAAATCATTTAGCTTCAGTCTCCGACCAGGAGCTATAATAATATAAATCAACCAACAGTGATTGCTGTCATTAGTATTAGAATAAAAACCCAGGAGCCCACAACCACTTAACAAAGCAGCACAGAGAACAGTTAAATCAGATGACATATTACAACGAACTATTGATAACCTGTTCAGGGGGCTGGTGTAGTCCTCACTGATCGAAAAGATTACATAGGGGAAATGAATGACATATTGTTAGATAAAAATAAATTCTCTCAACTGGCCAATGGAAGAAATAAAACAGAACAGATTGGAAAACAGCTCACTGGTGTTCTCAAATGAATGAAAACCGAGCAGTTTATCAGACATAAAATTTATGATAATATTTAACCAACAAGAGAAGACGTTCAGCAAAGAGACTCTTTTCGGAGAATTCATTCACATAGCTGTACAATCGCATTTTTATATAATTATTTGTGTGTGTGTGTACATGAGGTTTGTCAAGTTTAGATAATTGATCAGGTAATACAAGAATGATCTAATATAAAAACAAGGTTAACCAGACAGCAACTAAAGTAAGATTGAATTAGTAAGTTGGATGACGTAATATAATCGACTAAAATATTTCAATGTTCTCAATGTCTACTCTGACCTAAGTCGAAATATTTTAGTCGATTATATTACGTCATCTAACTTACTAACTCAATCTTACTTTAGTTGCTGTCTGGTTAACCTTGTTTTTATATTAGATCATTCTTGTATTACCTGATCAATTATCTAAACTTGACAAACCTCATGTACACACACACACAAATAATTATATAAAAATGCGATTGTACAGCTATGTGAATGAATTCTCCGAAAAGAGTCTCTTCGTTGAACGTCTTCTCTTTTTCATATGACTCAATAGGGATTTTCAAGCTACTTAACCAACAAGACCAATAATACCAAGAATGTATGGTGTATCACATTTGTCAATATGCAGCCGAAAAACAGATGAATATAGGATTACCAACAGCTTATTTAGAGGAACTACCACTGATATGTACCCTTAATGTGTAATTCACGTCCAGCGACGTCATTTGCAGACAAAAATATGGGACTACAAGGGGATCCATTGCTAGAAGACTGTTTCAGGTCTAACCTCGAGAATGGTCCACTTAAGTCAAGTGTTGGTAATTTTCAATTGTATGTTAAATATGTAGATGACATCTTTATTATCTAAGATGATAGCCGTGGTTTTAATCAACTGTTACAGATATTCAGTAGCTATCATACAGCAACAAAGTTTACTCTTGAAATAGAAAATGATTTTAGAATTCCCTTTCTTGATGTTAAACCTACGAGAAGAGCCGACAGAACTGTAAAAAACACACATGGAATGACCAAGTGACATGATTCTACATTTGGATACCTATTAGTCGAAAACGAAACCTAATTACATCTTTTGCTACTTGAGTCTCATGCATCTGCAACCGTAATGCTCTAGAAGGAGAATTACGCTTTTCGAAAAAAATCATTCAAAACTGATATCCACCAAGATTTACTGACAAGAACATAAAACCTAAAACTCAAAGACATGAGAGGTTATCAGTGCCATAAAAGAAACTTTGTATGAACCTTGACTTCACAGGTGACCTTATCAATGATACCCTAAAAAGGAGAATTTCGGCTTCTTTAGCAAGAAGTTTCCTTGCATCAACGCTGAGAGTAGTGCTCTCCAGTCGCAGAAGCCCAGGAGACAAGATCTCGCATCTTATGACTTCTGTATATGTATATCAGTTCACTTGTTCTTGTTGAGTCAGATATATTTGTTGTTCGACGCGTATCCTGTCTAGTAGGGTCCAAGAGTACTATCCCGGATGGCTGATGAAAGACAGCTGTGGCTCTATAAGGAGTGTGATAAGTGAACGCCTTGTCGATACTGGTCACTCCATCTCAGCAAGCGCTTTCTTAAAAGTTATCTACAAAGTGAAAAATAACCTGCCAAAGTTAATGCACTTTCATTGATATTTTATAACTAAACAATATAGGAAATGAAAGTGAAAAATTCAAACACAAACCCAAATGTATGGTCAGTGACAAAGATTATGAAATTGTTGTTGAAACATCAAAAAAAGTAGAGAAACGGCGCTAGGAAAATCAAAAACCATGCAAATCAAAAAATTCAACAAACTAATAGGAAAAAGGAACACAATAAATAAAGAATTCGACAACAACATTTCGTCCTCTATTGACAGAACAAAGTAGGTGATCAACCTCTCATCAAGGGAACTAACCTCTAGTGAGATAAAAGTACTTGAGAAAGGAATAAATTTCAACGTAACAGTTAATAAATTAAAACCAGAGGATATCATTCCTAACATAGAAGTAGCACTAAGCTCAATAGATAAGACTACAGCAGAAGTAGTTCCAGAGCAATGTGCGTTAAACCTGAAAAATCAAAAAAAGCAAAACGAAACTTAACAAAACCGGAAAGACTAGCTCTAAGTAGTGTAAAACAGGATAAAAATGTCGTCATCACAAAAGCTAATAAAGGGAACTCTGGATAAATTTGACTATATTAAGAAAGTCACTGAGCATATTGATACGGGTCCACATGAGGAAATTAAGAAGCCTGTAGATACAATAATGAACAAGATTAATAAATCTACAGCATACTTAATACATAGTATGAAGCTGTCATTGGGTGAGTCCGAATTGTTTCATTTAATGACTAAAACTAATAACACTAGTAGAATATATGGTAGTAAAAAAATACATGAACCAGGTTACCCAATAATAAAAATAACGGATTTCAGAAATACGCCGACATATGAATTTTCAAAACACTTAGCTCTAATGCTATGTCCCACTAGAAATCATTCAAATTCTAGGCTAGCTAATTCATATGAGATGAAAAATAAACTAAATGACATTCAACTGGAGACTGATGAAACAATGGTTAGTTTTGATATAACTAGTCTTTATACTAATATACCAGTCAATATGGCCTTAGAAGCGGTTAAAAAAGAACTAACTGCAGATCCTGAACTGAATCATAGGAAAAAGCTGCCACTGAACAAATTATTTTAGGGATTCAGTTATGCCTCACATCTACTATCTTTAAATTCCAAGGGAAAATATATAGACAAACAAAAGGTGTAGCAATGGGATCACCAATATCTCCTATCGTAGCAGATATCTTTACTACCAATCAAGTCAAGAGAAGTCAGAAAGTTATGTGGGTAACTTGATATGATTATGAGCAATAAATTGTGCTCGGAACGTAATCAGTAAATATAACCGTATAACACTGTGAGACTTTGTCAAAATAAATTTTACGCACAATGGAATCAATGCACTTTCGTATTTTATGCATGTCTGAAGCTTCAGCCATTCAGATGAAGAAACCGGAGCTCTGCATGCAATAGAAAATTATTCAACCACTTCTACTGTCATAGTAACAATCTTATTGATTTCTGATGTCTTGATATTTTTTTGTTTCTTTGTTTCTTTGTTGAAATCATGTGAGAATTCTTGGACAAAAACCGAAGAAGTAATGAATTCGTTTGTCTAAGGATAGATTATCTATCTGGCTGATGTCCTTGTCATAGCAGGAATCACAATGGTCTGAGAATCTTAGCAACAACTCAATGTTGTTCATTACTATACGATTCTATTTCTATTCTGTTAATTTTTGTATAGTGTTCTAATTCTTGTCAGTTTGAACTTTTGCACTTTTGTGCAGAGTTCTAAGTCATATATTCAGTTATTACGTTTATGTAACTCCATGTCAAAATCTATAGGTTTGTGGTCTGTATGAAGTGACTATCATCTATGTAAGGCAGATTTTACTGTCTTTTGAAAAGGGGATTAGAAAATATTTTCCTGCTTGCCGTTATCCATAAAAATTAGTTAGTATCCACGATTGGTCACTTTAAAGCAAACAGATTTAATCTACAGTGCTCTATTGCTGTTGCTGTTATTGCCTTCTTACTAACTGACTTAAATGCAGATAAATTTATTGAAAATTTCTTTGAGTTTTTTGTTTACCACATTGGTGTTTGTTTGCTTTTCAACTGATAACTTGTTAAACAAATTCCTTTTGTTCGCCATTTCAAGCTGGTATTTATTTATTATTCTAATAAGTTGAAGTAACCGTGTCATATGTGCAAACGGCTGATGGCAACTTTAAAACATTACAGTATATATATATATATATATGGTGAAGCCTTATGGCAGTACAACATAGGCGTTGTATTTTGAAAACTTTCATCTTCATCCGCTTTTATTTCTTCAAAACTTGGTTATTTTTGATGTTCTATTTTGTTCACTTACAATAAAAATAAGTTGAAGAGTTGTACAATTTTACGAGATGTTTCTTCATACTTTCTACTTTGTGAATTGATGAAACTCAGGAATGTTTGTTATACTGTAGTTCTGAATTGCGTATCACTATTCTAAAGTCCTTCATTATTAATAATTTTTTTTGTATTCTTCCTGATGAAGTTTCACATCATGCATTGAACACGTGTTTTACTATGTTATAAAATTTTGTAATCATATTAAACTTCCTCAAAGGATCTCACAGTAGATATTTGACTCAATAGAGGTATTCCAAACTCTTTTGAATAACTGTTTAGTTAGTTGCGTGAAAATTACGTCCGATAATCATTTAAGAACTATTTTTTGTGTGTCTGTATTTTCTACTATTGCTAACATATTTTGTCACAAACATTTACTGGAAAGACTGTTTTTACTTAACCTTGAACCTTCATTGAAGGCTTTTAACGATCCTAATCAGTTTGTATACAAACATACTAGGTGTAGTTTAGATTCCACTGTCGTCTTATATCATAATATTGTCTTTAGCTTAAACAAAGGTACCAAATATGTTCGTTTTGCCTTCCTAGACTACACATCTACCTTTGACGCTGTACCTAGGCCTCTTTTGTTAAAAAAACTTGCTGCGTCACGGTCACACTGCTAGATTACCAAATCGTTGCATTCCTATTTTTCTGACGGGAAGCAATACACTGTTTATAATGGGAGGTCCTCCACTGCTTCACTTACTCCAGCTTGTGTTTCTCAGAAGCACTTCATATCAAATGGAACCCAAATTGTCTGAATAGGAATGATGGACTAAAGCAGAATTTGATTTGGTTACAACACCCCCTCTCTCATGAAGTGACAAAATTAACACGCATGTGATACACAATTTAATTATGTAAACACACACTACTTTCATAATTCTACACACTGATCAAATCCAACAATCTACACTTGGTTTTGTTATCTTTACCAATTGACCAACTTCACAACAAAAAATGACCCCATACTCACGAACGATGATCGAGTTAGTAAACTTTGCTTTGATACCATAACAGATGCACTATTACCTTTGTTATTTGGTTTAGTGATCTTCATTGTTATTTTGACTTTCAATATGTCCTTTTAAATTGACCTAAGTCTGTTTTCTCAACGCTTAACTCTTTGTTATATATATGCTGAGATTTTGTAAATTCAGGTTTAATAATACTTTGAGAAAGCTACTAGCACTAAGTAGCGAAATGTCAGTTAAAATACTATCTTCTTGTTTTTTTTACGAGTTGATCACGGATTGATATCAGTTAGAGAACCATGGTATCAATCCGTGATCAACTCGTTAAAAACATAACTAACCCTTACAAACCAAACTATAGAAGAAAAACACTATCTTTTTTTTATTCATTGGCATTGTTTTTCGTCCTCATTATTGCATTATCGCTAATATTTTCATTTGATTTAATTTTATATTGACTTCTTATTGAACAGTATTGTTAATGTAAAAACTCTGTTCTAATTATTGCCCCTGTGATGAGAAAATTACATGCAATATTGTATTATATGCCGAATATTCCATATTTGTATTTAAAGTACTGTTTGGAATAAAACTGTTATTATTATTATTAACAATGATGCATAAATGGTTTCTGACTATTGATGTGCACGAAAGCTTATAGTCTTGTGTGCTTTAAAAGTAACGGAAAGTAATTATTTCGTGGGACGTAACGTTGTTATTAAATCCGCTTCTCAATATTTAATGAACCCAGTTATCCTCTTTTTACTGTGACTCTGATAAACCTGTTATTTATATGCAGAAAGCAAGAAGTTACTTCTTAATTCAGTCTATTCCATCAGATTTCGGTGTAATATAATCTCTGACGAATGAGCAGATTCTCAAGAGCTCTATCTTCTATACGAGATTGTGTGAATCTGTAATCACTGGTATAATCCACAGAATCATAGAAAATGACGAGTTCTAATTTAGATATGATCTGAGAGGAATTATTGCTGATAATGAAGGAAGGTGACGTTTTAATCTGAATCAGAAGAATTTAAAAATAATGAAACCTTAAACAAATATCATTAGTCTACATATATCCTCATTGTAGTTTATGAACTCTTACTAAATATATGAATTACAATAAACGGTAACAAGCAGTTTTCTTGTATGTGTGTGTGTTAAAGTTTGACAGTGAGGGGAAATACTCAAGGGACACGAATGCATTTGCTTTGTATAGCAGAGGCTTTGGCAATGCATAACATAAAGCCAGAACTTTGTGCACAAAAACTCTTACTAAAGTTTGCTTAAATTCTTACTAACAGTTGGATCAGTGCGAAAAATTTCAAAACCGGCACACTTTTTATTATAATAAAGGTTTTTGTATTTCCCAATGAATGAAAAACAAAACGGCAGACTTTTCTTCTTCTCAACTTGATTTTTAATCTGTTGTAAGAACTTTCTTCAAATCAGTCAGGTGTTTAATAAACAACCGACTGGTATTAGATCATGAAAATGTGTTTTTCCTTATTACCACCACTAAATTTGATTTTCACTAATTTATTGTAAATAATGCAATATATTATTACTATTGTTGTCTCTTCTTGGGGTGGACAAGCAGTTCATTCAGTCTGTATCCTTCTTTCACTTATTCAATCATCCTCATTAATTTTCTTTCCTTTTGTTTTTCTACAGATGGCTAGCAGTTTTGTTAGAACTTGTTGGAAATTTAGTTATCTTAGCTGTAGCTATACTATCAGTTTCTGCTCAAGGCTATCTATCAGCTGGTTTCTCCGGTTTGGTAATCACTTACGCGTTAAGTTTAAATCAAACGTTAAATTGGCTTGTACGTATGTTTTCAGAATTGGAGACAAATATTGTCTGTGTTGAACGAATACACGAATATTCTTCTATAGAACAAGAGGTAATTGAGAAAATTATGTAACCTGTGTTTTTTTGCATATGCTTTTCTTATATATTCTGCTATTGTAAACGAAGACAACTGCCCAGTTGTGGCTAAATGAAAGTCCCCTATTTGATCGAAAACACCGATCACAACAAAGTATCTTTTTTAAATAGCACAAATTTTTTAGTGGATTACCAGCATTAATCCATACAGACGAAGTCCGTCTAAGGCAAGGCGTTTTACACTGTTATGTGTTGAACACTACTCACTCCTGTTTTCCCTTTTTGGAAGTATATTATATAACAGACGTTTGAATCCAGTAATATTAATGATTGTGACATTGTAACCTAGTATTAATAATCTGTTTTTAGTCGTATTAACGAAAAAAAATTGCTTTACAGAATAAGAAAGATCTTTTCTAACCTGAATATTTAAAGGTCGTCTAGGCAATAAAACAACCTTTGTCCCTTACAGTAGACAAATCACTAACCAATCAAACAATCACCATATAAATGGATAATTCATTATCTGTAGCATCGTTATTATTGTGAATATTTTCCAAAAATATTTCTAGCCAATCAGAGTTATTTCGTCTTCTTTACTTTAAACTCATTCTAACCTTGACACAGAAAATCTAAATATGTGGATACTCCCTAAGGTTGAATAAAATGCTATCCTTCCTCCTCTTTTCTTTGGCTTTGGAATTTAGTATGATAAATTGCAAAGTGAATACAATGTACCTGAGAGAAAAACGAGAACAGATGCACTTCATAGGTTTGAGATGAATTCATTACTTGTCTAGTTTGTGATGCACCCTGTCTAAAACAAATTTATAAGGATTCAGCATTGAAAAATAGTAAAAAATTCACTTTTATGAATAAAGACAAGTGAAAGAAACTTGACAAAAGCTCTCAAGATAAGAGTTTTTCACTAGTTGCAAGTCGAGAATGCATCCAAGTGGCTGTTTAGTTATCTTAGTCATACAACTCTCAACACTACTATGTTTTGTAACACGTACATGGACAGTGGGCCTGCAGATTTTCTGCTTCGTTCTAACCAGTAATTAATATTTAGCATACTGGTATCATACTTCTCTTCAACTATGTGCAGCTGTTCTAATTTTCTTCTGACTTTTGTTAGCTCAGTTCATTATTGCAATCCTATAGTTTAAGTTGAAGATAGTTTCGAAGTCTGTTTGCATAGTTATATGTGATGCATATGCCTTCAGAAAATGATTACAATTCAGTTTTATTCTATTGTCATTGAATGAACGTATTCTGATAGCAGTTTCACAGACTGAACAATAGAATGAGATAAACATGCATAGAATTAATTAAAGTAAACGTAGATATTATCACTAATTCATGGAATTTAACCAAAAAATACAAAAATAATTTTATACTTTAAAGCAATGCTTACTTATTGCTTCATACAGAAATCAGTTTAGAACCGTCAAGTTATAATGCATATATATTACCATTCAGCATAGTCAAGTACGCCGGGAATCTTTTACTAATAAGGGAATCTGGAAGATGTTGTAGAGAAGAATTTTGTCAATCTATGGAAATGTTGCCCATAGTGTAGCGGTTGGCTTTTATTTGGAAGGATTAGTGTTACAGAGCTTAGTGTACAACTGGTCGAAGCAAGTCACACACTATGATGTTAATTGCTTTCAGTCTAACCACTACCTAACCAACGTTTTTGGTAGAAGCATTTATTCCAGCTATCGTAGTTTGTTGGTTGAGTGCAAGTCTGATTATCACATCAGGTAGGCAGTTATCGGTTTGGTTATGTGGTGGATTATTATTTTTTTTAATTGGAATTCTAACATCTTCGATTGAACTTGTTCAATATATACTGAAGATATCATGGTAGGTAGCTATTTCTTCGGTTTATGATAGTACGTTGCTTGTACACAAACCTTAAACTGGTGAAGTTTGTTAAAATTGAGAAGTCATTAAGTAATCAACCAAGTTGTCTGTTTCACTGATAACATATCTACACATTGGCAGATCTTAGGAGCGTTAATTCGAATAGGTCTACTATTGGAGTTCATGGTCTTTATATTTTAGTCTATATAATGGAATACTTGACTAGGCTCAAAAACCATTAAATTCAACATTTCTTATCTCTACTTTGAAAAAAGGTTAGATACTCAATTATTCTTCAAGATTGCTCCAAACAGGACGTCAGCAATTAGTTTCAGACAATTCAGTTTTCTATATATGTGTTCTTCATTCGTGAATAGATGCCTTGGTGCTTAATATAAACATCATATTAGATCACTTGGAATGTTCCAAAAAGCAAATAGGAATATATAGATACTATGGAAGCGAGGTATGAGACGAGTGTTTCTTAGAGGCGTTTGAACTTAATCGCCTTTGGCTTGGCTCAGTTCATAGGAGCCGCCAGCCATTATTTAGCTCAAGTGCTGTCTTCAGGTTTATCTATCTTTAGTCTTCTTCCAGTCTACCGCGCTTCTCTTAACACTAGTGTTTGAGAACAACTTTGGCTTGTCATGAGGTAGACGTTTTCTAACCACATCAGTCTGTACGACTCGCAACCGGATTGACTAACTGTTCTTTTTAATTCCAACATTACTTCTCCGGCTGTGGCGTGATCTATGGTCTATGACTTAAAAAGACCCCATGTCTTCCACTTTTAGTAATAATGTCTCACAACAGCAGATTATGACGTCTACGTTTTACTCATTATACTTGTTCTTTGATTTACGTAAGTGTTGACATGGATCCTTTTATATTTCTCTTGATGTTTTTTTTCACTAGCCACTTCATTTGAGCTGATTCCGCTACCTATGTCAGTGAAGTCGTTAGGGCACTTACTTCCTATCCGTGTGTTGATGCATTCTTATTGCATAATCTTACATCTCAAAAAAGTGAAATTCCGGTCGGACATACGAATATTTTTGTTCATATGTTCTGAAAACTTCAATTTTTCTCTGGCACTTTACAAGACCTTACTGATTACCTACTGCAAATAAATCTGCTCCATTGCAAAGGTAGGTAGAGTTATTCTCATCAGCACATCTGTAAAGAAATCATTTAAGGATCACTACCGTTGATATTCTTGGCTAGGATTACGACTACCGTCAATTTGCACGACAGCTTTCCCTAACTCTTACACTAGTGTGTTAGGTCGAGTATAAAAATATTGATATACTGTGAACAGGACAAACAACTTCAATTTCTTATATCTATATCTCGTCACTTTTTTATTTCATTTTTTTTCTAATCACTTTATATTAGGCACCATGGGAATTGGATTGTAAATATTTACCAGCTAACTGGCCTGAAGGTAGAATTGAGTTCGTCAATTATTGTACAAGATATAGGCCCGAGTTAGATTACGCCCTACGATCAATTAGTTTCACGGTTGAAAGAGGCGAAAAAGTAAGTTGTTTCTCCTACTGATCATTCATGGTCATTTGATTTGACTGATAGTTGTTCATGTGTTGGATCACACTGAATTGTAGGTACAAACTACCAATGTCTATCAATAATTAAACTAATGTAAAAGTAATGGGTCCTGCACTAACCTCATAACTAAATAATATAACAGTTTATTCTGAGTCCCTAGTATTTTGTGAAAGTGTAATGCTATGTGGTCAATTATCAAGCATCACCAAAACTGCTGTATTCTCAGTATTCATTGTTGGAGAGAATGAGTCTGCGAACGCTTCCCTCCAGTTTGATCGTTCCTTATATTCTTCTGCGTTTCGTTATTGATAACAAAACGCTAAAAACACTGTTATTTGCCATTTAATTAACCATTAAACACTGAATTGGGAAATCTAAACAAGGAATTATCGAGTTGCCGTTACGAAATATGAACAGTTTTAATTGTGAAGCGTTCAGTTGGCTTAGCATATATAAACAGTTGTGCATTATATTTCTGGTGTGAATTCTGCATAATGTTTCACAGTGCTTTGATGCACATGCATCTATAATAACAACTTTTATTCTTTTTGAGGACTAGTAATTATTAGTAACCATTTCATAAACTAATTTGTATTTTTTTCAAGTTACTATTAAAAGTATATTTTCAAGAGTTGTTACTTTCCACTTGCATTACTTCTAGTTGGGCATCGTTGGTCGTACAGGTTCTGGGAAGTCTTCACTTGTACTTGGACTGTTTCGTATGCTTGAAGCAGCTGAAGGTGAAATTCGTATCGATGGTTTTGACATCTCGAAACTGGGTTTACACGATCTGAGAAATCGGTTAACACTGATACCTCAAGTAAGCAAGTGATTGATATCTCTGAATAAAGAGTGTAATACATCATTTACGGAAATATGGCTTTTATTATCTCTCTCTTCTAATGTTTAGTGTTTCCGATTGTTAAATTTTTTTTAAGGAAAGAATCCTAAATTTCAGTTAAGATTTGCAAAGATTTGCGTACTGATGAAGAGTCCTAAACTAGGACGAAACAGCTGTCCAGTACTCCCAGGTTTTCCAATGGTTCTCTAACTAATGTCAGTTCATGATGAAATCCTGAAAGCAATCAAATCCCTAAAAACCATCACTTGAAAAAGATAAGTGTTTTAGAATGGTGATAGTACTTGTTGCTATCACTTAATGTGCCTATCATAGTTTGTAAATCTTAAATGCTTTATTCTAAAACTGACTGACTCACCTCATCAATAGGATACAAAAGTAGCTAGTATTTGTTACCTCCAACTTCGAGATAATTTTTCAGTGTACTGCCAGGTACATATGAGGCTGTTTTGGGATAGACTGGTTGGTAATTCGAACTAGTATGGCTAATTGTTGTGGGGTAAATAGAAGGAGATGATACCATGAAGGCTTGTTTCACTGGGAAAGTTTTATTAAATTACCAAAATTAAATGTTTCATATGTTTATCCCTCTCCGATTAACTAGATGCGTTGATGCTTTGTTTACATTGGATCAATTTGCCTGTCGTTTTTCTATTGACACCAAGTTTAACTCATCTGCATTATATAGTGTGAATACACAACTGAGCTTGTTCTTATATACCTTAATTTTTCCTTCATTATGTATTCATTGTTGTTTTTGTCAATGAGATAAGTGACCTTGAGATATTTATCTTTATAATTTTTTGTCATACTGACCAAAAAATTAAAATAAGGACGGGAAAAACTAGCAGATAAAATACCTTATTTTTGCATAGAAATTTTTCGGACGAAAAGCTTCCAACATTAATTATCAATGCATGATTGCATGATGCCTAATAAATTAGAGGAAAATATAACCCTGCAGGTCAAGCATATGTTTCTTTTGCGTTCACATGGTTGAAAGCTGAAAGTTAGGTTATCATGGATATATTAGTGAAATATTCAAATCTCAGGTATGCATGAACTGATTTCTTTCGCAAACTCAGGAAATAAGATAGGTCATTAATTTTTGTGTAACTCTGCATATTTACTGTCTCTTTTATTGCATCTTACATACTCACTGGTATAATTGTTAGGTGAAGTAGCAGTTAACTTTGTCAGTTTGTGGTTTGATTATTTGTGTTCTATCCATATCCTGACTAAATCCTTTAAATGAAGCTAGTGCTGTGTTTGATTTTGCCTAATTTAACTAGCTATTTGTTATAAATGATCGTGTTCAGCAACAATATATTAGGTACGATATTATTATTATGTGCGTCGATGGCACAGTGGTTAGGACTCTCGCCGACCATCCACATGGTCCGAGGTTCGATCCTCTGCCGACGCACACCTGATATCTATGGTCGGCCTGTGAAATTTGGGCTACCGATATCCATGCTGAAAATTCCATACTTGTACCAAAAATACAGTATGGAATCGAGCTGTAATCAAAAATAATAAAAAATCTACCTAGCTTTTTCAAACAAACAAATCGAATGTAGCTTTTGTCACGAATCAGTATCATCTCGAAAGAGTCAGGGACAATATTTAGAATGGAATGAGTCAAACTCCTACAAACCCTTAAAAGTGATACACAATAAGCTCTGTTGTTGACTATCAGTTTTTGCTGTGGTAAAATTGTCGGATGAATTAAATTCATTTAGTGTGCTCGAAGTCGTCTTTCACATATACGATAAGTTCAAAATTAGTGGGTAATTTGATAGTGTAAGATGTCTTTATCATATGTACAGTCGGCACAGAATAAGTCTTTTAATATCTCTGTATTAAAAATAAAATGGAAATTCTGATGATCTAATCCAACTAACAAAGAGAACAAGTATAAATTATTGATAGAATGGCAAGTCATGCTGCAAACTCGATTAGTAAAACCAAAACAAATTCGACATAATGATAACATAAGGTGTGATTAGAGTTCAGGTTGAGGATAGCTAAAATATAGTAAATATAGTATGATGCTCAAAAATATGTCCTAAAAACTAGGATCAGTATGTAGTGCATTGGATAAGCTCACTATGGTTTACAAACAATAGGGGAAGGCCTTGTTGATTAACTAGTGTGGTGGTAAACATGATGATAATGGAGCATTACCAGTGATGATTGTAGTGAAATGTCGGCCCGGTTAGCAACTGTATTTTCTAATCCATTCGGTACCTGTACGCAGACGACTCTTTGGATTCCTCCTCCAATCAGGATTGTTATATCTCCCCTCAGTAATTATCCATAACACAAATTTAGAAACACTGAAAGGAATAATTTTTAAACATCATATGCAAGGCAATAAAAAGTTAGAACAAGTAACAGTTGATAAGGCTGCAGAACAATAAAAAATTATCAGAGTAATACAAGCTTATCCACATAATCTTTCGGTACATATTAACTAGGTTTTCGCTGATGCACTACTATTGCTTCTATATTAATAACTTAGCAATCTACTAAGTTACCTATCTATCACATGAAAAAGTGTGAGTAACTGATGATGTACCTGTCAGTAGCATTACAGTTATTTGGAGTATGCACCATTTCACTGTGGATATTCTGTTTGACTGCTCATTCTTCAATAGCATATGCCGCTTCCGACTCAACTGTTTCACTGCATACGTGCAAACCTATTCTTATTAAGAGTATGTTTGTATAAGTGCCATTCCCATGTTCATTGCAAAAGTAATACAAACTTTATTATATTATATATCAATATATCATATAAGTACCACTTCATCGTTATTTTACGGTAATCGCATACATCTCTTATTATTTGAAGGTTTTCGTAGTCATTCTCCCTGTGATCGTAGTGGTTAGTTCGAATGTTGTTCTATTTTTCCGTCTATTTCTCTAGGATCCTGTTCTCTTCTCGGGTACACTGCGTTTTAATTTAGATCCATTCAGTCATTATTCAGATGACGATATTTGGAAGGCATTAGAATTAGCCAACCTGAAGCCATTTATAAAAGAAGCTAATAATGGTTATCTTGGCTTAGATATGATAATTTCAGAAGGTGGATCGAACATAAGGTATTTCTTTTTTTGCAATGATGCTGTGTATCAAACTTTAATATTTTATTCCAAAATTCTTTGCTACTTTACGGGTGTAACTTTGTACCAAAGGTAATTATATCAAAAGAAGGGAAATGCTCTCAATGAAAGTTTTACTAGACAAGAAAAGTGATATTATATTTTTATAACAGTTATAATAACTTAAATCTCTTTCAAGGATAACATAAGCCACTGTGAAAGCGTAAATCACCAGCTGTTGAATAGCCTGTTGATTGGTAGACATTGTTTTTGTATTAGGCTTATGATTTCTTATTTCACTCGACAAGACGTCAGTGGAATTCATCTGTAAAATAGTTTGCATTTTATATGAATTGAGCTATTTAGATTATAAAATCTTGCTGTTAATCGGTAGCAATTTTTCTAAGCAGTTATTTTTTTTTATCACAGGATATGTGTACAAATATTCTGCCAGACTGTTTCTCTCTTTCTTTTTTCTACATGTGTTAACATTCATTATTACACTGAAGTTATTCCTACTGACAAATTTTACGTATGAATTAATCAAGCAAACTTTCACTCCCTAAATTATGTCACTTATAAGAGTGTTTAGCTTTCTTACTGTCACTCAACTTATACTCTACTACATATGCTTAACGTGGTGTAAATGTTAAAGATGGATAATGTGAAATTTCCATATTTCTGTTTAGTTATCAGCGTTTACATATTATTATGGAAGCTTGACAAAGTAAATCAATAACCGTACAGTTTATTACCAATGCGACAAATTACATAACTTCTAATCAGATCAAACATTTGAAAGAGTTAAGAACATTTTAATACAACTATATATTAGCTTCTAAATGACCGACAATATCAGGCACAAAAACTTCGTTTTTATCCTAGTGTATATAATCCATGAAATCGATGTATCCTTCGCATAAGTGTTTTGAATTTTAACTTGTTCCGATAAGAGTCTCTAGATTTCTCATATATCTGTGTGATGAGGTTTAATTGCTTTTTTTAATGACTAGTGGTACATTCTACTAAGGGTGTACAGCCTACTTTTATTTGCACATTGTGTAACTGGTAAAATCTGATTGTGTTTGCGTCAAAAGCTTGAAAAATTCCCTCTATACAAATTGGATTTCATTGCTTTCTGTTTATTTGTTTGTTTGTTCCAAATAGAGAACTGGTAGACAAAGCACTATAAATTATTTCTACTGGACTTGGTGATTGTTTAAAATAGTCCATCAGATATCTGAAATCGGTTCACTTTTTAAACATCAGGTTGATAACTGGCCTGAAACTGTTTATTTGAATTTATGAGGTAATCATCAAAACTGCTAGTCACAAATGTGGCTTGATCTGATTCTCAATCAACTTCTAGGTGTTATAAAAACATTTTAAAAGCGCTTTAATCTAAAGTAAAGTTAGAATTGGGAATTAGTAAAAGAATTGTTAGTTCAATCTGTACCAGTGCGTTCAGTTTTAAAACACTAAAAATATCCTTTAAATTACTTAATAGTACTTGTATATAATCTGTGTATTTTAGTCTTGGTCAACGACAGTTAGTCTGTCTTGCAAGAGCTCTACTTCGGCATACATCAATTCTTGTACTGGATGAAGCTACAGCTGCTGTGGACATGTTGACAGACAGTTTAATTCAAGAGACAATACGTAAAGAATTTTCATCATGTACTGTGTTGACTATCGCACATCGATTGAACACTGTTCTTGATTATGACCGGTAGGTCTGTGTTTTTGCTTTTCCTGTCAAAGCTATCCTTTTTTCAAATACACTGCTTAAAATGCTTACAGATGGAATGAATAAGCTTATAATCAGTAACATTGATATTTCTAGTCGGCGTTTACTAAGGTTCTCTATCGAATCAACTAACGTTGCGATTGTCTCTCCTGTCTTTCGCTAACTTTCAAGGCAAATTTCTTACAATATGTCATTTATTTGCAATTTTACCGGCAGAATTTGTCCTTTGCAAAATAATGATAATTGTTACTATTATTATTATTATCCGTGCTTTGTCCTAAAAAATGATAGTGATGTCATTTACAAGGATGTTAGTGTCACACTGTGTCAGCCAAATTAGAAGTAGATTCATTGTCAGTGAGCGAAATTCCCAAAAATGTTGACTTCACCAGCTCTTATTCATTCACATGTATGTTTGGCTCCATATTGTTTATTTCATTTGATCAAGCAGATAGGCCACTTGTTACGAACTCATCGAGGGTTATACAGAGTTACTTTTTGATTTTGCCAAAATACTTCAAGGAAATATAAAGAGTTCAAGGTATACTGACATTGTTGATACTGACTTATGTTTTGGAGCCAATATATGGTAGCACAGTGATTATATTATAGAATGTCATTTTGTGATTAGCTTCTTCGTGGGTAGTAAAAGCAGAGATTCGAAATTTGGAAGAATCAGCTGATTTTCTCCTTATTCTGACAAAATAAGAGATTTTGTATTCAACAGTTGTGACTGACTAACCAACAAAAATCTTTGAAACTATATTTATTTTAACTAGAATTTAATACTAAACTGTTACTGACCTTGTTATGCGGCAAAAGTTATGGAATAGGAGGTTTCGTGACTCATTAAACAGTGGTTTTTGTGTCTGCTACATGAACGTATTTATTTGCATAGCCTAACCCTAACGGAGTACTATCATATTGCAAAAAGTTTGTGTTTTTACCCTTTACTAAAGCTGAATATACGGCTGTCAACAATTATCTGTCTTTCTATTTGTTAGTTTCTGCATACTACAGTCTGTGGTTACCCAAGCTAATGAATAAAATATCGTCTTAGAGCTTTGCACAGAAATGGCACTTTTAATAGTAATATTTTGTTCATATGACTGTAATTGTATAATATTTGAACTTACTTTTTTACCAGTTATACTCTGTGTTCTGTTTCCTCACACTGAAAATCATTTTGTCTCTAGGCCTTTGATATCCTGTTTTTTACTTTGTCTTTTTTTCAGAGTCCTTGTTCTTGAAGAAGGTCAAGTTAAAGAACTTGACAGCCCAAAGGTTTTACTACAGAATAAAAACTCAAAATTCTATACCTTGGCCAAAGATGCACATATTGTGGAATGATTGCTTCGATCTTCGTCTTAATAAGAAATATGATTCAGATAACAGAAGTGAAGAATAGCTATTTATAAAAATTTGATTCTATTCAACATTCCTTTCGTCACTAACAAATATTTTACAAGATAAATTAAAGTGTGAAATTTTAGAAAAAAACAGTTACGTTTTTAATCATGTAGGGTTGATCATTGTATGCATTATCTTTTCTGCTTCAGTCTTATTTCCCATGGCGCCGTTTCAATCAAACAGACATGTAGGAGTGGAAAACAGATAAATGATAATGAAAGATTCACATTCTCAATTTTTACGCCTCGTAGATTGCAAATATGTATCTCTGCATGTATTTTATCCTTTTTAATTTCTAACGTACACACCAATCAAAGTTTTCCATAAGCTTTCTCCATTTGTAATTAATGTGTCCACTTTATTTCCACGTTCGTTATTGTATGATTTGTTGTTGTCGTTGTTTTTACACCTGTGTTATAAAATCGTTAAATGAATTGTCCTCATTTTGCTAGTACTCGCAATACTGTATTGACATTCAAAATCGGATAGTCATAATAATTATTTCACTGTCTTCCTATTTCCTATGTGATGGGCTCCTCAGTGTCCTTCAATCTTTCAAATATGATAATCAATTTATTTGATGATTATTTTCAGTTTAATGTTATTTTCGGACCGATTCATGTAACTGCTGAGAAACTGTTGAAAAATAGTTTGCAGCTGATTGGGTGGTATGATGCAAATTTTACCTACAGTGGACGATTGTTGAAACTTTCTCCTTAGTAATTTGACACTAAAAGGATTAAATAAGGTTTTGGCAGGCACTAACCATATTTCATTCGAAATCTAATAGGAACGTTTGAAGTACCTCAAATATCATACTTCCCTATTGGTTCTTTTAAATATATCAATCAAGGCTTTCCCGTTTGACCATTTAATTATAGATGATATGGTGAACATGTAAAATGCTGCATGCTATTGTTTAGGCGGAACATTTGAAAATGGCTTGTTGTGGATTGCGTTCTACATTCTGTTATAACAACATCTAGGTATTCTCCTAGTTTCCAAATTAAGCCGTTGTGAAAACATCTTCCATGATGAAAACTACTAATTACTAAGAATTATCTCCATCGATTCAGAAAAATCAGTATGACCTCTGGACTGTCTGTGTTTTAGTTACTTCGGCCTGAAATCAGAAACCTTTCGGTATATTTGTATTCTTTGAGCTCAGAAAACACAACTTCTATACGTGCTTCTCTGTTATTTTTATTATTGTTCCGAGTGTAACGTAGAGCTCCAACAGCATGTCTTCATTTCATCCTGTTCCCTGCGATCCTCTTAAGCTGGCCCCACGTTTGCCTATATCCTCACCTCCTCCTCGCACCGTCTTCTCCATGTCACCTTCAGATGTCCAACTCGTCGTTTCATATTCGAGTTCCACTCGAGCGCCTGACGAGCGATGTTAACCGACGGTCATCTCAGCGTATTCTCAATGCATCTCTATTTTATCCGACACATTTGTTGAGGAATAGGCTCTTGGCTAGTTTGTTCACATATTTTCTTGTTACTAATTCTTCCTGGCTATTTGATATTCAGTATAGAGCGAAGGCAACTGTTGATAAAAGTCTGCAACCTGTTGGAAATGCTTTTCGTGATGCGCCAAGTTTCACACCCGTACAGAAGAAGTGACTGACTTGACATTGGTGTTGAAAAACTGAATCTTTTTCTTTATGCGGAGGAGTGCAGAAGATTCCCAAACTAGTCTTTGATTGATGAAGGCGTATCTTGCCCTTGTGATTCTGACTCTGACATCATCCGTTCCATTTGCCTGTGGTTGAAACGATGCTTCCTAGATAAGTGAAGGAAGTAACCTCTGTTAAATCTCTCCCTTTAATGGCGATTAGTGCTGGTTGTTGTTGTTGTTGGTTGGTTGGTTGTTCATCTTCGTTGCCACCGTCTTCTCAATGTTCACCTGCAGTCTTGCCTTTGCCGCCTGGTTCTTCTACCAGTTTGTCGCTTTTCGCCTGTAAGTCTTCGAGTCTGTGTGACATTAGACATGTATCATCTGCGAAATCCACATCTTCTTACTGGTCCAACATATTCTAGTCTTCTCGCTCCCCTCTCATGATGTAGCGCATAATCCAGACCACCACACTTAGGAATACCATTCGTGATAATAGGCAGAATTGTCTCACTCCTACCTTCAATTCAAACACCCCTCTGAGTTTTCTGTTTTGGATCAGCTGACACGTGGCATTTTTATATAGCCACCTGATGAATAAGTTTGATAAAGAAGTAGCCTTGCCGTAGCTTACAAATTATCTTGAGGTCAGGCTATCGAAGGTTTTTTCGAAGAAGTCGAGGCAGAGATTTGACTACCATCACATACCTTGTTTGATGATGATGATGCGTGGAGTTGCAATTTGATGTGCACATGATTTGCCTTTCCTGAATCCAGCTTGTTCTAGGCTGGCAGAGTTGTGTATACAATGCTTTTTTGTTATCTCAAGGGTGATATGACATAGTATTTTACTTGTTGTGGACAGGAGCGCCTGTTCTTGCAGAAACCTAACTTGCTCTTCTTTGGTAGTTTGATGAGGTAGCCTTTCTTCCAGTCACTAGGCATTTTTCCATCCTTCCAAACTATTTTCAACATGGCGTGAGCACATCCGCTGTGGTCTCTGAGTCCGTTTTCAGTGCTCCAGAGGGGAATTTCATGTGGTCCTGCTACCCTTCCAGACTTCACTAGCTTGACAGTATTCAAGACTTCCTCTTTTGTGCTTAGCAGTGTTTGCTGGGGTGGTATCTCTCAACAAGTTGCGGATGATGGTCGATTCAAGAGTCATTTGAAGTGATCAGCCCGTTGTTTTATTTGTTTCTCCTCCTTGATAATTAGGTTCGCTTGACCATCTTTTATAGATTTAACCTGCATTGATCTCTTCCTGGATTGAGATCTGGTATAATGTCCTGAGGTCTCTTTTACCTGCGGCCAGCCTGTTCTGCGTCGGTCACCAGGCAGTGTGTCGTAGAGTTGTCTTTCCTAGCACTTTTCTTCACTTCTCTATTCAGTGCAGTGCACATTGGACTCAGCTTCTCCCTCTGTTGTCTATCTCTTCATCGAGTCATCTTTTCTTTCCCCATTCTCCTCTCCTCGGTTATCTTCCAGGTACCCGTTAAGAGCCATTTCTTGTCCTGCCTCTTCTTCTCCCCAGATCGGTTGTGTACGTTTCTTGAACATCACCTTCAGAGGATTTCAGTTTTCTCCCACACAAACTTCCTCAGTGATGCTACGTAGTATCTCCTAGTTCACTCTGACAGCTGCAGTGAATTTGTCTTTTTTAAATTTGTTCTTCTGTTTCCGCTTGTTGAACTTGAATTCTGGTCTGCTTCCAGTTGTTTCGAAGGCTTTCAGCTAGACTTCGAAGGTTTCTTGAACTAGATGATGGTCTGAGGCCACATCTGCTCTCCTTCTCAACTTTGTGTCCGACAGACTCCGTCTCCACTTCCTTCAGATTGAGATGAAATCTATATGGTTAGTGGTATGTCCGTCAGGCGAAATCCATGTTGCTTTGTGTATATCCTTGTGTTTGTACATGTCCCATCCGATCACCAAATCAATGAAAGTGCAGAAGTCTGAGAATAATTCTCCGTTCATTCATTTATCCGAGAGCCTCTCGACCATGATGAGTTCTATTCCTGTATTATCTGCTCCCAGTTCAGCTGGCATCCATATAGCCCGTAAGGTCTTGATGTTACCAATTTGGATGTTGTCCATTACTGTTTGCAGTTACCTGTAGAAATGTTTCTTCTCTAGTTCTGAGTCGTTTGTAAGTGCGTAGCACTGGATAACTGTGTCCCTCCTTACTTATGATTTGAACTGTACTGTCATAATCCTGGGAGAGATTGGGTCGAACTGTACTAGGGCGTTGGCCGCTGTTGGTGACATCATGACAGCCAATTCCTCTGTGTGTTTGTCATCTGATTGGCCGGAATAGATTAGGAACTCTCCAGTTGACAATTTTGATAGTCCACATCCATTCTATTTGCTCTCTCAGATTCCCACTGCTTCCGTGCCGTATTTCCGCATTTCTTTGGCTACATGGACAGCCTTGCCAGCTGTGTATTCTGTACAAACTTTCCATGTCCCTATCAATAATTTTGCTTTCATCAAGATAAGACACATCGGCTGACTGGCTTTCCGAAGGTTTTCACCAGCCCGCGTAATTCTGTCGCTCTAACTCCACTGAAAATAAGTTTGCTTTTTAGATTTCCAATATTTTTCTCTTGTTTTGAAGTTTCTGTGGCAGTTTAACTGAATTTCCGGTTCAGGGTCTCTAGACCTACGCCCAACCCTCCCTCTTTATTCAGGATTGTGACCGGCTAGAAAACTAGCGAGCTAGTAAACTAAGAGTGGTTACATGCTTCTCTATGGCTCCTCAAACTCCCGAAAAGCTGTACAGTATGAAAGTGCACCCCACTTATATCAAAAACACGATTTGATATGATAGAACCTACGGTACTACCCAACAATAATGGCTTACATCAAAAATACAAAACTACTTCGATGATACCATAGGTCAGTTACACAGTCCATAACTTTGCGGGTAGGACAGTCTGTACCTCACAACAAAATTAAATGACTGAACACATTTTTGAATAACCTGAGAATTAATGATGATATCCCGAACGGGTTGAGGTCAAAATTCTTTCCTCAGGAACCAAGCTGTACAACCCCGTTCCCCTCAGGTATTTTCAAGTCAAGCAATGACCCCACAGCGTAATCTTCACTTCACTGGAACAGAATTGCTGTTGCACAACATTGCATTAAGATTACAAAGAGAAGCATTAAAGATAGGGATCGACAAAAGCAGATATACGGATGTTTGGACTTTAATATACAGCAGTAACAAAGTTGGTTGGTTACAACATCTCCCTCTCCCATGAAATGGTAAAATTAACACGGGTGTGATTAGCAATTTCAAAGTGTAAACACATGCTGCTTT